TTTAGGAAGTCGGTTAAATAAAGGTTTTTTAAAAATAGAAAGTTGCGCAACCGCCAGTTTTAAAATAACAGTTTTTATTACAATTACAAAGGTTTTTTACCGGCGCATCCACCATTTTTGCAATTCTCAATAAAAAATTTGTTTTATTTTTAAATTTATTAAAAAGTAGCATATAAATTTATGTGGTAGGCATCCCACAACATAGGGAACTTATAATTTGGATTGTCAGATAAAAAAACAAACGTTATTTTCGTATATTTATGCAATTTTTATTGGGTCAAGTACATTTAATATTATATTTAAAAAAATATATTTTGAAACGATTATAAATTAGTTGTACGGTATATATAACTTATACCTAACCGCCCTATGAAATCAAATAAAAATTTGTTATTTCTAAACATATGATTTAAATTAAATTTTTGTATAAATTTATCATTCGAAAATGGACTAATAACCGTTTAAATACGATATAGAAGCAGTTTTTCACAGCGAAAGGAAAGAGAAAGAAAATTTGACAATTATTAATTTTTACTTAAAAAAAATATGCATTTAATGTAATATAATGCATTCCTATGCATTAAAACAAAATAGTTTAATAATAAAAGTAATTTACCATTCATTGAACTTGAAGTTTCCAATGTAAACCTATAAAAGCCTCTAAAATAATTAAAACACAGCCATAAAAGTCCTTTATAAGGAAAATGAAATTTTTTCACTTTTACCACAAGCTTTTGATAGGTAGGTAGCTATTACGATCCGTAGATTTATTTCAGCAGTCTTAGCAGTTGTTTGATAAAGTGAAAAGTTACTGTATTGATAAAGAATGTAAGTAAATATTTGAAAATAAAAATGTTTCCTAATTCGATGTTTATTAGTTAAATTAAAAGTGAATGGTTTGTTTTGGTAATAAATTTATAGAAATTTTTAGTTTTTGACAGAGAAAAGTTTTAATTAATTTTATGTAAATTATGGCAAATTAATTTACTCATAGGTAAATTAAGGTAATTTTAAGTTTAATTTTGGCGCTTGGTTCTTTTTCGATAAACGCTATCCAAATGTAATTATAATGTAATTGTGGTTATGTTTAAATTATTGAAGGTTGAAAATGCAATAAATTTGGCTTTGGTGGTGCGTAGATGAGTAAAATATAAAAAGTAGTTAAATATAGGTGACTACGACCCAGAAGAGACAAAGTATTCCTAGCGGATAATAATCTTCGCTTTGAAAAGAATGTATATAAAAGAAATTAAAATTGTATGTGAACACACGTGAATTTTGTCCATTCATTGGACTCCAATGGTGAATGGGTATTTTGTTAAAGCCATGTGGCTTAATAATAGTTATAATGTATATATTGTCCAGGACTCTTAATAATCAACTTGCAAATTGAAAGAGGAAAAAGTTTCGTTATTATTGCTTATCTTTTTCAAACCAAATGGATGCTATACAGGAAATACAGGAAAATTGACTACTAGATTTTTAACAGCAAATAATTTTTATTTTTTGTTTTTTTATTTCCCCCTTATTTTTTAAAATTTCAAAAATGTTTGATCTGCTTAGCTGAAAATAATGTGTGATTTGTAAAATCAAAAACGTTACTTTTTTACTCCAAAAATGTCCATAAGGCGATGTACTATTTCTGCCATTGAGGCATTTGGCATAACTTCATCAAAATGAAGTTTTGCCCTTAAAGTAAATCTGATATTATTTTTGGCATATAACTATAGTTATCTTTTTACGAGGTGTGTTAAAAAAACGGGAATTGCTAAATTTCGCGGGTTCGGAGGGTCCGGTTGTCATAAAATTTTCTTTATTATGTTGGTATACATGCCCCCGAAGTATGATAAAAACTTTAGTTGATTTCATTGTTTACTTTGTCTGTGGCAGCCGCTAAGGTTAGACGTTTTATGAGCTCGGCGATTTTTCGTTCGTTAAAAGAAATGGATTAAAGAATTTGTATCCAATGTTGCTTAAAAAATGAAATAAATTCTGTGAAATGTTAACAAAGGCCTATAGTGAGTCTGCTATAAGTAAAACAAGAGTTTACAAGGGTCGTGAAGACATTGAAGATGACGAACGCCCCGAACGCACAATCACAATAACAACCGATAAAAACATGGAAAAAGTGGAAAACATGGTTGTAAACCATCAGAGAAGTCGCTGATGATGTTGGTATATCGATTGGCTCATCCCATGAAATTTTTTCAAATGTTTTGGGTATGAAACGCGTGGCAGCAAAATTTGTTAAATTTTGAACAACATTTTTGGCCAAAAACAATACTGTAATGATGCCCCAGCCTCCATATTCGCCAGACATGACTCTGTCTGACTTTTTCCTATTACCAAAAATAAAGAGAACCTTAAAGGGCCGTCGTTTTGCAAGCATATATGACATTAAAAGCGCATCGCTGAAAGAACTAAAGGCTATCCCAAAGATCGAGTTTTAGAAGTGTTTCGAGTATTGGAAGAAGAGCTGGCACATGTGCATAATATCCAATGGGGATTATTTTGAAGGCGACAACATTAATGTAGACGAATAAATAAATATTTGTTTCAAAAAATGAAAATTCCCGATATTTTCTGAACACAACTCGTAAGTACAGAAAAAATGGTCAAAAAACATATTTTTTCAATTTCAAATTATATAAAGAAAATATAGTCGAAAAAAATTAAGAAAAGCCATTTAATTATCGTCTATAAGTAATATTGAACTTGGTAATTTCTTTTATGAAAATATTCAAGATCAAATCACTTAACTTAAACGCTTAAGTACAGATACTTTCACTGCTATTAAGCTGCAGACACGCATTCTTGAAATATTTAATGCAACGGCGCGGCATAATAAAGATTTAACAGCTTAAGTAGCCTTATAATGCATATCTAAAATCTTTCAGAATGACTTATATTATTAGTAGGCTTACACCACAAATAAAAATGTCCCAGTATAATGTTTCGAATACCTGTTAAATGGTCTTTCAAAATGAAACAAAGACTACGAGTAAGTATGAATCATTTTTGTTTGGACGGGATTGTGGTTTTACAGATTATATACAGGGTGATTTTATTTTATAGGTATACATTTTTATTTTATGTATTTTGAAATAATATTTTAGCAAGTTTAAAATAACTTTTTTTCTTACTTTTGGATGACGAGTTTCCAACCGAGCATTGGCGCATGTTTTTTAAACACTCTGTATAACCGTTTTGCGATTTTGGCTATTTTACTTTTTTGTTTACCTAAAAGGTACTTGTGTCAATAATATGTTTTGTTTTATTATATCTTTCATTGTTTCTTCTTATCTTTTACGATAATAAACTTATTTGAAATACCAGCTTCCTATTTTATAAAAAAACTTATTTATCTGGCTTTAAATATTATCCATTAGAAGTTTCTGGGAAATGAAAAAAGTTATCGATTTGAAATTTTAATTGCGTTTATAATACATTTAATTCTATTTTTCTGAAATATTTGGAACAAAATGCCATTTCCGGTTTAACCGCAAGTGACATCAACTTTGTTATATCAAATACTCCATATATATTTATATTTTTAAATTTTACATAAAATTCTGAGTAAAATTACTATACCATGTCCTATACCTAAAGTGAATAGTTTTTGAGTTATTTCGTTAAAATTTGACATATGCGCGTCAATCAAAAATAGCCTCTAACTTTTTTGTTATTAAATTTGCGGATATGAGGGTAAAATTTTTGGAATCTAAAAACATTGTTTAAACGATTTCATGTCAATTCTCCAACATTTTCTAACAAATAACCTGAGAAAACCCAGGGCAAATTTACCACGTTATCTGTAATTGTTCAAAATTTAATGGCGTGAATTTTTCAGGTTGTTCTAAACAATTTGTTGACTGATTCCCCAGAAACTTCTACACCCTGTATATACCTTAGACTGGGCCAAAAAAATCAACTATTTTTTTTTTGAAAAGTATATCGAAAATATGGTTTGGGGTGACAAAAAAAAATTATTGTGAAAGTTTGAGTCCATAATAATATTAATTTTTTTTTCCTCAGCAAGTTTTAGGCTCAGAACTCCCAAACCATTGAGTTTAACAAAATTGACTAAAAAATATTTTTTTAAGAAAATTAAATGCTCTACAAAAAAGGTTTGATTGGAATTTCCCGTCAGATGAACCGTTTTCTTACAATCATGCCTTAAAAATTGGTATTGTTTTACAATTTGATCTTTTAACTTTGGAATTTTGTAATTCATGTAAAAATCAGTACCCTGAAATAAAACCGATAAATATTCTTATGGGAAATGAAATGCTCTACAAAAAAAGTCTTTTATCATTTTTGGCTAAATTCACTCCATCAAAAGTTATTCAAGGTTAAATTTGAAGTCAAAACGAAATTTTAACCTTGAATAACTTCTGATTGAGTGAATTTAGCCAAAAATGTTGAGAGGCTTTTTTGTAAAGCATTTGATTTTCCATAAGAATATTTATCGGTTTTTTATGGGTACTGATTTTTACTTGAATTACAAAATTCCAATTTAAAAGATCAAAATGTAAAACTATACCAATTTTTAAAGCATGATTTTAAGGAAACGGTTCATCTGACGGAAAATTTCACTTTAACCTTTTTTGTAGATCATTTAATTTTCTTAAAAAAAATATATTTTAGTCAATTTTGTTAAACTCAATGGTTTGGGAGTTCTGAGACAAACTTTCACAATATTTTTTTTTGTCACCCCAAACCATATATTCGATATACTTTTCAAAAAAAAAAATAGTTGATTTTTTTGGCCCAGTCTATACTATAGTATATGTATTTGCTATAATTTCAAACAAAAGCAGGATAAAAATTTTGCGTGTTCCTTATCTCAATCTTCAAAGTAAATGCCCACACATTCAGCCATGGTAACTCCGATCACCTGGTATAACATGATACCTAGTAAACCAAGTCGCCGCGCGCCCCACTCCCACCAAATGATATCATCGACAAAATTCCAAACGTATAAGTAACAAAAGTGCAGTCACAATAACGCTTTAACGAAAGAACCTTCTTCCTCATACACATTGATAATAAACGTAGTGCGCGATGAGTGCGATCAAGAAGCCCGCAGAGTACAAGGAGTACGTGAATTTTTTGCAGAACTACAACAAGTCTTCGCACAACAAAAAAGACGATGCTTCAAGCGACAGTGGTTTAAACAGCCCCTTCACAGGGTCGTCGGCGAGTCTGAACTCAGACTCCACCGAAGTGAGTGAAGTTGACACCTCCCCGAAAGTTAAAACTGAAATTTGCATCGAGATCAAGCCCCATAACCCCATAGAAAAAACAGTGCACATCAAAAAAGCTGATAAAGATTGTATCATCAAAACCACACATGTGCAGAGAAGGGGGTCTGTTAAAAACATGTCCAGGATGTTCGAGGTTGAAACCAGAAAAAAAAACACCGTTAAACCTCCACTGCCTCTGGGCAAAACCTCCCTGGAGAAATTGTTGGAGAAGGACAGCAAGAAATTAGCACAGGATGCAGTGAAAACAAACAATAACATGAACTCCATCAAAAGGGATTTACTTGGAAAACCATCTCTAGAGAAGTTATTGAAGGAAGATGAACAAAATTCCCAACAAGATATTCTTAAATCCCCAGAAATTGTCAAACCTATATCAAATGAAGATATAGTGAAACCCCTAACAAACCTTGAGGAATTAATAAAAGAAAACACAACGATAAAAATCGAAACTCTAAAGAAACCAGAGGATGTCCAACAAACCTTAGAAAAACTCCTCTTCAATGACCAAAACGACCAAATAACATTGAACACGGAAAACATATTCACCACAATTCGTCCCAAAGAGGAAGAGTCAACATTCCAAGAAACAACCTCAATCCAAATCAAAAAAACCTTGGAAAAACTCCTCTCCAACGAGCCAACCCCCCCAAAGGAGGAAGATTTACCACCACCACCACCACCACAAGCAGAAAAAACTCCAAAACCCGCCATCCCGGAAAAACCAGTTCTACCAACCTCCCCGAAACCTACAAACGTGGAGTTCGTTTGTCCACCCCCTCCCTCCTTCGCTCAAAACGCGCCGCCACCTCCACCCCCGATGCCTGCGGTGTTGCCGAAATTCAAAACTCCCGTAGCCCAAACTGTGAGAGTCGAAACCCTCCAAAAGCCACCTCCAGCTCTAGCAAAAGACCTCGACGAAGAAAAATTGAGGAAAAAGTTGGCCTACGGTCAAATGATGAACATTTGCAACAGTTACAACGACAAAGCCAACGATTACGTGGCAACACTGCCCAAAGCAATGGTGCACCAGAACAAGAACATACAGAACATCATACAGTCCATAGCGTAAGTATTTGATTTCCTCTCTTATCTTACTTATATTAAACATTATACTAAAATCTGAGACACACTGTATAATTTAAAAATGTAAAATACCACTGTCACTTTTGTTTCCAATGTGAAAGTATTGTGAACGAAACGATGGTCAATGAATTTTTAAAGATTTCTTGATCTTCGGTAGAAAGTGTTTTTTGTCGATTGTACATCTGCCATCTGTTTGAACGATTTAGATAGTTAATTTGTTAAAAAATAAGCGTATGACTCATCGTGCCTCTCTAAACGTTTATCGTGAATAAATATTTTTTGTCTTGTATTTACCTAGTATGTTTAGCGACTGCTTTGGTGCGGGTAGTTGTGTGCAAATTGATCGACGGCGAGGTATTTACAAACTTAACTTTATTACACTACATATACACAATATACAATACAATACACATATATACACAAACAGAATTATAATTTAAATGTGTTGTCACCCGGAGCCGATGTACTCAAAACGGGCAGTCAGTACCTTCCGTCTGGTGATAGACCAAGACATTTTCCAAGAGCCCTTTGGCCACCCACCCCTAATCGTGGTAGGGGATAGGTAGGACACATTTGGAAAAATCCAAGCGCATCTATAAAAGGGTACTGTGGGGACTGGATTTCCCACTCTTGTCTGTCAGTACAATTTAAGTGATTTTCATAATAATTTTTATTTATTTTATTTTTATTGCTATGTATTTCGAATTATTATTAGTCAGTAATTATGTTTAAACTTTTCAGGTAGTAGGTTGTAAATAGTGTATTGCAGAGAGCGTGTGTTTGTTACCTGGAGCCTTGTAAAACATTGGAGTTTCCTGTCATCGGTAAACATCCTTTACGATTGCTTACTTACCTCTCCGGTTTCTTTACCGAAAGTAATTTATTTAATTTTATTTTTATTACCCTTTTATAGATGCGCTTGGATTTTTCCAAATGTGTCCTACCTATCCCCTACCACGATTAGGGGTGGGTGGCCAAAGGGCTCTTGGAAAATGTCTTGGTCTATCACCAGACGGAAGGTACTGACTGCCCGTTTTGAGTACATCGGCTCCGGGTGACAACACATTTAAATTATAATTCTGTTTGTGTATATATGTGTATTGTATTGTATATTGTGTATATGTAGTGTAATAAAGTTAAGTTTGTAAATACCTCGCCGTCGATCAATTTGCACACAACTACCCGCACCAAAGCAGTCGCTAAAGTATCACGTCGGGGTCACCACTTTAGCGACTGCTTTGGTGCGGGTAGTTGTGTGCAAATTGATCGACGGCGAGGTATTTACAAACTTAACTTTATTACACTACATATACACAATATACAATACAATACACATATATACACAAACAGAATTATAATTTAAATGTGTTGTCACCCGGAGCCGATGTACTCAAAACGGGCAGTCAGTACCTTCCGTCTGGTGATAGACCAAGACATTTTCCAAGAGCCCTTTGGCCACCCACCCCTAATCGTGGTAGGGGATAGGTAGGACACATTTGGAAAAATCCAAGCGCATCTATAAAAGGGTAATAAAAATAAAATTAAATAAATTACTTTCGGTAAAGAAACCGGAGAGGTAAGTAAGCAATCGTAAAGGATGTTTACCGATGACAGGAAACTCCAATGTTTTACAAGGCTCCAGGTAACAAACACACGCTCTCTGCAATACACTATTTACAACCTACTACCTGAAAAGTTTAAACATAATTACTGACTAATAATAATTCGAAATACATAGCAATAAAAATAAAATAAATAAAAATTATTATGAAAATCACTTAAATTGTACTGACAGACAAGAGTGGGAAATCCAGTCCCCACATATGTATTAAAAATTGTTATCTGGGAAGGAAAACTAAAGTTTAAAATACGTTTTATTTGCAAAATTATCGTTTGTTTATGTACGTAGAGTGATAATTAATGTTAATTTTGTCAATATTTTATTCGCAACAGGTATTTTGCAATACATTACACTTATCAAGTACGTTTTTATTGAAAAGTTATACAATATAATGATGATGAACGAAAATATTGAATATTTTGTAAATTTTCACTTTTTGTAATACATTGCTTTACAAATTAATAAAGAAGAAAATTTTTAGGGCTCACCCCAGTTAAAGTCAATAAATAATTGCTAGGGTTCAAATCAGGGTTGAGCGGTGGACGAAATTTTAAAATGTAATACAAGTAATACAAACAGTATTTGCTAATTTAAAAAAAAATTAACAAATTTTATTTGAAATAACAGTGACATTTTGTTTAAAATATTTTATAAAAATAGACTACCAATGGGTAGTAATGTACCACGAACGTATAACACCTTGTATGAATTTGTAGTATTTTGTAGACAAAGTAACTTATTTTGGCATGCTTTTAGGTTAAATGGTGGTTTGGATAAACTATGTGGAAGAACGAATCCTAAAGTGGAGTAAATAAATAGTTTTGTGTATAAATTTTCTATACCTACCTACTTATTCTTTTCCCTGTACATGTATTTTCTATGAAGATATATTTATTGTATATACTTATACTTATTATCTTATCTATTACCTACATATATATTATTATTTTAGTGTAATAAACTGTTGTATTTTGTTGTAGTTATCTTTTTTCTTTACCTATGTATGCTTGTTGATCTAGGTATGGTTTTGGTATTTACTTATTGTATGGTAAAAAGGTGTTAATAGTACCTATATTATGTATCAAGTTTGATAAACGCCATTTTATACACGAATATAATTAAAGCACGAGCGAGCTTGCGAGCGAGTGCTTAAGTTAATGAGTGTATAGAAAAGTTTATAAACGAGGTGCATACTATACTTTTTCTACGACAAATACTTATTATTATCTTAAAATGATTTAAATCAAAAATTTGTATAGAGCGCCATCTATGAAACAACAGGGGAAACTGTCAAATTTCACATTTTTACATTTTATAAACACAATTATAAAGGGGTCAGAATTTCTCAAACGGGCCACCTGAATTAGGTCAAAATTAGTTTTTGATTGTAGATACATTTTTTCGATAGTATTTTACCACTAACACAAATCCTAAAGGATTTTGTAAAAAAAAAAATTTCAATTGACATATTCATGATATTAAAAGTAAAAGTTTTTAGTAATTAAAAAATAAAAAAAAATCATTATGGCTAAACTAATTATCCGATTCCAACGATTTAACTAGCGTTGGAATCTTGTTTTGACATAGATTCTTTGTTATTTTTTTCAATTGTACAATTTTCATTTAGGTCGATTTTTTTTTGTTTTTTTTTATAACAAATTCGGAAATAATTGGCTTCTGCGCCAGCTATCGACTCGAAAAAAAAAACACATATACTCCAATCATTTTTCGAAATTATGCTGCTGAGAAAAAAAATGGCCCGCAGGTTCCAGACCACCGTAAGACGTCGCGTCACAAGCGCGTACAGCGTACACGGTTCGGAGCGTGAGCTGACACCGCGCGCGGCCACAAAAGGACGAATAACTTTTTGTCAACCTGCGGGCCATTTTTTTTCTCAGCAGCATAATTTCGAGAAATGATTGGAGTATATGTGTTTTTTTTCTCGAGTCGATAGCTGGCGCAGAAGGCAATTATTTCCGAATTTGGTATAAAAAAAACAAGAAAAAATCGACCTAAATGAAAATAGGACAATTGAAAAAAATAACAAGGAATCTATGTCAAAACAAGATTCCAACGCTAGTTATATCGTTGGAATCGGATAATTAGTTCAGCCATAATGAATTTTTTTATTTTTTAATTATTAAAAACTTTGACTTTTAATATCATGAATATGTCAATTGAAAATTTTTTTTTTACAAAATCCTTTAGGATTTGTGTTAGTGATGTAAAATACTATCAAAAAAATGTATCTACAAACAAAAACTAATTTTGACCTAATTCAGGTGGCCCGTTTGAGAAATTCTGACCCAAAGGTTATAAATCGAAATGTATCTTGAAAATTGACAGTTTTTCACAGTGAAAGTAAAGGAAATGTTTTATGAGGACTTTACAGTAGAGTCCGTGCCCGAATTTAAGTTATAGTTTACTGCCGGCGAAATTAAAAGGTCAGTACAATGTTCATATAAACTTTTCAAATATTGGCGTTGAGAAACTATTTAATATTTTTGTATTTTTGTATTGAGATAATAAAATAATTTTCACATTTAGTATTATTTTACAAAAAAAGCACTTTATTTTAACGATTGTATGACATTTGACAACTGTCAACTAACTTCAGCCCGTGACTAAAAACCTGTTGCTAACTTCAGCCCGTGACTAAAGCGCCGTAAAGCCACAACTTGCCAATGTGTATTTAAAAGGTCACTTAGTGTCATGGAAACATGTACGATAAAGGGCGTTTTAAAGGTGGGAGTAGAAAAATATATTTATCTACTCCTATTTCAATATTCGGTTTGATCTAAACCAATCGGGTTTCAAATTGGGAGGAGGAGACTATATTTACTTTTAAAATTGGATAAAAGTGAGGTTAACCTTTTGACAGATGTCAGATTTTATTTATTTATTTTTGAAAATCATTTAATTATTTACTTATTGGAGTAGATAAAGTATAGTATTACACTCGAGATTATGCGCATTATCTTGTAAATAATAATATACTATTATCAACTATTGTATTATGGGTAGTATGTTTCTATTTAATTACGTATCTATATACATATGATTACTCATACGTTGTTTATCGTATTAAATTATTTATTTATAAAAATGCAAACCCATGCGTAATACTTGTGTCCAAGGAAAAAAGTTGTGAATCATCAGGTAAAACGTTTAGATTAATAATTGGGCAGGAAGTATTATTGGTTAATGATATTACATTAGGTGTTTTCCTTATAATAATTGTTAATTAATATTCTGTGTGTATTTTGGCAATTGGTCAACTTAAACAACAATGACGAGGTAGATTTTGATTTAAATTGACTATACCAAATATTTAACTAGTTAGTAATATTACTTATAAGTTAAAAAGTAGGTTATTTTAAAAACTACATAACGATTTATTAACTAGTACCAGGTACTAGAAAAGCTCTATCTTTTGAAGAAAAAAATGTCACATGTCTTTTCCATGGCCCTCTATGAAGGTCTCCAAGAACTTCAAAAGTCATAAGTCATTTTTTAAATTTTAAAACCCCCTAAAACGATAATTAAAAAAAGAAATAAATAAAAAAGTAATATTAAGTTTTATTAGTTTGTATACAAACTAAAAACTTAATTTTTAAAAAATGAATACCGAATTGTCGCCGATTAAAATGAAACACACTGTATATTATAGCTATAGGCTTTATTTTGTTTTAGTTTTTCTTGATGAAGAATCTTCGTTAAACTCCACAAATAACCAAAAAGTAAGAAAATAGCTTTGTTCGATGTTTTGCCTTTGTTTTGATTTTGCGCTTTAAAACAAAATGCTTCTTGGCTCAAAAAAGCACACCATACAAACTTATTTATGCGAAAAACGCATTAAAATCAAGTAGATATGGATTTAAATTCTATTGAAGTGATAAACGTTAATTTCATTCCATATACGGCGGACTCAATGCTAAGTTTTTGACCTGATTGCACTGTGCAGCAAAATGCATCTTTGGAAGGAAAAAACGGATTTATAAATTTTTACATTTTTAAATTTCACATAAAATGCTTAAGCCTGAATTATAGATTGCCTTCCTTCCTCCCGTAGAAGATGAACATTACGTAATCGTCACCATTAACATTTCCCATGTAGGAATTTTTAATACTTTGTGATAATATTTTGCAATTATAGTAATAAAAAAAATCAAAGAATTTCTTAACAAAATCATATTTTGAAGTTATTTTAATATTTTAAAGTTAAGGTTAATTAAAATTAATAACGGGCAATGTTAATGGTGACAATTACGTCAAAAATGTTTATTTAAATCGTAGTGACAGTTATAGATTCCCGTACCGTAAGGACGGAATTCCTTCCTCCCGTAGAAATTTTTAAGTTTTATCTTTCACCGTAAAGTCTTTGACATGACCAATCACAGTGCTTGTTATGGACATGCGCTGTAGGGTGACAGCGCGTAGGCACAAAATATTTAAAATACATGATTGTTTAGTATTATTTAAGATAGGTGTTCAGTTTATTAAATAATTTGTGTCTCCAAATAGGAAATTTAGATATTGTTTATAATCAATGTCTTTCATTTTTAGAAACGTTGCTTTGTAAAACCCCGTAGTTTCCCCGGTCTTGGTAAAGTGGGCGAGTCTTCCAACGTCTTGTTCGATATTTTTTTTTCATTATAATGCCCTATCTGGAGAAAGGCAGTAACTACAAATGCGTTTTCTTGTGCTATGATAAAGCTATGGACATTTTGTATCTTAATTCAACAAAGAAATGCAGTAAACTATCTTTTAAGTTAAATAAATCAGTTAAATACCTACTGCTTTTTATAAAAATGTAGTTTATGCTAATTTCCCACAAATTTCTTGTTTAGCAGTTACTGCCTTCCTCCATAGTTGGGCAGTATACAACAAGCTGCCTGGGCAATTAAAATTGTGATCGCTGCACTAATATATAAATGATTATCTTTCATATTTACACACAATGGGTAAAACGCAGAATATAAACAAAAACAAATGTCAACCACTTTAGGTGTCACCGCGCATGGTTACGGAATTTTACACGGAAATCTATAAATTGACTTTTTACAAGACGCACAAATCGTACGGGCACGACTACGGGAGGAAGGAAGGAAGGCAATCTATAATTCAGGCTTTAAACTTAATAATTTAATGAAAAAAATTAATAACTCTAAAACAAAAACAATTTTTCCCTTCAAAAGAATATTTCTCTGCACAGTATCAGACGGCAAGTTTTTTTCAGCATGTCTTTATAGCCCCACTAAGCGACTTGTCCATTGCCATGGTAACCAAGTTGTTACTTATCGAGCATGCCGTGGACTGCTTTTGTTTTATTTTTAACGGGGTTGCGACGTCTACAGTGTTGCCGGATGCCGCGAAGAATCCCAGAACACAGGGAAAACCGTTTTGTGACTTTTTAATGCGATTTTCCGATCGAATGATGATTTATTAGTTTGATGAGGAAGCGTCGCGTGATTTTGGGCAGCGTCGTGACGCCGGGCGTCGCTGTTTCCATTTTTAGACACGGCCAGATTTCTCAATCTCGATCGGCAATCTTCGCACGAAAATCCCGTCGCGATTCAGCCGACTGCGAATAATTTCAGTTTATAAATCGAAATGCACCTTTTGTAGAGTTTTTTTTTTAGTTTTTCGTTTTTCTTTTTCGAACTTCCGCAACGTTGGCATTGGCATAACTCACCCCCTGTAAGTACGTACATGCAAATGTGGCTGCTGTCATTGGTTGTTTTTCGATTGTTTTTTTTATTGATTGTTTATTGCTTACGTCACTGCTTACGTGGTTTGTTTGTTTTTTGTTTTCCACGGCCCTTTGATTTTTTAGGTTTTGTCATTTAAAGTACATGTATACATATGTATGTATATTTAAACTATTCCAGAAATACCTATCTTGTTTTGCTCACTGCCAAGAATATAAGCCAAATTTTTTAAAAATAGTGCGAAACGCGCATTCACGCATAATATTTTTCAAACCTTAAAATTTAATTTATTTTTAAATTGTTAATCACACTGCATTATTTAAATCCCAAAGATAAGTAAACAATGACTTAAACCTGGTTAAATTTAGAATTTTTACAGGAAAAATATATTTTAAACTTCCATTGTTTATTTAAAAAAAAATGATGAATTTTCTTCCCAGAACCCAAATATTTATTTTCAATTTTATTTCAATTTAACAAATGATAAAAATAAAATATAATTGTTTTAAAAATAAGGAATTATAAAATTGGTTTCAACATTTTTGGCAGCTGATTTTTATATATTTGTGTATTTAGTAAGTTGGAATTCAAAATTACAACTTCATTTTCCTGAACACATAATTAAAATTATTTTTAGAATACTCTGGTTGAGTCACAAATATTTTCTCATGCAAATATACACCGTGACCTTTAAATTAATCAATTTGTTTAGGGGGGCATATCAATTTTTTAAGTTTAATTTATTTGGTCAAAATTTTGTAAATCCTAAATAATTTTTTTTTAAATTATTTAGATTAAATTGGTGAAGTTAGATTTTAATTAAAAATAGTGTCGAAACGTTTAAAATAAAAACACATATAAAACATTTTCTACGAAAATATTTTAAACAATTAAATGTTTTAATATCAAAACAATTTATAATCAAAAAATTTTCAAATATAAAATACAATGTTAAAATTTTTATAAATTGTAGTGTAAACGCTGCTTTAGCTGACATCTGACAGCGTACGCCGTCTGCTAAAGCTACGTTTACACTTTGTAAATTAAAAATTATCGACTGAATTTTAACCGAAAATTTTGTAGAATAAAATATTTGAAATAAAATTTTTAAAAATATTTTGAAGGCTTAAAGCCTAAATTATAGATTGCCTTCCTTCCTCCCGTAGAAGATAAACAATACGAAACCCAATAAACATTTTTGACGTAATTGTCACCATTAACATTTCCCGTATGAGAATTTTTAATACTTTGTGATAATATTTTGCAATTATAGTAATAAAAAAAATCAAAGGATAAAATATTTTCTTAACAAAATCATATTTTGAAGTTATTTTAATATTTTAAAGTATCAATAATTGTTAAGTTTAATTAAAATTAATAACGGGCAATGTTAATGGTGACAGTTACGTCAAAAATGTTTATTTAAATCGTAGTGCCATTTATAGATTCCCGTACCGTAAGGACGGCATTCCTTCCTCCCGTAGAAATTTTTAAGTTTTATCTTTCGTAAAGGTCTTTGACATAACCAATCACAGTGCTTGTTATAGACATGCGCTGTAGGGTGACAGCGCGTAGGCACAAAATATTTAAAATACATGATTGTTTAGTATTATTTAAGATAGGTGTTCAGATTATTAAATAATTTGTGTCTTTAAATAGGATATTTAGATATTGTTTATGATCAATGTCTTTCTTTTTAGAAACGTTGCTTTGTAAAACCCCGTAGTTTCCCGGTCTTGGTAAAGTGGGCGAGTCTTCCAACGTCTTGTTAAATGTTTTTTTTTCATTATACTGGATAATATTTTTTGCATTAGTCCAAATAAAAAAAAATTGAACTGCATTTTATATTTAAAAAATGTTTTGACAAGGCATTAATTGTTGGTTTTAATGTTTAAAAAAATTAACTTTGGTAATTTCGAAAAAAAAAATATTTTCACATACAAATCCGTAAACCTTGATAAAATGTTTTAGATGGTGTTTTTATCAATTCTTGATGTAAATTCATACTAATTATTGTTTTTCATTCTACATATGTTGGATCTGGGTACATTTCGATAATAAATGCAAATTTTATAGCACCGTGTACCAGTATTTAAAGTAACTTCGACATTGGCTTATCCATATATAGACAAATCTTTTGCCTTCACAAGGTTTCATTAACTGAAAATTATCAGTAGCATTTTATTTATTTGAGTAAACCTCACGCCTGTCACGTTTATCTCCCTTAAATATTAATAAAATATTGTTTGTGTGATCAAAATTTGTATTGTTATACCTAGTGATGCGTAATTATTGTTTGTGTTGGGTATATTTGATTTGACGAGAACAGATGGTGTCTGAAGGTATGTTATGTAGAAAAGTACGTAATTTTTTTAATAGAAAATAATAACGTTATTTTGTGTGGGTATAATTTATAGTGAAGATCTATGTTTAGGTTAATTATTACATACATGCTTTTATTTTGGCAGAGATATGACGTTCAATCCCACTAGAATATTCGTCAAAATGTCCAGTACATTCTATGGAAAATAGACATAAATTTTCCTCGCCAATATATCTTAAAGTTTAATGAATGTTCCTAAAGACGTTTTGCCAGTATAAATTTTGCTAAAAATACTATTACAGTAAAAAAAAGTTATATAGTCAAATTATACACTGAGAAAAATATTACAATATTAGCTTAAATCAAGAGCAAGTGATTTCTTGGTACAAGAACCAAACATATTTCTTCGGAAGATATTTCTCTTTTGAATGAAAAAACGTTTTTAGCTAAAAAAAATGGGATTTTAACTAGAAAACTGAATCTCTTTATTGAAAAGCTTAGGAACTTTCTTAGAAAGAAAATTTGTCTTGCTACAAAAGCATATACGAGGTGTGTTCAGAAAATAACGGGAATTGTTAAATTTCGCGGGTTCAGAGGGTCCGGTTGTCATGTCATGTCAAATTTTCTTTATTATGTTGGTATACATGCCCCCGAAGTATGATAAAAACTTTAGCTGTTTTCATTGTTTACTTTGTCTGTGGCAGCCGCTAAGTTTAGACGTGTTTTATGAGCTCGGCGATTTTTCGTTCGTTAAAAGAAATGGATCAAGGAATTTGTATCCAATTTTGCTTAAAAAATTAAATAAATTCTGTGAAATGTTAACAAAGGCCTATAGTGAGTCTGCTATAAGTAAAACAAGAGTTTACAAGAAGTGTTTCGAGTATTGGAAGAAGAGCTGCCACATGTGCATAATATCCAATGGGGACTATTTTGAAGGCGACAACATTAATGTAAACGAATAAATAAATATTTGTTTCAAAAAACGAAAATTCCCGATATTTTCTGTATTTTCTCGTAGCGCAAATCTTTTGAATCAAAGTGATTTTCATTTCTTTTAAGAGAGTATATACCCACGAGCCGCCACTGTTTGCAAGTATGTAGTTAACATTGCAAGTTATATTTATTTGTCACTGAGTTCTGTAGACTGTGTGGGTGTACGATTCTGAATAACTCCAACATAATATTAGTAATTAAGCTTGGTTTGTTAGTGTAAGTATTATTGTTTCCTGAGTCATTTAAAGACATAAATTATAATAAAAATACTTATTTATTCACTTAAGTTACAACTACATACATTACATTATATTTTGTACATATTAATAGTAAGTTCCAGGACTAAAAAAATAAAACACAAATTAACAAAAAAAACGTTAATAAAACCTAATAACTTACTCATCGAACCTATTTTGATTGACCCCTAAACTGGCCGCCTGACTCTGCGAACTTGACCCCCCTTGACCTCCTTGAACATGATTATACCCTCCATGGTATGACCCATGACCATGATGACCGCTCTCCTTATGACTGTTCGTATTAGCACTGGATTGCGATTGCGACAAATTTATATTAATTATATTTGGGGGGTAGGGCCTGAACGGCGGTGGGGGTAAATGATGGGGAATCGGGGGAGGGTAAACCGGGTATGGCACAGGGATCGGGTATGGGACCGGGTAGCCATGGTTACCACCACCTCCCCCTCCAAAACCGTGGAGGAATTTTGGAGACCTCACAACACGAACTAAAAAAATAAATTTAAGATGTGCGAATGACATTTAATATTACAAAAATTACCTGATTTGGTCTCTTCTTTTTCTTCTGCAAAAACTGCAGATAAACATAGTAAAACAAAACACAGCTTAGGAATCATTTTAGTATTTGTTTTAATTTTAGCAAAAATGTTACTTTTATTTAAATATAATCTCCCACTTCTATTTTATATTCTTGTTAGTCTTGAATTTGCGAAAATCAATGCTACAGCACTAAAAGAGAAGGTTATTCATCTGTGTAAACTTGTAAAAGAAATAATGCATAATTCGCTTAGTAAAAATTGAATAAATCTTCAACAAGATTTGTATGTAGTACCTATTAAATCTTGTCTGGATTAGAATTATCCAGAACAGTGGACTGGTAGAAGAGGACCAATAGAATGGCCTCCCAGATCACCGGATCTGACACCATTAGACTTTTGTTTGCAAAATATTCCATTCATATTTTACAAGCTATATTATATAGGAAATAACATTGAACCTTCAAGATCAGAATTAATTTTGCATTTAATATAATCATTGCATAATCAATAAATTATTTCAAAGTGATTGACCTACATTTTCGTATAATTAATACTCGTAGATGCAGTAATTACACAGATCCACAAAAAAAACCAACATTCCATTGTTGAAATCATACCCTGATAGCAAAATTTGATTCTAAGAATCTTCTAAGAAGATATGACCCGGAATAATGGAATATTCTTAGAACCTTCCCTTATTGCTAAGAATGTTCTTAGGGACTTTTAAAACATTCAATAGATACCCTTTTAATGATGCAATAAGATTCTTAGAAGCTTCTTAAATCCTTCCTAAAAAGCATTCTAAGAACATTTTAAGAATACGTTTTTGGAATGTTCTTAGAAGGTTTCTTATGGAGCTTCTAGGAAGCTTTTGAGAATATTTCCAAATATGTCAGATACCCGCGTTCTAATATGTTGGATTCTACATTCGTAAAATTAATATACAGTGAAATGTATTTGTCGTCCCCTTAAAAAATTTTGCGACATATTAATATATATTTATTTAAAAATATTAAATAAACAATTTTAGTCCGGTCAAATTAGACCAAAAAATAACAGTGAAGGTACATAAATTTACAACAAGCTGAAAATCATTAAAATTGTTCAGAATATAATTATAAATAAAATTTTAAAGTTCCCCATCATTCCCCTGTATGGAAAAAATTTTATTCAAGGTCAAAGGTCAAAAAAATTAGTTTTTCGCGATTTTTAGCAAAACAGTAAGTTTTATCATAAAAATATCCCAAACAAAAATTGTAGATAATAAAATTATCTATAAAAAATGTATCAATACTTTTTTCCTACGAGCCACCGTTTCTGAGATATAACGATTCGAAAAGTTGTAATCGTCATAATATGCATGGGTACGCCACGTATATTTATCTCTAGAGTTGTAATATATGTTAAAATATTTTTCTATCGGCCATTTTAACTTACACTTAAAATATAAAGTATACCTACACATACCTACACAGATTTTAATTGGTTAACTTTTTTAAATACCCAACAAAAATTAAACGGGCTTCTGGCCGATTAGTTTTCATTCGATGAAGCTCATCTTTTAGTATGTCAAACTTTGGTCTTTTACCCATCGATTCGTGTATTTTCGGCCAATTTCGAAAATTTCTCTCGCCCTAAAAAACGTTTAAAAATTTTTCGAAAAAAAGAACGCTGTTCGAAAAGTTTCCGGCGGATCCGGCCCGTTAGCAATATTGATTTTTTCCGTTGTCTGTATATCCTTTTTTTTCTAAGCGCCGTAGCTCGGAGGCCGTTGAAGGTTGAAATTTGCATCCGTTTTTTCTGCCCAAGAGACCTATCCGCGGACCAAATTTTTCCGGTGTCGAAAAGGCCCAAGTCCACTTTTTTCGATTTTTCCGTCAAATTTGGCACGTTCCGTTGTCTTCGCTTAACTTTCGAACGAGCGGAGATTTTTCGGCCAAACTCGAGGAAAAGGTGCTTCGGGACAAGAAGTTATCACCAACGGCATTCGATTTCTTCTTTCTATATACGGAGCTCCTAAAAAAACTACCTGCTTTGATAAGTTTCGATATGCATGTTTCGTTAAAAATTCTAAAAGTAAAAACAAGTTCAATTAGCTTGTCTTCCTCCAACCTCAGTTGCTGCTCATCAACATCTTTTTCAGGTATATTACCAAGTTCAAGTGTGGCTTGGTTATCAGCTAGACCCTACAGACCAGAGACAAGGGAGTCTCTGCTACAGACTGGGGTTGGAAGTTGGTCAACAACACATTAGAACCAGTTCAAACTTTACTCCCACCTGCGCCGTAAAAACTTCTGAACACAATTTTTTGCAACTGCAAAAAGGGATGCAGTGCTAAATGTGGTTGCAAAAAAGTCGGACTGTTTTATTCTCTGGCATGTACGAATTGTCAAGGCCGGTCGTGCTCTAATGTTGAATTACCAACAGTGGAGGATTCATTTAATTCCAACGAGGTGACATGCGATACATCGCTATTGACGCAATTTACTTGTACCCAGGATGAAGATGAAGAAGAAGATCAAGAAGAAGAATTTAAATGTTACGAATCAAACGAATAAACTTCAGTACTTTTTTTAAATTTACATCGCTATTATCTTTTCCAATCATTGCTAATTTCCGTTATTTTGCAATAGTTTCAAATTAAACAGGATCACAACTGACTCGTGAAATAGGCCTACTGGGAAAACCACGTTAAAAAACTCATTAAGTAAACTACCTCATAGGTGGCGTGGAAACGTGTGCATATTATGGCGATTATAACTTTTACAACTTTTCGAATCGTTATATCTCATAAACGGTGGCTCGTAGAAAAAAAAGTATTGATACATTTTTTATAGATTATTTTATGATCTACAATTTTTGTCTAGTGTATTTTTATGATAAAATTTACCGTTTTGCTGAAAATCGCGAAAAATCATTTTTTTTTTACCTTTGACCTTGAATAAAAAAATTTCCATACAGGGGAATGATGGGGAACTTTAAAATTTTATTTATAATTATATTCTGAACAATTTTACTGATTTTCAGCTTGTTGTAAATTTATGTACCTTCGAATGTCTAGATTGACCGGACTATTTGACCTTTAAACCATAAGTTGTATGACAATTATTTCATAAAAAGTAAAATTGGAAAATTTTGTGGGATAAGTCAGATTAGATTGAAGTTGAAGATAGTTAGGATTATTATACATAAAAATGTTAATTCAGATATAAAAAATCGGTATACAAATTAATAAATATTTATTTTTAACATAAAATAAAATATAAAAAAAAACAAAATATTTCCTTATTAAATAATTCTTCATAAAAGAAAAAACCAAAAAGTTCTTCATAAAAAAAACATTTTTCATTGTATTTAAGTTGGATAGAACATTTTATGTAAAAGCCGGATAATTTAGATACCTATAGTAAAAGTATTTTTGTTATCAAATATTGTTTTAATTTGACAAATAACTATAAAAAAATATTTTGGGTTGTGTTTTTACTTAGTATTTAATACTAAGTATAGGGACCTTTATACGTAGATTATGATATATTTTACTTTTATATAGATACTTAACTGAACTGAATATGCTTAACAGAATGTTCCAGGAATATTCCTAAATGAACTTTCTATAGCAATTACTTTCTTAACATTCTAAGCATATGTTTAGAGTGGATTAATTTTTACCACTAAACTTTGCACCTTCTAAGAACCTGCCTATAGGCCAGTGGGAATATTCTTAGTATTATGCTATATTTCTTTTAAGCATGTTCTTTAGAAGAAATGTAGCATGATCCTAAGAATATTCTCACTGGAAGGTTTAAAAAACATTCTTAGAACATGACTAGAAGAAATATAGCATGATCCAAGAATATTCTCACTGGAAGGTTTAAAAAACATTCTTAGAACATGACTAGAAGAAATATAGCATGATCCTAAGGATATTCCCACTGGAAGGTTTAAAAAACATTCTTAGAATAAACTGTGCTATCAGGGGTTTTGATTTGTCAAAAACCAAAAATGATATTAAACAATTTTAAAGTTCTTTCAGATCACCAACAAGTTTTGTGGTGATGTTATAAACATATAACTCAAATAACATAAATAAAACAAACAATTCACTAAACTAAATAAAATGTATTGCAACAAAAACTTAACAAAAGCAAAAATCAACAAAACCAATCACCTCAGCCGTAATGATGTTTGATGTGCTTGTGCACGTGTTTCGCGTGGTGATCGTGATGCGCATGGTGACCGTGTTTGTGATGGTGCTGGTTCTTGTGGTTGTGGTGATGATCGTGCTTGTGCTCGCCGTGATGCTTGTGATCGTGGTGATTATCGTGCTTGTGCTGCTCGTGGTGGTGATGATCGTGATTCTGCTTGTGCTCGTGCTTGTGATCGTGGTGATCTTTATGCTCGTGCTTGTGGCCGTGGTGATGCCCATGCTCGTGTTTGTTGAGGTGATGATGTTGATGTTGATCTGCAATAAATCACTTTTAGATGCGATATTGAGGATGTAGACATTACTTACTTTTGTGGTGATGGTGATGGTCTTGCTGATGCTTGTGTTCGTGTTGGTTGCCGTGTTTGTGACCGTGGTGATGGTCGTGTTTGTGTTGGTGATCATGTTGTTGATTGTGACCGTGGTGCTCCTCGTGACTGTGTTTTGCTTTGTGTTCGTGGTGATGGTCCTGCTTGTGGGCGTGTTCGTGGAGATGCTTGTGCTTGTGGTAGTGCACTTCTTTCTTCTTTTTGTTGCCGTAATAGCTGATGTCTTCTTTTTGTTTTGGTTCGTTGTAGTCTAAGTCTACTTCGGGGTCTACTAGTTCATAGTCGTTTCTTGCTTGGTATGGTATCATTTGGACTGGTGGGTTTTGCACGCTGTGCAGGAATGTGTCAGCAGGAACATAGTTACCGTAGAAGAAGGGTTGGTTTTGGTTTTGTGATACGCTAACAAACGATGTTGTATCCTGTTCTGGGTTGACTGTGCAGCCTGTGACCAGGCACGACAATGCCAATAACGCATTTGCAAAAAACTAAAAAAAATCGTAACAATGTAAACTTTATTAAATTGCTAAAATAACTTACCCAAGCTCCCATGGTGTACCACTTGTTGAACAACACCAAGCTGAGAGTACCACTGACGTCTCTCCACAAACAAAACAAATTTATATATCGACAAAAACATTCCACCACTATAATAAGGTGGAAAATATCCACGCTCGGTAGGCACATTTTTAATGCAAATTCGTGGTGCGTGCCTTCTTTTCCTACTTCATTAGGCCCATGTTTGTTTAGTGTGCGAGCGAGGTAATTAGTTATAAAAGTTATAATAAAGCAATTAATTCATTCTCGCGTAAAATGTTTCCTGCAGAGAAAATACAATGGACTATTACCCATGATGGTTATTATCTTGATCAAATAAACCAATAAATATTTATAGACAGGAACAACTCAGCCAAGAAATGCATTTTAGTCAATAATGTATCTTATTAAGACTCTTTGTTTTTGTTATTTAAACGATAAGTAGGATGTTGGCATCTTCAGAAGCGAATTGTAACTCAAGTTAACCAGTATTTAACTTTTTGTGACATCTGCAGATGCAGATGTTCAGAAAGAATTGTTTTTAAATGTACATCCATTCAATTAAGACATTTTAGAAAGGTATAAGGTAGTTTTTAATTTTTAGGTCAATTAAGACAGTTTAGCAGTTCTTAAACAGTTTAAAGGCAATGTTAAGGCAGTTTTAAGACAATTTAGGACAATTTAGAAATTTTCAAAGCAGAACATTTTAAAACGGCATTTTAGACAGTTTGAAGACATTTTAAACCATTTTAAACAATCCAGGCAGTTTTGGGATTTGTTTAGATAGTTTTAGGACAATGTTAAAACAGTTTTAAGGCAGTATTATGACAATTTACTTAGTTTTGGGACATTTTGTAGACAGTTTTAATGCATTTTAAATAGGTAGTAGGTATACCTACTATAGGACATTTTAAACCTACTATAGGACATTTTAAACAGTTTAAAATAGTTTTAAGGCAATTTTAGGATATTTTTGATGATTATCTAATTTATACAGTTTAATACATTTTAAAATGTCCTAAAACTGTCCTGGGACTGTCTAAAAATGTCTTAAAATAGTTTTTAATTCAGTTAGGAAAATTTAGAGATTATCAAAGCAGTTTAAAGGTAGTTTTAGGACCATTAATGCAGTTTAGGTTAGATTTAGGACAATTTAAATAGTTTTAAGTCAGTTGAAGACATTTTTACATGACAATTTAAGGACATTTTAGTCACTTTAAACCAAAGGAGTTTGAAGGTAGTTTTAGGACAATGTATACAGTTTGAGACATTTTAGACAGCTTTAGGACAATTTAAATAGTTTGAAGTCAGTTGAAGACATTTTTACATGAATTTAAGGACATTTTAGTCACTTTAAACCAAAGCAGCTTGAAGGTAGTTTTAGGACAATGTATACAGTTTGAGACATTTTAGACAGCTTTAGGACAATTTAAATAGTTTTAAGTCAGTTGAAGACATTTTTACTTGACAATTTAAGGACATTTTAGTCACTTTAAACCAAAGCAGTTTGAAGGTAGTTTTAGGACAATGTATACAGTTTGAGACATTTTAGACAGCTTTAGGACAATTTAAATAGTTTTAAGTCAGTTGAAGACATTTTACTTGACAATTTAAGGATATTTTAGTCACTTTAAACCAAAGGAGTTTGAAGGTAGTTTTAGGACAATATATACAGTTTGAGACATTTTAGACAGCTTTAGGACAATTTAAATAGTTTTAAGTCAGTTGAAGACATTTTACTTGACAATTTAAGGATATTTTAGTCACTTTAAACCAAAGGAGTTTGAAGGTAGTTTTAGGACAATGTATACAGTTTGAGACATTTTAGACAGCTTTAGGACAATTTAAATAGTTTTAAGTCAGTTGAAGACATTTTTACATGACAATTTAAGGACATTTTAGTCACTTTAAACCAAAGAAGTTTGAAGGTAGTTTTAGGACAATGTATACAGTTTGAGACATTTTAGACAGCTTTAGGACAATTTAAATAGTTTTAAGTCAGTTGAAGACATTTTTACTTGACAATTTAAGGACATTTTAGTCACTTTAAACCAAAGCAGTTTGAAGGTAGTTTTAGGACAATGTATACAGTTTGAGACATTTTAGACAGCTTTAGGACAATTTAAATAGTTTTAAGTCAGTTGAAGACATTTTACTTGACAATTTAAGGATATTTTAGTCACTTTAAACCAAAGGAGTTTGAAGGTAGTTTTAGGACAATATATACAGTTTGAGACATTTTAGACAGCTTTAGGACAATTTAAATAGTTTTAAGTCAGTTGAAGACATTTTACTTGACAATTTAAGGATATTTTAGTCACTTTAAACCAAAGGAGTTTGAAGGTAGTTTTAGGACAATGTATACAGTTTGAGACATTTTAGACAGCTTTAGGACAATTTAAATAGTTTTAAGTCAGTTGAAGACATTTTTACATGACAATTTAAGGACATTTTAGTCACTTTAAACCAAAGGAGTTTGAAGGTAGTTTTAGGACAATGTATACAGTTTGAGACATTTTAGACAGCTTTAGGACAATTTAAATAGTTTTAAGTCAGTTTAAGACATTTTTAGACAGGACAATTTTAAGGACATTTTAATCACTTTTAAACCAAAGTAGTTTAAAGGTAGTTTTATGACCATTAATGCAGTTTAAGTACATTTAAGAAAGTTTTAGGACAATTTAACTCGTTTTAAGTCAGTTGAAGACATTTTTACATGACAATTTAAGGACATTTTAGTCACTTTAAACCAAAGCAGTTTGAAGGTAGTTTTAGGACAATGTATACAGTTTGAGACATTTTAGACAGCTTTAGGACAGTTTAGACCAAAGCTACACTTCGCTTCTGAAGATGCCAACATCATTGGCGAAAAGTACTTTAAGCACTTTGTGTTTTGTTTTGGTGTTGGAAAAATTAGGAATAAAAACCAAATTTGTATATAATTTTTTTTATTTACACAAAATAACAATTGACCTGGATTAGGTGGACAAGTTATACATGTACATTTTTTCTTTTTCTGCTTCATCTCAAATATTGGTTACCAAAACAAACATTTTGGCCTCCCAAACAGTCTCTAAGTACTTCTAACTCTATTAATTACTAATGTTTATGACTCTTGTGCTCATGCTCCTCCTTCTCTTCGTGATGATGCTTATGACCATGCTTATGACCGTGCTTCGCCTCGTGCTTATGCTCGTTGTGGTGATCGTGCTCATGATGACCGTCATGTTTGTGATCGTGACCGTGGTGATGACCGTGCGATGCGTGGTGATCGTGGCTGTGCACCTGGTCGTGCTTGTGATCGTGGTGATGGTCCTGCTTGTGATCGTGCTTGTGGGCGTGCTTGTGGCCGTGGGCGTGCTTGTTTTTGTGGTGGTGCTCGTGATGGGCTGGAAAATTAAAAATATTTGATTGTGGTTATGATTAAATTTTAAAATCTATGAATACCTTTATGTTGGTGATGGTGCTCGTTCTTGTGCTCATGCTGGTGCTCGTTTTTGTGCTCGTGGCCGTGCTCGTGCTTGTGCTCCTGCTTGTGCACGTGCTTGTGCTTGTGCTCGTGCTGCTGTTTGTGCTCGTGCTTGGCTTGATGCTTGTGCACGTGTTGTTGCTTGTGCTCGTGCTCGTGCATGTGCTTGTGCTTGTGATAGTGGACTTCTTTGTGCTTCTTTCCGTGGTCCGAGTAATGTTGAGCGTCGTTTTGCCGCTTGATTTCGTCTGAATGGGTGTTGGTTTGGATTTCCACGGAACTCGGTTGTTGTTGGTGATGATGGGTGACGTCTGCCGGTTGTTCTTCTTGCGATTGCTCACCGTCGTTTGGGTATGTTCGTATGTTTTCTTTTTCTACGTAATCATCCGATGATTTGAAGTCTTCATCCTCAAAATTTCTATCTATGTTTTTGTTGCTAATGGGCTTTAAAGTCTTCACCACCAACTTTGATTCTTTTTGTTGGTATGGCTCTTTGGTATGTCGCTTTTCATAGTAGTTGATGTCTCTATAATTCTCTCTAACTAAATGTTTATCACTCTTGGTAGTTAAATATGCAGGCAATTGTTTTTCAATAAAAGCCTCCAAGCTAGCATAATCTTTAGTAGTGTATTCTCTCTTCTCAACACTATGATCATCACTATACTCTATAGAGGATAATGGTTTCAAATAACTAGGCACCGCAATCTGTAAGGTCTCTGTTGAATCAGCTTTCATTAAATCCCTAAATGTACGCGGCTTATGTCTGTTATAACTTAAAAAGGCCTGGTCTCCATGATACGAATCAAAAACATTGCAATAGCTCAACCCAAAGTAACAAAATAGTACAGAAACCACTGCCTAGAAAAATACAACAATTAACGTTATTTTGCTATGAAAAAATCACGTATGTGGGTACTCACGTTCGTTCCCATGGTGCTTGCTGTCCAATAGAAACAGTCAAGCCAGCCAAGCTGATTTTAATGGACTAAACTACGTTTAGTACTGCCACTTCTTATATACGTATCTAATTGTTAAACAATTAGTTGTTAATAAGATATTTACATGCTAAAAAAGTGTTAAAATAAATCGGAATTTCTATCTGTCGATTTAAATCGTTGCGATAATTATGAGATTAATTAATATGGTAAAAGAAAGTCAATTTCATACTAATTTGTATAAATCATATACTTCAATTATTGAACTGTAGATAATTGGCAATTACTATGACAACAGTTAGTGACCCAAGATTGTTTTTTTGTGAAATTATTATAAATTATGATTTACCATAATGTTTAGAATAAATTGTAACAAAAAAATGATCGATCTTTTTTAAATTATATACGAGTAAATAGTAATAAATAATCGTTATTTAGATCGGGACCTAAGCTTACAGTAAAAAAAAGCTTCACACTAGGCTTTACTATAGAGAACACTAGTTATAGCTTGAGCAGGTCCACTTTATTAGACTTCAAATTTTCACCTTAAATTTAGTGTGAATTTTAGTGTTGTCTTTTTATATAGACTTTGAAGTGTTATAATATAAAAATTAATGTACGCTTAAAAAAATATATAATGGAGGTTTGCAATGATTTTGCTCTTATTAATTTTTTATATATTTATTTATCTCCACGCGGTCTATAATTTAAACTTTATTGTTGTCAACATTCGATAAAGAAATACCTTGTTATGGCCTAGGCCGATAAAAATTTTTACGAGGCAAGTAATTGGTTCGATTTTTTCTCGCTAGGGGTATTGTTTTGACAAATTAATCCTTTTCTAAGAAATTAACGTACTAAACTGGTTTAATTTATTTATAATAAGCACTAATTTGTTTGTTTTACTGTTAATGTTTAATATTTTTCATTAAATTATTGTAAAATTAAATATGAATAATAAAACAAAAAGTGAGGTTAGGCAACCAAGAAAACGCACGATTCTTGTTCTACGATTTAAATTATCTTTAAGTTTTAATTTTCAGTGAAATTAAATGTTAAACACAGCTTAAACATTCCAAACTACCTATTTTTTAAATAAAAATCCAAACAAATTGAAATTAGATACCTATTTATTAAAAAATTAATTGAATTCAATGTAATAGCAAAAATCCATTTCTACTTAAATCATGTTGCTAGGTATTGTCAAACTATTACTGCTTCTAAAAACAATAATAATTATTGTACATTTAATGTAATCTTTAGCTAATAAATAAATGAGATTCTAAAAAAGTGAGGTTAGGCCGCTTTGATGTTGAATTAAATTGACCTATATAAAGTGCTTTGATGTTGTATGCCATTCGGCCAAGAAGTTCTTAACCTAATGACATAAATAACTATTATATTTTATTATATGAGTAATTTTGGGTAGCGCTGCTGGGGTGTTTAAATAATGTTTATATAAAACAAATAAAATTTATATTTATATAAAAATACAGTCCATTGTAAGTTTTACGCTACAAAATATAAAAGTAATCTTTGGCAATTACTTCAAATATAAATACTTCAAAACACCAAATAATTTTTTGGCACAAGGTACCAATTGACACTGTTAGATTGAAAAAATTGTTGGCTCTTTGTAAAGCAAGCTTAAAATCTCGTAGTTTTATACAGGTAACCAATTTTTACCCGGTTTGTGACTAAAATTTCTTTCGAATCAGGAAATTTTTCTATATAAGTATATAGACAATTTTTGCAGTGATAATGTTAAAATAAAACTTTGAATATCCTCTTTGCAATTTAGTGCTAAAGTTGTCATCATAAAATGCCATCTGCTAAGGTTTTGGATAAAGTTTTTACTTAGTATTAGTGATGTTTTTTTTAGTAGTAGTTGTTGTAATCTGGTTATACATATATATATATATAAAAATACCACATATTTTAAACATTTTTTTTATTAAAAAATAAACAACAAAATTTAACAATACAAAACACACCAAAGCACGTTACCCATGCCATCCGTGCTTCTTTTCGTGCACATGCTTGTGCTCAGAATGGTGATCATGGCCGTGCCAGTGATCGTGCTTACCATCGTGCTTGTGATGGTGACTGTGCTTGTGATCGTGGCCGTGATTACCGTCGTGCTTGTGATCATGACCGTGGTGATGAGAATGCTCGCCTTTGTGGTGATGATCGTGGCCGTGCTGGTGCTTGTGGCCGTGCTTGTGATCCTGGTGATGCATGTGCTTGTGACCGTGGTGATGGCCGTGCTTGTGACCGTGGTGATGCCCGTGCTCGTGCTTGCCTGAAAGAGGTTACGTCAAGAGACGACAATGCAAAAAACTCAAAACTTACCTTGGTGTTCGTGCTTGTGACCGTGGTGATGCCCGTGCTCGTGCTTGTGCTTCTGCTCGTGCTCGTGCTTGTGCTCGTGCTTCTGCTCGTGCTCGTGCTTGTGCTCGTGCCCGTGCTCCTCTTTATGCCCGTGGATGGCTTGATGTTTGTGGTGATGCTCCTGCTTGTGCTCGTGCTGATGCAAGTGCTTGTGTTGGTGATAGTGGACCTCCTTCTTTTTTTTCTTGTGGTGGTACGAGTGGTGGTCGGTGTCGTCCAAGGATTGGTACGCCGGGGCGGATTCTGCCGATCTTACATCATGTTGATGCTGGATGGGTGCGTAAGCGTTTTGGTAGACTATTTGTTTGGTTTCTGTGGTGAGATTTTCCTCTTGGGGGTTGGCTAACCCTACGGCTTCGGGGTAGTCGTAGTCCTTGCGCTCTTGTGTTAAATCCTCACGTCGGGCTACGTAGTACGATTTCAGGGGTATATCGATGCTCGGTATCACCACCACTTTTTGGTAGGTTTCATGAATATCGGTGGAATCTTGAACTTGATCCTGGAGTCTCTTTGGCAATGCCTCTGCCAGTATTATACCAGCCAGGAAAAAGACAATGTTGACCTGTAATTTAAAAATAAAAATTATATACATATTATAAATGTTATAACATACCCAAGCTCCCATGGCGGCTGGCGTAGATGCGAACCAAGCTGAGAGTGATCTTGATTGAGGCAATGCCTCGTTTTATATATCTCACAATCAAAAAAAGATAATTCAATATATTAGTAAAGAATTTACGCCTTGTTATTACCATTTCCACAATAATTATATGATAAATGTCTTTAATTCATTAGGCATACTTTCATTGCTAGTAGTTTTAGTTTTGTTGCACTTGTTAATGAGACATTTCGAATTATTTTATTAGGTACAGCTTAAGTGCATTTTTTCAGGAAGTAAATTAATAAGGAATTAAATGGAAATTCTAATTAAGTCCGTTCTGAATTATGATTAATGTAAAAACCACTAAAAATTATGAATTATTAGTTATGCTATTGTTTCAGTAATAATTAATGTTTTTATTAACATGTAATATTTCCGTTTTTTAAGTGTGGTTTTATTGTAGATAAGGTTTGGTTAGCAGATTATTTTTAAGGTTTTATAAAGAAATTAGCTCTAAGTATTAAAGATATTCATCATTAAAATTTGTTAATTTTATACAGGGTTATTAAAATTTTTATGAGTAAAGTAGAAATTTTGGGCCGCCACTGGTTGTTCTTGACCTATGACATATCATAATAAATATTCAACTATCCCGCCGTTATTATCCACAAAAAGTTAAGAGCGGCGTAGAAAATTATGATGTCTGCTCTTTATATCCTTGTGATGATTTCGGATTTTATCTGCCGCTGCAGTGACAAGTTCGCGGAGTTGTTCTAATGTGGTACACTAAAAGTTTGCTTCATATTACATTGTTTTTAGAGTTAAAAACAATGATGATATATAGCATAGGTCAGTGACATACAGTGGCTTCCTGGTTTTGTCAAAAAAATTTCATATTTTTTTTATTGAAAAACAGTAGCTCTAATGCCAAAATGATGAGGAAAACTGTGAACTGAACTGAAATTACATTTATATGAGCTTATAGCTACTATATAAAGGCGAAAAAAAGTTTTTTATTGTGCTTCCCCAATTAATATAATTCAAATAAAAGTGGTGCAATTTATAGTTCACTACAGTTTATAAACAAATTTAAAAATTTATTTAAAAAGTCCAAGTATTACAGATTTAATACCATTTCTATTTATTTTTTAATTTACTAAAAAAATTTTTTTGACGAGTACTTTTCAAGTTGTTATACCTATCTCATATTTCAAAGCAAACTTTTCAGGATTGTTCCTACTTATTATAGAGGGCAAATAATAGTAAATATTTTTCTAAACAATTTTATTAAAACATAACAACAACAGGAGCAACAAGCAACAAAAATCAACCCTTGTGATGCTTGTGCTGGTGGTGACTCTTGTGGCCGTGCTTGTGCTCGTGCTTGTGACCGTGGTGATGACCGTGCTCGTGCTTGTGCCCGTGGTGATGCTTGTGCCCGTGCTCGTGCTTGTGCCCGTGGTGGTGATCGTGCTTGTGATCGTTGTGATGGCTGTGCTTGTGCTCCTGATGGTGATCGTGCTTGTGCCCGTGGTGATGGTCGTGCTTGTGCTCCTGATTGTGCTTGTGCTCGTGCTTGTGGCCGTGCTTGTGCTCGTGCTTGTGCTCCTGCTTGTGCTTGTGCTCGTGCTTGTGGCCGTGGTGGTGCTTGTGCTCGTTGTGGTGGCCGTGCTTGTGCTCGTGGCCGTGGTGGTGCGCGTGATGGTTGAGGTGCTCGTGCTTGTGCCCGTGCTCGTGCTTGTGCTCGTTCTTGTGCTTGTGCTGGTGCTCCTGCTGGTGCTTGTGCTTGTGCATATGCTTGTGCTGGTGGTAGTGGACTTCCGCGTGCGTTTCCTCTTCGTGATGGTCGTGGTGGGACTCGTGGCCGCCCCAGTCTTGGCGGTCGGCGATTCGTGCCGGTCCCATCATGATTTCGCTGTAGCGGTACTTTTCGTTTGATTTTTCTTCATTTTTGCCCTCTATTGAGGTGAAGTCCTCTATGGGGGTGCCTCTCGGGAATCTGCCGACGTCGTCCAACATCGGAAAGTCCTCCTTTGTCGGTCCTAGCCCTGAATATTTGTAGTCGATGTTGGGGTAATCATACTTTGAGTCTACGATGATTGCATTTGATTTGGAGAAAGCCAAAATCAGCAGAACTATGTTCAATATTACCTGGAAAAAAACAAATTAATCATTTAAGTTTATAGTTGTTGATATGTTTTGGCGAACCTTAGCTCCCATGTTGCCTTATTCCAGTAGGAAACACGCTGAGTATAGGCATGTTTTTTAGACATCCTTCTTAAATACTATATCGCAATTCCCTCTACAATTTTCCCATATTGATTATAAACTGATAATAATTAACTTATAATAGAATAATTATTGAGTTTTCACTTTGTATTTTTCATAAATTAATAGATTACAGTGGGTACTTGTGTCACGGGCTCGTTTAAATAAGAATAATTATCGGAAACTAATTAAAAATTCTCTTCTATTATTTAATTATTTAAACATTATAATCGAAGTAAACTTCGAGCTCATTTGAATAATAATTTATAACTTGATTAACCACTAATTAGGTGAAATTTAGATTTTAAGAACAGGTACTTCCTTGTGGGTGTTTTTGAAAAAGGCAAGCGGATTTTATTTTTGAAAATGTTTTTATAGCTGGTTTTCAGCCAAAATTTCTATTTTTTCTTATGAATTGCCTTCAATATTATTGGAATAAAACAAAATATTAAAATTAATTCCCTTTTTTAGAATGGACGGCAAACAATATGGCGATTTTACGATGCTTTTACTTATTGGTTATATAACCAATATAAATTAACCTGCAAGTTTATTTAAACCATTTGGTTATTTTTTTGTGTTTAATTTAACTACTTTATTAACCTATCGGTAATTTGGTTTTGGTTTAATTTCGGTAATTGTTTATAAATATAATTGTTTTTACAAACATTTTATATAACCTTTAGTAACCGTTACCAGTAGGTTTATAAAGGAATTTTATAAAGGTTGCGGTTACCTGTTTTATAAAACTATTTTTTTTAATAAAAATCGTGAGTTGTTAATTATTTAAGTGGTTTCCATAATATTCCTGTTATCTCTAGTTATAAAACTTGGGTTTTATAATGTTACTGAAATAGGTACCGATAACCTTCATAAACTCTTTTTAAGGGGTATATAAGAGTGATATAAATATTTATGTAACCAAATTAAGAAATTTAGGTTTTATAATTTGGGTGATATAACCACTATAAAAACAACAATGTTTATTGGGACGTTATGTAACTTTTAAAACAACCTACTTTTTAACTTATAAGTAATATTACTAACTAGTTTAAACTCTTGAAATAACTCTTGAAATAACCTTAACTGCAATAAATTCTGTATCTTAAAAACAACTTTTATTAAAAGAATTAATTTCTCAACCCTAACTTTTGTAAAACAGATTTCGTTTATTTTTATAGTAGCATTTTTATGATGTCAATTTATTACAAATAGTTTGTTTCGGTATCTAATTTAAAATGTGGGCTTATACATACATGAATTATTTATTAAATTTAATTATAAAATACTGTAGGTACCTACTAGTCATTCTTTTGCTAATTTTCATTCGATTATTTCTTCATTTAAAATTTCTTATTTAATGTAAATGTAATACTGCTAACTTGTGAAAAAATTATTATTTATATTGATTAATAATTATTTATCTATATGCATATATGTATGTATATATACCATGGTACAGCTATAATAGTGTTAAACAAATTAAATTAATTAATATTAATATTAATTATTCAGTTAATAATTATCCATAATTATTAATTACTTTAAACAGTACATTTGTTAAATCGGATATTTATAATATATTATAGATATTGATTTATTAATATTTTCATATTTTCTAATTTCTTTGCAGGAAAGTGTAGTAGGTACTTATCAAACAAAATAAGTACATAAATGACTTTGTTTTTTTTTAATTGAATATAGAAAATGAACTCTAAGATATTTAATCATATACAGGGTGTTTCACATTCGCCACATTAGAAATTCTGAGTCAAATTACTATACCATGTCCTATACCTAAAGCTAGAAAGGGAATAGTTTTCGGTAAAATTTGAAAACAAACACTTTATTAGTCAACAAATTGTTTATAACAACGCCATTAAATTTTAAACAATGACAGATTACGTGGTAACCATAGATACCGTCAACTCACCTGTCACAAAATTATATTTAAAATTTTAGAAAAAAATATCTTTGAAATTATTAATTTTAGGTACCTATAGGGAATGGTAACGTTAATCGAAAGTTTTTTTTAATTTACTATTTGATTATGTAAAAAATATACCGGGTGTTACATTTATAATAAAAAAGTTATTAACATTTCAAGTTAGCTTAAATTGCCCTGTTTTTTTTCAGGTAATTTGTTAAAAAATGTTAAAAAATTGACATGAAATCTTTTAAACAATGTCTTAAGATTCCAAAAATTTCACTGCCATATCCGCAAACCTAAAAACAAAAAAGTTATAGACTAATTATGATTGATGCGCATTTGTCAACTTTTAACGAAAAAAAATTAAAAACTCGAAAACTATTCACTTTAGGTATAGGACATGGTATAGTAATTTTACTAAGACTTTTATACATAATTTCAAAATGTAAAAATACGAAGTGTGTTCAGAAAATAACGGGAATCGTTAAATTTCGCGGGTTCGGAGGGTCCGGTTGTCATAAAATTTTATTTATTATTTTGGTTTACAATGTAAACTTTACATGCCCCCGAAGTATGATAAAAACTTTAGCTGTTTTCATTGTTTACTTTGTCTGTGGCAGCCACTAAGGTTAGACGTTTTTTATGAGCTCGGCGATTTTTCGTTCGTGAAAAGAAATGGATCAAAGAATTTGTATCCAATTTTGCTTAAAAAATTAAATAAATTCTGTGAAATGTTAACAAAGGCCTATAGTGAGTCTGCTATAAGTAAAACAAGAGTTTACAAGTGGTATAAGAGTTTCCAAGATGGCCGTGAAGACGTTGAAGATGACGAACGCCCCGAACGCACAAGCACATTAACAACCGATAAAAACATGGAAAAAGTGGAAGAAATGGTTATAAACCATCAGAGAAGTCGCTGATGATGTTGGTATATCGATTGGCTCATCCCATGAAATTTTTTCGAATGTTTTCGGTATGAAACGCGTGGCAGCAAAATTGATTCTAAAATTGTTAAATTTTGAAAAAAAAATTTGGTCAAAAACAATACTGTAATGATGTCCCAGCCTCCATATTCGCCAGACATGCCTCTGTCTGACTTTTTCCTATTCCCAAAAATAAAGAGAACCTTAAAGGGCCGTCGTAGTAACAAAGTTGAAGTCATTTTTTTTTAAACCGGGCCCCAGAAACTTCTAATAGACTAAGAATGTGAAACACCCTGTATATAAATGTATTAAAAGTTTCTACTAAGTAATTTTTATTTGTAGTTCCGTAGTTTTCAATACATATTAGGACAAGTGAAATTGTTGTACAGGATTAAATTAATACATTTTAAAATAAAAAAAACTAAAAATTAAAACTTTCCACTAATTTTGGGTCGCTACTGAGCAGAAATATAATATTAATTCGTTTGGAAAATAAAGGTTTCAAATTAACCAATCCCAGTAATAGTTCAAATAAAAATATCTATACAACAGATTCTGTAAAAAAAAATTGAGAGGTTTAGTGTGAATTTACCTTAATCACAAAAATGGCAATTAAAAATTTTACATTAAACCACGATTTTTTTTTTGACAGATTCTGGCAACAGTCGTTTTATTTCAAATAACTTGAAACCAATAATTTTAAAACTGCTAATATTTGGTTTTGACAAAGCTTATCATTCTTAATAACAAAACACATAATCAAACTTTAACGTGTCAAAATGTTAAGGCTTGTTCACATCATTTTTGTATACTTGAATCATAACTGGGATTGTTCAATTTTAAACCTCTGTATTAACAAACAGGTTTTTTATTTCTTTAGCAGCAGCTTTGGTATGGGCCTATTGTAATGTATTTTATTTGTACAATAATGATGAGTTTCAACCAATCATTTCAATAAATGGTAAAAATGTTCAATAAATTAAAAAACAATTTTTTATATAAAAAATATTTATTTCAGTTAATAAACAAAAAATCTCAAACTTAATAAAAAAAAACAACGAAAAGATGTTAACAGACTAGTGCTTGGAATGTTGATGCTTGTGGTGGCTCTTGTGGTGATGCTTGTGGTCATGCTTGTGACTCTGGTGGTGCTTGTGCTCGTGCTTGTGACCGTGATGATGCTTGTGATCGTTGTGATGAGAATGACCGTGATGGTGATCATGCTTGTGCTCGTTGTGGTGGCTATGCTTGTGATCCTGGTGGTGCGAGTGCTTGTGCCCGTGGTGATGATCGTGCTTGTGCTCTTGGTGATGGTGGTGATCGTGCTTGTGCTCGTTGTGGTGGTCGTGCTTGTGCTCGTTGTGGTGCTGATGCTTGTGCTCCTGCTTGTGCACGTGCTTGTGCTTGTGCTCCTGCTTGTGCTTGTGCTGCTCCTCGTGCTTGTGCTTGTGGTGATGCTCCTGCTTGTGCTTGTGCTCGTGCTCGTGTTTGTGCTCGTTCTTGTGCTTGTGCACGTGCTCCTGCTTGTGCTGGTGCTTGTGCAGGTGCTTGTGTTGGTGGTAGTGGACTTCGGCGTGTTCCTCCTCCTCGTGGTGCTTGTGGCTTTGGTGATCGTGGCTCTGGAAGTCGGTGGTGTCGTACGGTTCGACTTCTTTATGGTAGCTGTGGGTGGTGATTTGTTCCAGTTGTTTCGGGCCTTCCAGGTTGAAGCTGGTGTGGGTGTTGTAGTGCTTATAGCCTGTGGTGTCGCCGAACTTTCCTTCGTCCTGAAATTCTTCATCCTGGTAGGTTTCAGAATCCTGCTCTATGGAGGAGAACTCCTGAGCCTTCTCGTGATCGTCACCGACGATTTCGTACGTGTAGCCTCCGTACTGTTGGAGCGGGGATCCATAGCGATCGGTAGCGTCGTCTGCTGTGAAGTGGTAGTGTTTAGCGTTGTAGGGTTGATAGTTGGTGGCTGATACTTGGCCGTCTGGTGCTACGCTTTGCTCGACGGAGATGGCTTTGACTTGGTCGAAGTTTTTCGTAGGATCGGTGTAGTAGGTTAGAGGTTCTAAAGCTGGGGCGCCTTGAGGAAAAGCGGTTACTGACAGCGACCCCAAGCATAACAAACTCGCCAACACCTAAGAGAAAAAGTTGTATTACATTAATTAATAATATGGTTATTATTATTTTATTACCAGAACTCCCATGTTGCTGTAACTTAGGTTAAGCAAAACACGCTGAGAATGATTTCGATGTTTCGTTTCTTCGGTTATATAGTAATTGAGTTACCCCCTTATTCAATTGCGTGCAATGCATATTCGTTTCTGCTTCAATTAAATTAACCAACACGTTAGACCGAGTGTCTTAATTAGAGGTATCAGGATTTGATTTTCTACAATTATGCGTAAATAAAACTAACTTGATTAATTAAACGAAAGTGCAGGTATATGCGACAATTGCTTTTAGTGTTTTGTTTTACTTCTAACCTAGAGAGAAAAGTTGACAGGAACTGCAGGCCATAAATTTATGCACATAAATTATATTTTATTTTTTTTTGTTACAGACATCAAACAAGGCTTCCTGGTTCTGAATATTTTGGTAGCAACGGTTATAATCCCTCTTTTTACGCCCTAAATAGCGGCCACATTTCTCAACTTCAACATAACAAAGAGGTAAGTTCCTAAAATTTTAAATAATGCTGTGTTTCCTGAAGCAATATAACTAAACGAAAATTTTATTGGTTTAAAATTTTCCTAACTAAAAATTTTAGGTTTACATTTATAAATTTATAATATTTTCAACTATCATGTATTGAAAGACAAAATTTACTAACCAACAGCTCACTTCTGTATTAAACAATATTATTTTCTATCAATTTTTGCAAAAATTTCCAACTATCATTTTTTAATAAAAATAATTTCTCAAGTATAATTTATTTGGGTGGCATTTTGTTAACTTAAATAAATATTTTATAAAATTATTGAGATTAATTTGGTAAAGTTACATTTTTTAGTATTTAAAAATATTATCAAGGCATTGAAAATAAAAACACATATAAAACATTTTCTACCAAAATAAAGTGCTCGTCATAAAAATCGACGCACCTAGTTTTTTGTAAAATATTTGAAAGATCGTTAGGGAAAATTACTAAATCGATTTTGAAAAACTTTGGAAATTCTGAATAGCTGATTCTTTGCCTCTTATGTCTAATTTTGGGAATACGATATTTTGCTCATAGCATTATACTACAGGGTGTTAAACGAAGAGATGTATTTTTTCCGAAATTTCAAGTTAGTCCCATTCATGAGGCAGTTGAGTTTGATAGTCGTAATATGCCTCCCTAATATAAATAAGGTAATCCCTCGGAACGTTTTCGAGATTTTGTGAATATCGCGGCTTACTACGATTATATGCCAATTTTTCGAAATTTGTCGTTATTTCCAAAAAATGAGCAAAAGTGGATTCTTTGACTTACGTCTAATTTTGAGAATACGATATTGTGTACAAAGCATTATACTACAGGGTGTTAAAAAAGAGATGTTTTTTTTTCCAAAATTTCAAATCCCCATTCACAGGGCAGTTGAGCTTGATGGTCCTAATACCCCTTCCTAATAACAGTTAGATAATCCCTCGGGACGTTATCAAGATTTTGTGGATATCTTGGCTAACTACGGTTTTATAAATAGCAATTTTTCGAAAATTGTCGTTATTCTCCATTTTAGTCCAAAAAATGAGGAATTGTTGATTTTTTGACTCCTACATAGGACATATGTCTAATTTTGTGGATACGATATTGTGCACATAGCATGATACTACAGGGTGTTAAAAAATGAAATGTTTTTTTCCAAAATTTTAAATTCACACATTTACAAGGAAGTTGAGCTTGATAGTCGTACGGCCATTCCTCGCGTAACGCATGGGACATTTGCAAGTTTTTATTTACAAAATAACATTGTTCTATTATATGTATTACTAATGTCAAATTTTTATAAATAGTTCTAAACAAAAGCTGTTTAACAAGGTTTTTATTTGGCAAAATTAGGTATCGTGGTTGACCGTTTAATTCCTTAAAAAATAATTTTTTTAATCAAAAACACTACTAGTAGGTACTGTTTTTGAATAAAAGAAATTAATTTTTAAGGAATTAAACATACAATTACGATACCTACTTTTGCCAAATAAAAACCTTGTTAAACAGCTTTGGTACCGTTTAGAACTATTTATAAAAAAATTGAAATTAGTAATATAATAGAACAATATTATTTTGTAAATAAAAACATGTAACTGTCCCATCCGTTTCGCGTGGAATGGCCCCGTAATACCCCTCCATAATAACAGTTGGGTAATCCCTCGGGACGTTTTCGAGATTTTGTGGATATCTTGGATAACTACGATTATATGGCAATTTTTCGAAAATTCACGTTATTCTTCACTTAAGTCCCAAACATGAGCAAACTATTCACTTGATTTAAGTGTAATTTGCTTAGGCTACGAATACATTAAATTTCTTTTATCTATAAATTTATTTTATCTATAATATATTTTGCGTTCATAATGACTTCATTACAACACCGCTTTCGGTGCTGAGATACTTTATCCCATCAAAAATTTTGATTTTATAGGTTGGCTATACTTTAAACAGCATAATATTTTGCATATTGGTTATAATATTTTTATGACTTTTCTAGTACTTACGAGACTTTACTGGCAATAAATTTTGTTTAACACCAAAAAAAATCCTTTTTTTCTTCTTTAATATTAACAGCCGCTTATTGTAAATTAGTAAATTAAGGACGGCATGGCGAATCGATTTTGACATTAACTGTCAAACCAATGACTAAAGTAAAATTCGACCAAATTAAATTTAAGGTATAAAATTAATTTAATTTTATAGAATTTTTACAAAATAGATAAAATAGCATAAAGAACTCTTGTTTCTTTGTCTTCAGATCAGTAATTCAATTTTTTCACAAGGGGCTGAAGTAGAAACCCTGAGGCACTCCATAAATTACTTATTATAGAAAATGTCATGGAGTGTGTTTTTGGCACAATTTGGAGTTGAAATTTTTACATACTTCGTAATGTTCTATTTTTGAACCACAATTAACATAAACAAATAAATTTATTTAAGTCATGAGTTGTATTGAAAATAGAAGTTTTAGAGTATTTAAACGTTAGTTCATTGACTTTATTTGTTCTGTCTTAAAACAAGGAAGGAAATTTTTATAGTTTTTGCTCCAAGTTAAAAAAATATTGATTGTTAGGCCAATCACTAAACCGGCACATTATAATGGGCAAATATGTTAATGGATTGTTTGATTGAGTGCGTTTTATTGCTGATTTAATTAATTCGAAAATAAGTGTACAATTAAAAATAAATAAATTATTTTTTACATTTCGTTCCAATAGCATTGATTAATTAATTCGCTAAACACTTTCTTTGCAAGCATTTGACATTAGCATATTTAAATACAAATCACAAATCATAATACAGTACTCATATTATTACCTAGTAGATTATGTTATAAATGTAAATAGCTGATTTAAACAAGAAGTCAACCGTTTAATATGCGTTTCATTACCATGTTCTACTACTGACAGTGACCATTAAATTATGCGGTGAAATGCACATGTTTAAGGGGATACAATAAACAAAATATGAATAAGTTATGAATTAAGTATTACGGAAGAAAATAGCTGACAATAAATTGGAACGTCAAAAGGAGAAATCAATGCAGAAAAAACTGTTTACAACATAATTTTTTTTTTCAGACATACGAATCAAAGATGGATCCTCCACAGTGCGTGCAGAACGCAATGATGACCAAAGACAAAAAACCCTTCACCTACACCCCCAGTGGTATTGACTTGTCCGAAGTCAAATCTCCCAGATTGAGTCGACGAATACAACGAAACGCAAACTGCGGGGGGGTCACCGAAGCACCCAACGTGCCGGCCCCCCAAAACCACGGCCCCCTCCCCCCGTCCGCCCTAGCAGCCATGCAACCCCAAATGCACGTGCAAGTAAGTCTTTCTTAAAAAAAATAAATTTTTTTTTACATTTCCCTTCTTTTTTTAGGTGTTTCCTTCTGGCCCCCCTCCCCCGCCTTCGGTGGGCCGCGGTGGTGTTCCCCCACCCCCTCCACCGCCATCGGGCGTTCCCCCACCACCTCCCCCTCCAAGTCAACCGTTGCCAACGAAAAAAGTTACGACCAATGAGAATCAAGTTTTGGAAAGACCGGATATGACGAAGATCATCCCCGATAACCCCATGGCCTTGCTGAGGAAGACCGGAGGTCCGAAACCTAGGGATTTCGTGCAGGATATGTACCAAAACGGTGGTTCTCCACAACAGGTAAAAACGCTATAAACGATATACATTAATACTTCATTGTGAACACATTTCATAGAGTGTTCCTGTACCTCAACCTCAACCCCCAAGACCCCAAATGCAACCACAACAATTCGTGCAGAAAGCAGCCCCTCCACCACCTCCAAGGTCTCCCGAAAACATCAGGGAAGCACCAAGGTAACTTAAATTAAAAAAATCCCACACAATACATTGTAATAACATTTAACCCTAGATACCAGCCACCAGTTATTGAAAGAGCCCCACAACAGCAGCAACAAAGATCGCCTCCACTGCAACAGCAGTCACCTAGATCGCCTTTCGTTCAACAGCAACAACCAGCGTATCAACAACCCCAGCCACAACAACAGCAAAGATCGCCGCCAGTGCAAGTACCGTCCTATCAACCTCCAATCATCGAGAGGGCGCCTCAGTCTCCCAAAACAACCTCCAGCAATGTTGGGTCGTTGTATATACCTCCAGTTAATAACCTCCAACAACAGGTAATACCCCAAAGAGCCATAGAAAGAATTGTTTTGTAAAATAATGAAAATACAATCTTTTAACATACTTTTTTTAGCAAAGAGTTGTTTCTCCACCAACTCCACCCCAAAGAAACACCGAAAGCCCCGTAATCCAATCACCTGGTACTCCTTTGAAGGAAGCACCAAGACCCTGGCAGACGAAGCCCCAACAGGATGCTACTCCATCCTGGGCGAAGAAAGATGCTCCGAATGAGGTAAATAGAACATTTCCTCTTGAATGAAAACACTAGAAACGATTCTTTTTAGATGCCACAAACCTTCCCTGTGCACATCGAAGTAAGAAGCCAGCAAAGACCGGCATCTCCCTTCTCCCAGCAGCAAAACAGGAACTACGAGCCTTCACCGAACGCTGTCTACGTGACTCAGCCTGTGGTCATTCAGCATCCAGGTGGGGCACCGCAAAACAGAGCCCAGGTGCAAATGCAGCAGCCCAGGTTGGATAGCCAGGGTGCCGTCATCATACCGGTGAAGATTGAAGGTCGATCGCCTCCAATCAGAAACTTGCAAAGGCAGCAGAGCTGGGGTAGCAACCCGACGCAGTCAAACTCCTTCAAGATAATCCAGAAGATGACGAATACTGATGATGAGGAGGATGATAATGCGCCCGTTACATCGCATTCCCCCAAATACCCCGCTAATTTTCAGCAGCTTCCTGCCGAACAAGTCAGGAGGATGAAGTTGAATGAAGGAGATAGAAATTTGGTCGACAGGTTCAGGCAAGGTAAGCAGAAGAGAGTCTTGACGTTGCTTTGCTTAGTATTAACGATTTATATTGTCAGATCGGTGCAGTTTTAGTTGCATAATACCAGACAACAGTTTATTGTTTTGCTTTTCTGTGTATATTTTAGAAAATCACGATAAAGACGAGGAAAACCCAAGGTATAGAGGAGGATACATACCATCCAAAGTTTTTAGAATGTTGGATGAAAGCGGTAAAACATTTTACTTACTATTTTAATCTATGAACTGGTGATGGGTACATTTTCTAAAAAATACACATAGTTTTTTTAAACTAATCATAATTTATTTTTTGTAAATAATATATTTACACAGATATTTTAATAATTTAGGAGACAACGATATGTTTTTACACGATGAAGTAGATCCTAGATATAGAGGACCCGCAATACCGTCAAAAGCCTTTAAGCTTTTGCAAAGCATGACAGATAGTTTAGACATGCCAATTTCAATGGGTACGAAGTTTTTGACAAAAAGATTTTTATTTTTCTCCTGACATTCGCATGAAGTACAGACTTGAACTGAATCAAATACTTTGTTCCCTTTAACAAGATATTTATGTTTGAGTATTTTCTCTACTATAACATTTTTTTATTGAATATATTATGTTTTGTATTTTACTAATATTGTTTTATCATTGCGTTTAGTTTCTCCAGGACCACAGCAACAGCCAATAACGAATAGAGGACCACAAGTTAGAACCATCCCAGTCCAAATTGAAGGTACCTTACTGTTCCATATTTTGCTCGTACTATTCTTATATTCTATACTTACTTTAAGGCCAAAATAATCAACCATATGTCCACCCCAGCCAACAGACCGTACCAGAACCGAAAAAATACACTGGAAGCTCAATACCAAGTAGATCTTTTAGAATGTTGCAAGCTATGACTTCACCAGATGGTTGTGGTAAGTTATCATTTTTATCATCCAAAAAGAATTTTGCCTTATGAAAAGCACCATAGTGCATATTTAATTCATGGTGTCATGGTACCTAAAATGGACTAACTTCAGTCGCACCATTATCAGTCAGCTCATACAAATAAAAATTACCCCACCTGTAAATATTCAAATTTATAAATAACGAAAAATGTGTGCTCAGCCTATCCAAAATTTCCAAATTTTGTTATAGCCAATGTCAACCAAGATTGCGATCAAAACGAATGGGACTCAGATCCTAATTACCCCTATCCTCCGGCGCCATACTGGCAAGATTATTATTACCCCCCACCCCCGCGTCCTCACGAATTTTCTAGGAGCGATAAGAGCAATAGCCAAAGAACCACGCCTGTGCCTTTTTGGGGGTATTACCCTCCCCCGTACCCCTACGGTAGACCGTTGAAAACCCCGGTGAATGATTCAGAATCTGATACGGAAAGTAGAAGGATTCCAAGACGTACCCCACTTCCGTTTGGAAGGCCTTTAAGAACACCAACTAGGGATTTAGATACATCTGATGGTGAAACAAGACGTAGATTAATGAAAACTCCATCTACAGAAGTGGATTCTGATTCAGAAACTATAAAAACATCAAGACGTACCCCAGTACCATTCCATGGTTATTATCCACCTTACCCTCCGTACCTAAGACCGCTTAAAACACCAGTAACTGAGGACGAGTCAGACGAATTTGAAGAACTTGGTTACCCTCCACCTTACCCCTATTATTACCCCCATTATTACTACGGATACCCTCCAATGTACCCTCCATACCATATGTACACTGAAGATCAAGATTATGCGGGATATTCATCAGAAAACGAAATGGCCTACTATAACAACGAAAGACCTCAGTATAGGGAAAAATTAGCCACTGAAGACTGTACTACGCCAAGAATCGTAATAACCCCAACATTACCCGATTACAAACAACAAAAAGAAAAAGAATCAGATTCAGAAGAAGACAGCCTCGATACAGACACAGAAGATGTCTCAGAAAGCACCCAAACTCAAAAACTTCACACCCTTAAATCAATACCATCAGTAAATAACATTCAAATGTACAACTATGGTGGTAAGGAAGATTTAGATTCAGATTCAGAAAACGAAGAACCAGTTATCGAGGAAGTCTCAGAAACAACCACCGAAGACAGCAACGATGATGCTTCAGTTTACATAAATGAAGATGAAGAACTACCCCACCAACTGAGCGTCATTTTTGAAGAAACAGAAAAATCAGACTCCAGAATGCAACGCGAAGCCAGTGTACTAAGTGATAGTACTACAGTACTAGATGATGAAGAAGAAGAATACACCATGGATGTAAACATACCTTCTTTGGACTGCAGACGACTATCGTTTAAAGTCGAATCCGAAGAATCAGAAGTATATGCTTCGTTTACTTTAAAATCGCCTAGTTTGACACCCAAAAAAGTATCACCGTGCAGATTTGATAGCGTTGATATTGAAACTGAAGATTACATAATAATCAATGATAAAGTTGAAGAAGCAGTCCAAAAAGAAGAAGAACATTCAAATAAAACTGAAGAAAACATAATTATCAACGATGAAGTTGAAGAAAAAGTCCAAAAAGTTGATTCAGAAAAGGAAGAAACTCAAGAGGAAGAACAAGATTGGTGGGGAATGTTATCCAATGGAGATTCACCCCCACCAAGGCGAAAAATCTTCAATAAACCCGTTGAACCCGCAGAACCAGAAGAAATAGTGACTGAAGATTACGCCCAGGCTAAAATAGAAGCAGAAAGGAAGAAAGTCGACGATGGTAAAGCCGTGATGAAAGATTTTGCTGCCAGATTGAAGGAAATTCAATCTATACACGAAAAATCCGGTACAACGCGAAGACAAAGTTTGGCGGAAGAGATGTCTCAAGAACCAAAGGTTGAAGAAACCGGACGGGAAGATTTCTGGGGTAATATGTCCAGCGATTCAGAAGATGAAAAACTAGAAACAGAAGAAACTAAAAATGCCGAAGAAGAAAAATTAGAAAATATAGTGTGTACTAACAATGAAGAAGAAGAAGAAGTCGATTTTTGGAGTGTTATTGGCAACACTGATGAGATGGTTAGTCGTAGATCATGTAGCTATAGAAGAGATTCAGATTCTGCTCGCTCTAGAAATAGTAGCGTTAGTGAGAGTCATAATTTAGAAGAAAATGAAGAAGTTTGCAATAGTAGCTCCAAGGAAATCGAAGATACGGAATACGTTGAAGAAAGTAAAACACAAGATGATGATGAAGAAGAAGAAATTGACAGAAATCAGTTGTTGGAAATCGTTTATGGACAAGAAATAGTAGAAAATGAAGAAGATCAATTTGAAGATCGTATTGAAGGAAATAATAAAGAAGACGAAATGATTGTGCAAAATAAACAAGAAAGTGATATTGCAGGTGTATGTCACAGTGAAGAAATTAATGTTCAATATAAAGAAGAGGGTGAAGTTCGTAAAAAGTATAAACTAACTAAACAAAACAGTGTTTTAAAAGATGATGTACCAAAAGAAGAACTATTTAAAATGGTTCACAAGAAAATTAAACAAGAAGAATCATCTGAATCGGATTCAGCTGGTTCGTATTCAGATGCAAACAATAACGATGAAGAAGTGCCATCGTTATCCATCAAAGATCGCATCAAGGCTCTTCAAGAGAGTATCAAACAAAAACAAGAGAGCGTTAAGGACTACCAAGAGATGAAAGTATCAGTCAAAAAGAAAATAAACGTTTTGGAGATAACAAACAGCCAAAACTCATCGATTGACGTCAGCAAAACAACCTCGACCAAAAGCAGCATGAAGTCTTTCGAAGAATTCAGTGAAGAAGAAATCGATTCGGGTATCACCTCGGATATCAGCCGCCACATATCGGATAACGAAGAGTATCCGGAGATGAAGAAGATGAGCAAATATCAACGCGCAGCCACGCACTCCAGATTGTTCAAGTTGTTACAGGATGGCTGCGATATGGAGAATGAAGATGAAGATGAGGAACAAATTGCGGCGGTGCCTCAGAAGGAGGATAAGTTCGCGAAGTTATCAGTAAGGAAAAGAATGGAGGAGAGAAATGATATTATGAGTAGAGATCAGTTGAGTCTGCCTTTGAAGAGATACAGCGAACCCAGCAGTATGTCTTCGAGTGGCATAACGTCGCCCATATCGCCGGTGAATGAGAAATTGGTGCATGAAGTCGTGCAAAGCTTGTTGCAGAGGAAGAAAGGGCAGATATTCAGGAACATGCCCAAAGAAAAACTCTACGCAGCCGCTTTAAGGATCCTGCAAGAAGATATGGATGGTTTGGAGACTCCTTCGGAAGATTGCAGTTTCATTTCGCCTCTGAGAGGAAACACGGAAAATTCGACGCCCGCGCAAACTCCCCAAGAATTCTACGGCGACTACAACGAGTACAGTCAGTACTACGACACGTGGAGCGAAGCCGATAGAATGTACTACGAGGGCTACGAAATCTGCCCGTCGAAGGCGTTCAAACTCATCAAAGACCACGTCAGTAACAGCAACAACAAAACTGGGACAGTGGCGGGTTTTTTGGCTAAATGTCCTAAAATATTGAGTTCGAAAAACGTTCACAAGCACCTAGAGGGTTTTGAGGACGCGGACTCCACCCCCACCCCCCCACGAAAAAACAAAAGAAGCGAGGGAAGTAGCTTCTTGAAATAAACGAACGAAGAATCGATATCGATGTGATTTTTTTTCCGGACCCGGTCTCGTATGAGGTATAAAATCAGGATTCGATTTTTTTGTTTTTTTTTAATGGTAGGCTTCAAAATTTATCGACCAATGCGATTTTATTGGTCGATAGTTAAAAATTTCGGCTCTTGGGGTACGCTCCACCTTTTTGGGAAACGATTAGTAGAAATTAGTTGTATTTGCATTTGACTAAGTCACTATTTAGACTGTATATTTATCACTAATATTTTTATTAACATCATATTTACACAGCTCTACAAAATGTGACCAATCGCACTAAATGTGCAAACCAATTGCTCCATCGGGTTTTTGATAAAAGCCTGGAAGTAAAACTCTTCCTCTTCAAAATTCTTTTCAATTGTTTCAAGATTTCTCCAAATGGAGAGATGATATTGAAGAAAATCAAGAAGCATTTTGAAGGGGTTGAGTGGTACTTTTAGATGGCCTAATGAGTTTTGTGAAGAAACCATACCTAGTGATTTTATACGCCTCCAAATATTGTGGTGGAGCAATTCAAATATAGTTTTGTTTCTGCTTAAAATTTCGTAGATCTGTGTTATTTTGCTTCTTTATTTTAAAAGTGAACTCCCTTGCTATAGAGAAAATTGGGGGAATCCCAGAATTATAGTATCTATCTCAAAGTAACTAGATACTTTTCAGAAGTAACTTTCCCAGCTTCTCTACTATACATGAAAATGAAAATTGTTCACATAATCAATAAACAAACATTTAAAATGCATGCTTTAAATAAAAAACAAACTATTTACCCTTAAATAGTGACTTATATTAATTAACTAAAAAGGTGTAGTGTGCTACTCGAGTCAACTTAACAAAAAATTAATCATTTTAATACTAATCAATCGAAGTCTAATTAATATTAAATTTTTGCCTAGCATGTTTTTAATACATAATTGTATTAACTTTGTACTGATTATTTAATCATATACCTAATCATCTCAATCAAATGCAAATAGAATTAGTTTATTAGGAAATTTGTGTTTTCGGGGTTAAAAAATCTAAACCCCAAAACGTTTCAAAAATTGCTTTAAAACGTTGTACGTATAACTTTCTGATTTTTAGGTCCAGACCAATCAGATTTCTGAACGCTGAATGAAGCTCGAAAACTAATAAATAAAAAACATTTTTTTGTGAATGGCCCAAATATTTTTGTGAGTGTTTCTGCTTTGCGAAACGCCTTGTTTTTTTTTAATAATCATTCACGACTTTTTGTACATAAAATAAATAAATATGTAAAGAATTTTGTATAGAAATGTTAGGTTCTTATATAATAAAATACAGCATGGATTGTTATTGTTTTTTCAATGTATTAATCAAGTATATTTAGTTTTAATAAGTGTACCTTTAATTTTAATGTATATATATATATGTAGCAGCTACAATGTTATATTCATGTATTTTTAAAAAATTAATAAATGGTTAAGAAATATATGTATTTTTTTCTATTATTATAAAAAGTAATTACTTTTTCCATCTTCATTTTCTCTATTAATCATGTGTCCATTACATTCGAAATGTCCACAAATGGAACAGCTCAACCTTTCACCTCTGCTCTGCTCAGTTTCGCAGTAATCTTTAGGACCTTCTGGGGGAGGAACATAACAACCTCTTTGTACATACCGAGTACCTAAATCTAAAATCATAAAATTAAATGTAAAAAAGAGTCCAAAAATTTATTTATTTAGCTACCGTTTCATTTTATTGAATATGGGTGAATCTCACGAAATGTGTTACCCCGTGATATTTGATAAAATTGAATGAGTTTGACCTACACTTTTATTGTGTTTTGATCTTTCATAATTCAGTAGATATTACAGCAATTAATTATTTTTTAAAATGTTTTAAAAGTCTAAAACCTATCCTCCGTGATTTACTCTTTCTAGGTTAACCTATATGTTTTCAAATATCTACAAAAAATATTAGTTCACTAAGTAAATTAAACACATCCAAAGCAATCGAATCAAATATAAAATATTATTAAAAATTAAAAGAAATAATTTTTATAACCATTTATGTACCTTTAACAAAAATTGATTCTATCCTCCGTGAGTCTGTTTTTGCTTTAAATTTTATGCTACGGATGGCGCTTTAATCATTTTAAATAAGCAAAAACCTCTGTTTACGACATTATAGATGCATGTGATTCCTGAAGTTCAGTTAGAATTTATATGCCGATGAAAGTGTTGCTGTTTTATAATTCAAAAGTTTGTTCATTAGTTTGCCATTTAAAAACCTTCTTAATATATTTACCCATATTCCCTCCGTTTATAGTATTCTTACTTACTTAGATAATCTATTACAGATTCAAAACATTGAGCATCTTCCCCACTACAATTTTCATATTTATCATATGGGTTTATAGAATGAAAATAAAAATCAGCACAGTAACTATCATATGGACCTCCACATTGATAACAAAGGAAGGCAGCTAAAAACGAACGCTAAGATCTTAATAGACCAATATTTTTATTACTTACGCTTAACTTGAAGGCTAGTCGAAAAACAGAAAAATAAAACAAGCGTTTGGTATAACATTTTTGTTTAGTTTGGTGGATAATATAGAATTTTACCAATTTATATTAAATTTTTCTCGTTATCACTACTACCTATACCTAATGATCGGTAAAAATATAATTTAAAATATAGTTTTTTACGAGCTTGTATAATTTTCATAATATAACACTTAAGTCTATATTCACAGGGTGGTTCTAATAATAATCATTAACTTAAGTATTATTGGTATTATAAAACCAATTATTGCAATCATCTGAAGTGCAGGTACCTACTCCAAAACCCCGACAGGGCTCATAAAGTTCTTGCAATAACTCGCATCAAGATTTCTCGAAATGGAGTGATGATATTGAAGAAAATCAAGAAGCATTTTGAAGGGGTTGAGTGGTACTTTTAGATGGCCTAATGAGTTTTGTGAAGAAACCATACCTAGTGATTTTCTACACCTCCAAATATTGTGGTGGAGCAATTCAAATATAGTTTGGTTTCTGCTTAAAATTTCGTAGATCTGTGTTATTGTTGCTTCTTTATTTTAAGAGTGAACTCCCTTGCTATACTCCATTAGAGAAAATTGAGGGAATTCCAGAATGATAGTATCTATCTCAAAGTAACTAGATACTTTTCAGAAGTAACTTTCCCAGCTCTGGCTATACTGTACATGTAAATTTAACAATCAATGAAAATTGTTCACATAATCAATAAACAAACATTTAAAATGCATGCTTTAAATGAAAAACAAACTATTTACCCTTAAATAGTGACTTATATTAATTAACTAAAAAGGTGTAGTGTGCTACTCGAGTCAACTTAACAAAAAATTAATCATTTTAATACTAATCAATCGAAGTCTAATTAATATTACATTTTTGCCCAGCATGTTTTTAATACATAATTGTATTAACTTTGTACTGATCATTTAATCATATACCTAATCATCTCAATCAAATGCAAATAGAATTAGTTTATTAGGAAATTTGTGTTTTCGGGGTTAAAAAATCTAAACCCCAAAACGTTTCAAAAATTGCTTTAAAACGTTGTACGTATAACTTTCTGATTTTTAGGTCCAGACCAATCAGATTTCTGAACGCTGAATGAAGCTCGAAAACTAATAAATAAAAAACATTTTTTTGTGAATGGCCCAAATATTTTTGTGAGTGTTTCTGCTTTGCGAAACGCCTTGATTTTTTTTTAATAATCATTCACGACTTTTTGTACATAAAATAAATAAATATGTAAAGAATTTTGTATAGAAATGTTAGGTTCTTATATAATAAATACAGCATGGATTGTTATTGTTTTTTCAATGTATTAATCAAGTATATTTAGTTTTAATAAGTGTATCTTTAATTTTAATGTATATATATATATATATATGTAGCAGCTACAATGTTATATTCATGTATTTTTAAAAAATTAATAAATGGTTAAGAAATTTGTATTTTTTTTATTATTATAAAAAGTAATTACTTTTCCCATCTTCATTTTCTCTATTAATCATGTGTCCATTACATTCGAAATGTCCACAAATAGAACAGCTCAACCTTTCACCTCTGTCCTGCTCAGTTTCGCAATAATCTTTAGGACCTTCTGGGGGAGGAACATAACAACCTCTTTGTACATACCGAGTACCTAAATCTAAAATCATAAAATTAATGTGATTTGAAATGTAAAAAAGAGTTCAAAAATGTATTTATTTAGCTATCATTTCATTTTATTAAACTTGGGTGACTCTCACGAAATGTGTTATATTATTTAGGTACAGTATTCTTACTTACTTAGATAATCTATCACAGATTCAAAACATTGTGCATCTTCCCCACTACAATTTTCATATTTACCATAAAGGTCTACAGAATGGTAATAAAAATCAGCACAGTAATCATCATATGCACCTTCGCATTGATAACAAAGGAAGGGAGCTAAAAACGAACGCTAAGATCTTAATAGACCAATATTTTTATTACTTACGCTTAACTTGAAGACTAGTCGTGAAAAAGAAAAATAAAACAAGCGTTTGGTGTAACATTTTTGTTTAGTTTGGTGGATAATATGGAATTTTACCGATTTATATTTAATTTTTCTCGTTATCACTACTAATGAACGGTAAAAATATAATTTAAAATATAGTTTTTTACGAGCGTTTATAATTTTCATAGTATAACACTTAAGTCTATATTCACAGGGTGGTTCTAATAATAATCATAAACTTAAGTATTATAATAATAATTATTAAACGTTTTCATCATTGGGGAACCAAAAGATCCGCGGTACCAGTCCTCTTGGGATTATAAAACCAATTATTGCAATCATCTGAAGTGCAGGTCCTACAGTACTCCAAAACCCCTACAGGGCTCATAAAGTTCTTGCAATAACTCGCATCATCACCTTGAGAGGGGTTCCAACATCCTCTTTGCACCAATTTTTGAGCACCACCTAAAAGAAAAAGTCGTTAGAAAGGGCCCCAGATGGTGTCCTTGTGGTACCCACTCTGGTAGAACACCACGCTTTCGTAGCATTGAGCTCCAGGTCCTGTACAGTTGGCACCATTGAAACCTTGTGGTAAAGTGTTCGCGCATAGTGTCGTAAAACCTCCTTGGCATTGGAAACAACTAAAAAAACCTTAGAAAAGAATCAATAAATTTTTATGTTTTACATTAATGTTTACTTACTTTGGGACTTAACCAACAAAACGAATGAAAATAATGCACACAGAAGCTTCATGTTGTTCAATGTTTTTAAACGAAATGCGTAATTTTTGTCGATAAGATTGGTGTTTAAATATATTTATTCAGTGATAACACTTAAGTTGCAAAAAATGTTAATTTGCATAAAATAAAGCTAATTGGTATACCAATTGTTAAGTCTAATTGTTAAGTCTGCTTAAGTAGTGTAAGGTACACTACCTATGTATTTTCGATTCATTTGAAATACCTACTTATTTTAACATATTTGTGATCATTTAGTTAATTTACTTACAAAAAAAATTAGGACTCTACGTTGTGTTTTAACGTTATTTTATAATTGGTCAGGTTTTATGAAACACAAGTATTTAATTTGATTTATTAAAGCCCGTTGAGTCAGAGCACAGATAATACCTACAATACAAATAATAAAATTTAAGATAAATGTAATTCAGTGTATATGATGAACGCGACAACACAAAGCCTGAAATTGGAACTCAGTGTATGCGCTGTATACCAAGATATTAAACCTAATTAATGAAATAGTGATACAATAAAACTTACTACCAAAAATCAGACGCTATTTACACATATTAAAATGATTAGGACCCAATAAACTAGCAATGACAAACGACATAGACCAAGGAAACTCAAAACAAGTTAGTTATTATATTATAATATAATTTCACAAACTTTTTAACAGGCGTATCGTATGACGGTCTACATTTTTCTGCCCTTTCTTCCCTAATTCTTTTTTTTAAACATTAACAAATCCCACTAACATTTCCACGTTCCAAAACTCAATAGGTTTTTAAAACATAAAATAACTTATAACTTTAATATTAATTTTAGTGGATTATTTAAATTTTCTTGGTTAAAACAGCGCCAAATTTGAATTTAAAAGTTTATGTACTACAGTAAGTCTTCTTAGATAAACTATTTATTAAAGGGTGTCTCAAAACAAAGTTCTGTGTAAAAAAAGATTTGATTTATTTTGCGTTCATAATGACTTCATTATAACACCGCTTTCGGTGCTGTAATGAGATACTTTATCGCACCCAAAATTTTGATTTCATAGGTTGGCTATACTTTAAACATTTTGCATAATGGTTATAATATTTTTATGTTTTTCTAGTACTTACGAGACTTTTCTGACAATAAATTTTGTTTAACACCAAAAAAAATCCTTTTTTTCTTCTTTAACATTAACAGCCGTCTATTGTAAATAAGTAAATTAAGGACGGCATGGCGAATCGATTTTGACATTAACTGTCAAACCAATGACTGTGATACCACCTATCTAAAGTAAAATTCGACCAAATTAAATTTAAGGTATAAAATTAATTTTTTTATAGAATTTTTGCAAAATAGATAAAATAGCATAAAGAGCTCATGTCATAAGACCATTATAAATTGTCCGCGTGCGACAAAATGACGTCTTATGATGAAATTTGTATTCAAAAATTTGTTTATAAATTTATTTATACCAGTGGCGGCTACTCGGTAAAATGATGTAAAATGACCGATAGCCCTACTAAACCATTATAAATAAAAAAAATGAATTTAACTAATCGAGACAAAAACTATAAAAGACTGCCATCCACCACATCTTCAGTCATGTGATATAAAACCACCAATTAGAGCACCCCAGAGTGCGATTCTCTCGCCTCAAGCAGCGACACAGCTTTACAGGCTATAAAAATTGACGAGCCGTCACTGATTTATACTTCCCAGCAATTAAAAAATTTGCTTACTAGACGTTATAACTTTGTAAGGATCAGCAATTTTTTTAATTCACTTAAAGGCTACTTACTTATTTATTAACATTACAGTAGCTGTTTAAATATGAATAAGTAGGTTTTTGTTGAGTAAAGTTACACTATATGGCCAAAATGGTAATGTTTTTTGGTAAAATTTGATTTGGGTTTTATAAAAATTATTTTTTCTTATATTTTAGAGACTGAAATTTATTATATTACTGGTAATTTTCCCTGGAGTACCATGCACAATTCCCGGTATACCACCTGAGGATTTACCAGCTTTGGCGGAATCATACCTCAAGTACAGCCAAGAACGTATGCAGCTGCAACTAGCTGCTCAGCAGGCGAAACTTCACCCTCCTCAACTGCAAGCCCCACAAGATGAAAACAACCAACAAATGGAACAACCTCAAGAACAAGAACCAGAGGTTCAATTTTTCGACGAAGAAGACAACTTCCAGAACTTCCCCATGATGAATCAAGAAACCCAGGAAATTTCTCCCAGAGGTTTTGATGCACCACCAACGGAAATGCAGCCACCTCAAGAAATGCCTCCCAATCAAGAAGAAGGCAGGCTTTTTCAACCAGAACCAGAGCCAATGAGGAGGGAGGACACCGATAGCGAGCAAGCCCAGCAGCAAGAATTTTTGAATAATTTTTGGGCCAATACTAATAACAATTGGAACAGTCAAGCACCCGAGAATTTCGTCATGGATACCAATGGAGAAAGGTAAGTTAAACTGAAAAATATAATAAAAAAATAACAGATTAATTTGACCTCAATTATTTTTTGTTAAATTCGAATTCTTATAATATGCTTCATTTTGATCGATGACCTTGGGAAAACATAAAAATGCTGAAGGAGAGAAGTGGTATCATTATTTATTCATTTGACACAATTTCTGAAAAATATGGGTTACCATATATTATAATTTGACTTTTTAGACCAACTGAAACAAACCAAGAATCTAGGGCAGCTGATCCGACTCTTCATCACCATCATCATCATTCCCATAGTAAAGGTATTCATGGAGTAAGTTTTAAAACATTTGTATTCCAACTTCAGTAACTAATAATGCATTTTAGTACCAAAGCTCAGCTGTAGTTACACCAGTAATTGTAACCCCAGCTATATCCCATGGCTATAGTGGGCATAGTGTTATAAACCAAGGTTTTGGTGGAAACGGTGCTATAAATCAAGGTTATGGTGGACATGGTGCCTTTCACCAAGGTTATAGTGGGCAAAGTGGCATAAATCAAGCTTACGAAGCATATGGCGGTAAACCACTATTTTATACTAAATATATAACCAAACTTTCTAAATTTGTATTTCAGGTCATAGCCCACTTGTGCCATATTCAGCTGGTGTTCATTCTCAACTCGCCCCAGTTCATTCAAGTGAGTCTCATATTATTTGTTAATTTTCGATCATTTTTTGACATGTTTCAGCCAATGTCCACATAACAAACGTAAATTCGCAAAGTTCTGTATCACCGGTACAACATGGGGGTTATGTAAAATCTCCTCATGAAGAAATGGATCATGAACCAATTATAGGTATGGAAAGTCCACATTTCACTGAAGATATTGTGGGCATGAAAAGTCCCGATTTCAATGAAGGTATAGTCGGTGAAGCTGAACCTGATCAAAGTATGAACATAGAAGAACCTAATTCTAATGCAGATGTAAACGAACCAGTTGATAGAAAATTTGAGGAGGCTCAACTTGGACGAGGATTAATGCTCCCAGTACCTAAATTTTATTTTACATGATGTTTTTATACATTTTAATTTGTTTCAGCCTGGACTATTACACCTTCCTCTATTGCACGCGCCCACACTTCTACCAACGTTACCTTTATTACCACATGCAAGAGCCTCTGTTATCGATCCGTTCGCCCACGCTAACATGCAGAACATGCAGAACCTCCAAAACATCAAAAACATGCAGAACGCGGCGAAATTCTACGACAAAATGAACAAGGACAGCGCAAATTTCGCGAAAAACAACAAGCAACTCATAGAGAATGCCAAAAAGGAAAGAGAGTTGTTTGCCAAAAATTTTGATGAACCTAAGAAATCCTTATTCCCGAATACCACTCCAAAACCCCTGTTTCCAACCACCAACGCGCAACCTAAACCTTTATTCCCGACCGCCAGCGATTCGCAACCTAAGCCCTTGTTCCCGTTTTTCCAAAAACCAGCAGAACAGACCAAACCAGCGTTAAATAACAACGTCGACCTAAGCAAATTTGGCTCGAATATTTTTAATACACCACCAACTGCAGATACAACCCCAAAATCTTTATTTGATAGGTTTGCAGGAAAAAACAGCGAATCTAAACCACCTGCTTTGTTCGATTTAAGCAAATTTGATAAAAGTCACATCAAAAGGCAAGCAGATGTCCCTGAAACCGTTGATGGAAAAATACCAGTACAAGTTGTAGAAGGACCAGTTAAAATTATTCACCCAAAAGAAGGTATGTACCTACCAACAATTTTTTATAATTATTTACAAATTTAATTGTTTTAGATCACGTGGGATCTCCCTATCTATTCGACATACCAATAAATATAAACCGCGAAGCTGAAAGGTACAGTAGAAGCAATCCAAATTACCTCAACATGGCTAAAGAAATTACCGATCATGCCCTATCAAGCATCGTAAACGCTGGCAAACTATTTCAAGGCCCAAAAGACCAAAAACCCTTGGAAAACCTCAACATCGCTTCAGACATAACAAAAAAAGCTCTTGAAACCGCGCAAGCTGCAAGTAATGACGACGAAGAATCAGCTAGTCCTACACAGGGATGGAAAAATTCTAAGGTTGCTGGTACCAATCTTGATGAGTTCAAGAAAACTATGTCAGAGCTTCAGGAAAGCGATACAAACTTGAGTGAGCAGAAACTACAGGTGTCAGGTGATGGTAAAGCTGGTGGTTTGAATATGGCTCAGAGTATTGTACAGGGAGACTTAAACAAAGAGAAAACCCCCAAGGTTGCTGGTACTAATCTTGATGAGTTTAAGGAAATTATGTCAGAGCTCCAGGAAAGCGATACAAAGTTGAGTGACGAGGAACGACAGATCTTAGGTGCTATAAATGAGGATTATATGAGGAATAATCAGAATCAAGATGGCTATATGATGAAACGACAAGCAGGAAAAAAATCAAAAAATGATACCAAAGAGTCTAAAAATACCAAAGACACAGAAGATTTCAAAGAATGTGATAAAGATTGTAGCGACGATGTTTTGGAAAGTATTTTGGGTGCTCAGCAGCAAACCAAAGACCAAGAATCTTTGGATGAAGCCAAGATAAGTACAGATAAACAACTGAAAAAGATCATTAAAAATCAAAAGGATTTCCACAAAGGAAAAATGAGCCAGGAAAGTATCGACGATCTTTTGAACAAACAAAAAGATGTCATCAAAGAATTGAAGAGGAGTCAGGTGGATGATGATCTAATCATGATAGGAAATATCGGTGATGGTGTAATGAAAGATATGGATGAATCAAAGAAAATCACCAAGAGATCCATAAGAACTTCAAGTAAGTACCTTCTAAATAACTACTATCACTAACGCCCAAATTTCAGGCAGCAAAAACTTGCTTCCAATTCATAAACACCACATGATAAAACGGGAAGAACCCACGCCCTTCCAAGACCTAATAACAGACCCAAAAACCAAAATCGACATGCCTAAGACATTGGACCACATAGGCAGCGTTGCCAGGCATTTATTTGAAGACGAGACGGCTCCAATATTCCACTTTAGAAATCTTGTAGGGTCAGCGCAGAATTCAGCGATGTCAGCGATGAAAATACCCCCGAAACAGTTGTTTATACCCACCACGTATTCAATTGTTCAGGATAAGGATTTGGAGGGTAAGAATCAGCCTGTGGTCGGGGCTGTCAATCCTCAGATGTTTAGCAGAATGGGAGGAGTTGAGTCTGAGCCACTCGCCCAGCAGACTGATTCGAAAGATTTCGGTAGTATTTGTGTTTTACTCTTGTCGGTATATTAACGTTAATTTAAGGAAAAATGTTTTCAGGGTTTACCTCTACGTTCGATAGGGTTGGTTCGGCGATAAAGCAAAGTATCGCTAATGGCCGCCAAACTCTAATACATGTAAACGAAGCAGCCAATAACGCCAAAAGTGCCATACAAACCATGCACAATTTGAAACCGAAATTGGTGAAAACCGAGCATGTGGACAACAAATCGAAATCCACAATGATATCGCCCAGAATTCTGGACATAAACATAGATGATGAACAGGTGGGTGCAAGTCAACCTTCAACTGACCCTCAAAGCACAGATTTACTCAAGTTTGGGGACGTTTTTGATGCGGTAGGTTTCTCAAAACCAGACGAAAAATTGGAGATGGAAAGAATCGTGTTTACCTCGAACGAACCACCAGTGGTATACAGAAACAAATCCAAGGTAAAGGCAAGTCCCACCGCGTTAAGATCGATCTTAAAAATGCAACACAAAGATTTAAACAAAATGGAGAAAACCGTCAGCAATCTAGATCAGGCTGAACGTACAGTCGGAGCTACAAACTTGGAGGATTTCATGGGTCAAATGAAGGAGCACATGGATGATATGCACGAAATCGCTGACAAACATGAGCAGGATTTGCTGCAGAAGAAGCAAGAAAGAATTAAGGGTACAAAATCCAGAGCATCATTCGAGGAACATCAGAAAAGGTTAAGGATGGGTAAAGGTAAGAAGTATGACCACCTGCTGCAGAAGAAACACCAGAAGTCCAAAAACAAGCCAATGAATACAAATTACTATAGAAGTTCGGAAGATGTGGCTGCAACTCTACCAAAAAAGAATGATAATAAGGAAATTCCATCGGAAGACCTTAGAGTAGGTTTAGAGTTACCTCCAGAATTGTTGCATCCATATATGGGACTACCAGAATTGACTCAGTATGTGAACCAAGCCGAACAAACCAAACTGAAATTCAATGAAGATCAAGGTGATAATTTACAAACAGAACATAAAGAGTTTAAGCAAAAACCCATAAAAAGTTACTATAGAAGTGCTGAAAATGATGTTGATGAAGAACATAGACAACATTCATCCAGTAAGTTGGTTTTAGGCAACCCAGCCATTCAAAAATACCTTAACAACGATAAATTAACATCTGAACAAAAATCCATACTACGTAAGCTTTATGAAAGTCTTGTTTGTGATTTGTGTTGATTATTTTGTCTTTCAGAGGCCACAAACGCCATAAACTTCGAAAAAATGTTCAAGGAGGCGAAAAATCAGGAAGAAAAATCCATCGTTAAGAGGCAACTTCCAGAACCAGAGCCAAGTCAAAGAACTAGCATGGTTATGAGCAAAATCATGAAGAAACCTTTTATGGGCAGACCCAGTGATGAAAAATACCATGAATATTATAGCGAATATAATAATATGGAAAACCCACAACCCTACACTGCGTATGAGCAAAATGTGCAATATGTGTAATAAAAACAACTTTCTACTTTTATACTTTTATATCATTGAATAAAATAACATAATAAAAAACTTAACCTTTAATGGGCATTATTTTACCATCTGGTCCTTTATATGTCAACGAAACAGCATTACCATTAGCAGTGCTTTTGGAAGCTGCCTGTGAAGCTGCACTGAAAGCTTCAGAAAAGTCTACGTTGAAGCTACCACCATTGGGTAAGTTGTATTGCTGCGTCCCAGATATCCCAGCTGTCCCAGTTATACCCTTCGGGCCAAAGTTGAAGGCTTGAGTTTGGGCTCCTGGAAGAAAATAATGTATCAGTTTATTCTAAGAATGTTTTTTAAACCTGCCAGTGGGAATATTCTTAGGATAATGCTATATTTCTTCTAAAGAACATGCTTAAAAGACATATAGCATGATCCTAAGAATATTCTTACTGGCCTATAGGCAGGTTCTTAGAAGGTGCAAAGTTTGGTGGTAAAAATTAATCCACTCTAAACATATGCTTAGAAAGTAATTGCTATAGAAAGTTCATTTAGGAATATTCCTGGAACATTCTGTTAAGCATATTCAGTTCAGTTAGGTACCTATATAATAGTAAAATATACCATAATCTACGTATGAAGGTGCCTATAATTAGTATTAAATACTAAGTAAAAAACACAACCCAAAATATTTTTTTATAGTTATTTGTCAACTATATCTGAATTAACATTTTTATGTATAATAATCCTAACTATCTTCAACTTCAATCTAATCTGACTTATCCCACAAAATTTTCCAATTTTACTTTTTATGAAATAATTTCATACAACTTATGGTTCAGAGGTAAAATTGTTTATCTAATATTTTTAAATAAATATATTTAATAGGTCGCAAAATTTTTTAAGGGGACGACAAATACATTTCACTGTCATATTATGACAGTGAGGCCTATTTGTCGCCTCCTGAAGAATTTTACGAATGTAGAATCCAACATCTTAGAACGTGGGTATCTTACATATTTGGAAATATTCTCAAAAGCTTTCTAGAAGCTCCATAAGAAACCTTTTAAGAACATTCCTAAAACGTATTCTTAAAATGTTCTTAGATTGCTTTTTAGGAAGGTTTTAAGAAGCTTCTAAGAATCTAATTGCATCATTAAAAGGGTATCTATTGAATGTTTTAAAAGTCCCTAAGAACATTCTTAGCAATAAGGGAAGGTTCTAAGAATATTCCATTATTCCGAGTCATATCTTCTTAGAAGATTCTTAGAATCAAATTTTGCTATCAGGGAAGGACTTTTGTGGATGATAAAAACATGTAGGTACCTGTAGCTGAAGCTCCGAAATTGGTGGTAGGTCCGAAAGCATTAAAGGCTTGTGATTGGGCTGAGCCAGCCGCTGCCCCACCCCCGAAGTTGGGGAAAGGGGGGAAATTATTAAACATGTTGTGGTGCGTTGGTTGGGCTCTGGCGATGCGTGTTTTGTTTTTGTTTCTAACATTTAGAGAAGAGTTTACTATGATTTCGTCAAAGGCTGGTCCATATTCCAATGAAGCTTCATTAAAAAATAATATTTTTGTGAATGTTTCAACAATATGTTTTTACATACCTTTTAGATTCCTTAATGTTTTTTCATCTTTCATTGGAAGAGTATTCACGAAAACTAAACATATTAAACTTCCTAATAAAACAACTAAAATTTTCATTATTATTTTTTTTAATAATGTTATAGGTCTGTAGATAGATCAATATGCTAAGCTTAAACTATTATACTAAGACAATAATGACAATAATTTAGATCCGTGTGGTTAGTTGTTATTAACCGGTTTGACAATGATTTTTTTAAAATAAGAAATTATTTAGTTGAATCATTGAATAAATAAAATATTTTTACTTTGCCCCCAGGTATTTGTTATTTGGTTTAGATTAACAGTATTCGTAGTAGGTACATTTTGTCAAAAAAATAGACGAATAATTCAGGTTAATTTACCAAAAAGTAGTACTTCATCATTTGATGTTATTCGTATTAAATAGTTAAACGCTTGGCCTTAATTTTAATGAACTAAACATATACCTACGCTTGGCAAAGGTAAAAGAAAGAAAGAAAGAAATTCGAATATGGTAATTCAAAACGGCGGTATGAATTTAAATAAAAAGATTAAAACTATTACGCCATATTGTTTTCACTTTTTCCTATTATATAACGAATTTTTGTGTGTAAATTAATTTTTTCCTCTCATAAATAGGTATCTTTCGGAAATTAAGGTAATAACAATTTACATCTTAAATGGTGGGGTATATAGTATATATACTTGGGTAGATAAAAAAAATATTACACTCAAATTCTTTTAGTTCATCTATTGTGGTATACACCAACATCAATCATGGCCTTCAAACTAGTGGTTGTAAGTACAAATACTACAAATAATAAACTATAAATTTACAAACAAATAAATCGTATTTCAGGCTTGCATTCTTTTGATCTTGGGACTGGCCAGGGCCGCTCCAGGGGGGTGGGGGCACCAAGTTCACCAGTGAGTACCGATTTTTATTATACAGGGTGTCACCAAAAAAGTTATCATTTTTGCATTATTAAAATTTTTTCATTACAGTGAACACCATTTGATCCACGCCCCTCTGTACGTGAGGCCGGAGATAGTCCATGTGCATGAAGTCGAAAAGGTGCACATTCCAGTCCACATTATCAAGAAGGTGATCATCGAGGAGGAGCCCCATCACCACGAAGAGTTCCATCACGAGCATCACCACCACATCGAAGCACCAATTGGTGGTGGAGGCGGTTGGTGGTAAACTCCGCATGCAGTACGAACGAGAGTTTAGTGTGGTGGGTGATTGAAAACTGCCCTGCATTTTGAAAGTTTTTAATGTTTTTTGTTTTGTTTCAGATACGAGTGTGGATATGATTGAAGAAAGTGCAAAACTAATTTTATTGGATCTAGTCGTTTTGTAGTTCTTAATAGTCGTATTCGATTGTCTGTTGTTTTATTTAAGTTGTTATGTTTGTAGATAGTTATATTTAAATAAAACTTTTTTGTATAAAAAATAATTTTGTTTTTTATTTTATTATTTCTTGCAACCATATAATAACTACATAGATTCAAAATTTTTTTCATAAAAAATTATAATAAAAAATATTTTAAATAATAAAAATTGAAAAAAAATATTCTTTTTTATGAAGAATCCTAAGAAAATTTGTTTTGTAAAATAAGGCTTCAACACGTCAATTTACATACCAAGCTTGAGGTATTTGTTGTTGTATTACATTTAACCCCCTGACCTCCAGAGCACCTACCCCTAAAGTTTTAAATAGCAACCCTATTTATTTCACCATTTTTGAAATCCTTATGTAATTCTAGATAAGTTACATTTTTTTGCCAAAATTGATAGCTCATTGAGAGTAATTAATGACTATAATGTCTTATTATTATTTTTAAAATATGGGTTTACAAAACTTTGTCCACTGCGTTACCGAGTCCACTTACCTTATGGTAACGCAATGGTATTTAGGGCAACGCAATAGAATTTTTCGACAACAAAGTGGATATTTACCGTCGCTTTTATTAAAAGTAGTTTATGATTAACCAATTCAAAATTATTTGTAATTACAACTCATGATATAGATTACATCCAAGGAAAAATTCCACGCAATATAAAAGTACTAAAAGGGACCTTCACCAGCTTATAGTCAAAGAAAAAGGGTGTCTACAATTTAGAAATCTAAGTTGTTATTCTGTGAGCACCACTACAAGGGATTTTGTTTATGCATTACTCTAAAATCGTACCACCCTATATAGTTTCTTTTTTACGTTATCTGATTAAGTCCTTTGTGAACCCCTGTCCGTTGTGATACCAATGTCTATTTCGTTACTTTTTTTAGTTTTTGTTTAAAAAAATACTTAAAATGATTTTTATACAATATCACTTGGTAATACGTGTTCATAAATTAGAGTTTAATTCACTAATACAGTGACTAAAAGAAAATATTAATGGGATTGTTTTTTAACAAAGAATCGGAATAGTTTCTTTTAAAAAGTAACTTAACGAACATACATATTTAAAAAAAAAGCATACAATTTTTAATAAAAAATAAAATAAAAAATTGGAGTCAAAAGTTTGTGAACTAACTAAGTACATTTTATTTCAAATTATTTTTATAACAACTTTTTTTATTGAATTAAATTTTGGATTTCAAATTGGTAACACAGTGGAGATATATAAAGCTAGCTAAACACATTTTTCTGAAAAAAACGTAAAAAAAAATAAAAAGTGCACTGCCTGTCTTAAATGTAAGTAAACAAAACTCTAAACATTTATAAAAATTCAACCAAAAGTCAATTTAAGCAAAAAAAAATATTTTGATCTTCATTTTCCTGAAAGCGGGTGTTTCTTGAAAATGACCCAAATACAGTTGAGATATTAAAATGAATGAATAAAAAAATAATTGCGTAGGAAACAATTTCTTTTCTTATATAAGTGGTTCAAAAGCCAAAAATATAAAGAACACCTGTATAAACGAAATATACATATGTAGTGTAACAGGAAAATGTAATATTTATGTTTGATATGCATAACTTTCTTCTGATATAATTTATGGTTATTTACGAAATTTTTAAACGAAAATGTAAAGTGATCACCTTTAGTTTAAAGAAATGCAAATACAATCCAAATATTTTTATAAAACTATTAGCAATTTGCATATTTAGAAAATAACAGGATTAAGATCATTGATACAATTCAGTTAAAATTTTAATAACACAAGATTATTGAGTTTCACTTTTTTGATGTCTTTTAATATATTCATCAAATTCCATTAAAAAAAAAACGTGTTAGAGATTTTGCGCTGGGTGGGAGATTGGACCACATATAAATCGGACGAAATACTTTTTTTAGCATAGTCTTTGTGATATTTTGGTACAGTTACTACCTTGTGGCCTACCATAACAACTAAAATGTTTGTTTTCCAATGCATTGTAAGTTTTTTATTTTTTGTTTGGTGTTTTTTTAATTTTTTTGTTTTTTTGTTTTTATAGGTTGCCCTCACTGGGATAGCTTTGGCTATTGGAGCTCCACAACCAGGTGGTTGGGGAGGATGGGGAGGCAACGGCGGACATGGTCATGGAGGAGGACTACAGTATGTTTAAATATTAATCGTTATGGAACAAAAAACTAATAATATTTTTTTATAGTGAACATCATATAATCCGTATCCCAGCTCACATCCCTCACAAAAAGATCCATGTTCACCACAAACACATCGAGAAGATCCCTGTCCCAGTGGTCCACTTGAAGAAGGTCCATCTCCATGACGACCATGTGGTCCACCATGACCATCACGACCACCATCTCGATCTTGGTCACGGTCACGGTCTTTTGTCCGGTCCTGGACCTCTTTTGGATTCCTCTTCTTTGTCTCTTAACCTTGGAGGTCATCATGGTGGTTCAGCCGGGTACTCTGGCTTGGAACTCGGACACGGTCATGGTCACGGTCACGGATTTGGAGGCGGCTTGGACTTAGGTGGTCACGGTCACGGGTTGGAACTTCACGGAGGACACCATGAAGAAATCGGTCACGGTCACGGATTTGGAGGCGGCTTGGACTTGGGTGGTCACGGTCACGGATTTGAAGGCGGCTTGGACTTGGCAGGTGGTCACGGTCACGGTTTGGAACTTCACGGTGGACACCATGAAGAACATGGTCACGGTCACGGATTGGACTTGGGTGGTCACGGTCACGGATTGGGAGGCGGCTTGGACTTGGGTGGTCACGGTCACGGTTTGGAACTTCACGGAGGACACCATGAAGAACATGGCCACCATGAACACCATGCTCCAGCTCCATGGTGGTAGATTCCACAGGGAAAGAAAATTACCAAATCACTTGAAGTATGTCTATCTTATTTAGACTTGTGGTGAAATTTTTTTATTAATTCGTTTCCTTTTTTTTAGATGATTTACAACCTGAAGACTGCTCGTTGTAGTTCATTATGTTGTTGTTAGACTGTCTTGTTTTTATTGTAAATAAATTATTACTTGTTTTCTATTGATGCTTTTTATTTAAACAAATCAAAAACTGACAAAATGTTGTCAATTTTGGTGTTAAGCAAAAAGAAGTATATATTTTGCGTTCATAATGACTTTATTATAACACTGCTTTCGATGCTGTTATGAGATAGGTACTCTATCCCACCCCAAAATTTTGATTTTATAGGTTGGCTATACTTTAAACAGCATAATATTTTGCATATTGTTTATAATATTTTTATGATTTTTCTAGTACTTACGTAGGTACTTTTCTAGCAATAAATTTTGTTTAACGCCAAAGAAAATCCTTTCTTCTTCTTTAACATTAACACCCGCCTATTGTAAATAAGTGAATTAGGGACAGCATGGCAAATCGATTTTGACATTAACTGTGATACCAACTATCTAAAGTAAAATTCGGCCAAATTAAATTTAAGGTATAAAATTAATTTGTTTTGTAGAATTTTTGCAAAATAGATAATAGTAGATTATGTCATAAGGAGTAGAAGTCCAAATAACATATACAATTTTTTTTTCAAGGGCGTAATATAAATAGGATAAGAAATAGAATTATTTTATCTACTCATAACTCATGTGATATAAAATTTTGGCTAAAAGCATTAGAAATTATTGATAAAAACTAAAAAAACTTATAACCCTTACTTACAATGCCGATAAATATCCTAAACTAAAAATAAACCCTGCTCTGTCAAAATGCTGCGCTTGAATTAATTTTGACGTACTGACATTTGTTTGGAGTTCCGACATTGGCGACTCGTCTATCATCATAATATTATACTAATAAACTAGTTGTTCTTTATTTCGTTCAATTAAAATTTAATAAATAATCCCTAAATATTCCGTGCGATTATAATTAATATAATTAATACATCGTGATTGCTTTGTATGATATGCTAAATTAATTTTATTATTTGACGTCTATTGGGACACCTATGGATTTACTTTTATCCCTAGGCTTTTTTGAGTTTTTTGTCTGCCGCTAATGAAAAAGACGCACTTCAACTATCTCTATACAGGCATATAAGGTTGTATATCATGGCCGCTTGAAAAAAAAATATTTTATCTATATAGCATATATATATATATCATCATTTCGGTAATGCCTTAGTATTTTTAAGTAGACCAAGAAAAAATATACAAATTATGTATATATATTTCAGTCTACTTAACAACACTAAGTGTTACCGGAATGACGATTTAGCCCGTGACTGGGATTTTAGATAGATTACAACTTGTAATAACCGATATTTATTTGAAACACTCAAATTTCACAAAGCATCCACATTTAGAATACAAATCAAACACACCGAATTAGTCCATTTCTCTTTAATGATGTACCATGAATAATAATAGCAATACTTACTACAATGTATTTTGTTAATCTAAATTTTGGTATATAGTGGGAAATGTCCGTATATAAAACCAGGTGACAATTGACAATCAGTATCAGTGTCTTCTTTTGTTTTTTCAAGTGGAATTATCACTACTCCTTTAAAATGGCCTTCGTGAGATGCAGTGTAAGATTTTGATGACTGGTTGGTTGGGGTTTTTTATTTATATTTTGGTGATTTTAGATTATTTTTGCCGTTGTTTTGGTGATGGTGAACTCTACTCCAGTACCAGAACCAAAGGCTCAACCAGGGTGGAAACATGAGTGAGTATTTTTTACAACCAAAACAACTACTTTTATCTTTTATTGAATTAAAATGAATTTAAGATTTGATCAATAAAGAAAGGCAAACTTTCACCGCAGATATTTGAAAAACCTTCAGTCGCTATACATTATTTTAACTAATTAAATATTATTATTCTTACATCTCGCCTTTGTTGGCTTACCCGCGCTGTATATAAGTAATTGAATACACGAATAATAGTAATATTATCAAAGAAAGTAGAGAAATATCTGGACATAGTTTCTTCAATATTAAGTTTAATAAAAAATTTTATTAAACTTAATATTGAAGAAAGTGTTATAATATGGATAATAGATGCTTTTAGTCCTTGATAACATTTTGGGCTGTAGTTTAAGCGTTGGTGTTTTAAATTAAACTTATAGTTACTGTCCAGAAAATGTGTATAGGAAACAGAAGCGGCTTAACTTTAATATTGTCTATTCTTTTTGTGGTATTTAAACACTGTTTCCAAAAATCAAACTTTTTCGGGAATCAATTAAATTTAATGTTTTTATTTAAAGGGTTTTTCTTGGACTGGTTGTCCGAATTGCATCCAAATATGCCAAACCGCATTTTAATAAATGAAAATGGCACGACACAAACAGAATTCTGTTAACAGGTTAACACAACGCAATAACAATAATTTGAATACTGAAAAGTAATTCTAACCTTACCGAACACAAAAACAACATGTTAAACAAAAAATAGAGCAAGTTAACATCCAACGGCATCTCAAAAACAAGAATTTTAGCAGCAGATAATTAAAAAGCACGTTAAAGATTTAAAAACACTCATCAAGTGACGTATTTAAGCCCCGCCCAACATGCGCACCATCCTATCTTAAGGTGTATGTATCTTGAGCGTATTTTAAAACTGTTTTTTCCTTCAGGCATCACCACGCCATCATAGCAGCTCCTTACCACGTGCACAACGTTCACCATCACCACGTGGAAAAGGTTGCTGTTCCGGTTCCCATTGTCAAGAAGGTCGTGGTTCACGACCACCTTGATCTTCATCATCACGACCTTTTGCACAGTGATTTGCACCACCATCACGATCTTTTGCACGGTGATTTGCACCATCACGGATTGCACAGTCACAATTTGCTGTCTCATGATTTGCATCATCATCATCACGGGGCATGGTGGTAATTTCCACGGGTGGCATGATGATTTTATTAACAAAAAGGTGGTTATACATTCTAAGATATGGATATCTAGATTTTAACGTTATATTCTTATTTCAGGCCTGATGCTACACAGGAAGTTCAAAACTTACTACCCTTTCTCAGGAAACTTCAACAATAATATTTTACCATATTTACCTCATCAAACAGCTGTTTTAACTTCTACCTCAACTAAAGTTTAATGTATCTAAAAATAGCTTTGCTTTGCTTTATTTTCTTGGTTTCTAATAGGGTAGCATTACAGTTTTGTAGTTCTGTACAAATTAGTTATAAGTATCTTTGTAAAATATAATTTTAAATTAAAAAAATAATGATTATGAATCTTGTATTTTTTTGCCAACTCTACAATCATTTTATTTATTCCCCATAAAGCTTGACCACAGAATAAAGAATGTTCTTTATTCTGTGGCTTGACAAAGAAGGTGGCTTGAATAACACACTTAAGTAGCGTACGCATGCGCTACTGTATTATGGTTTGCCTACCTTCATGGTACAAACTCCCAACAAATGATTTAATTTTAATTCAAAACACCATTAACCAACCATATCTTGTGTACAAGCTTAAGGAGTGGTCAAACTGATTTCATTTTATTTGTAAACATTGGACCAATGTAACTCAGGAAAAATGTTCGTGCGGTGTGAAGTTCTGTTTTGTGTTTTTGCTGCCTTAGTTTCTAGTTGTGAGTATTATTTTTTATTTTATTAAATAGTTTTATTTGGGTTATTAATTAAAATGGTAAACAACACCTGTGGAACGTTCAACGTTGGATAGTTAAATACTATAATAACATATTTTATACCTGCAGGTATATTATTTGTCTATGCTCCTTATAAAGCGTGTTTTTCATACTACTTTGTAGGTATATTTTAATTAAATTTATTAAGAACACTATTGTTTAATAGTGTGTTATTGAAATAAAATAAATCTTACAAAAATACAAGTCGTTTTATTTCATGTTATTAGGTTGGCACAACCGACGTGAAGTGAAATGTCACAAATAAATATTTTAAAATAAAACGTTTTTCTTGCTTATTGGGATGCTTACAGCTCAACACAGTTTATATTTACATCTTTTTAATACATTTTATAACAATTAAGCCTATGATTTTGATAAACAAACCCAGAAATACTATCGCTAACAAAAAAAACTCATACAGCTATATTGTGGCTGTGTGAATAAAACTTTTCCGTCAATGTCAAGCTGACATCGAACTTTGTCACATCCACGGTCTTATATACAGGTCTTGCAACTTTAAGCTTCGAGGTGGCTTCCTTAACGTGCCAAGCCGCTAGGTGGCGCTAAGATCGAAGGGGTAAAGTCAATTAAACTACTACTTAGTTAAATGTGGAACTACTGCATAACCATAACCTAACTTTTTAAATTCTTTTTCTATGTTTTGTTTACATTTTCAAAAATTTAATATTTGTGAGTTTGTTTCGGATTATTTACGTTAACAAAATAGGACAACAAAGTCTATACTCTATGCACAAAGTCCTCGGCCGTCACATGCCCAGACCAAACATGTTAATGTATAAAATACATATGTATATCATATATATGTTACCTACCAGTGGCGTAACAAATTCTGAGTGGGCCCCCCCGCAAAACGATTTTAATGGGCCCCCTTTACAATGAGTAAAAAGTTTATTATTACCCTTAGGAAATTTTTAAATTGGTTTTAATTACTTTTAAACTCATATTAATAATATTATATACATTATATTTTTTTTAATTAAAATTTTTGACAGGTAGGTAAAGAGTGTAAACGATAGACAGGCATAACTTATGTCACATAAGATAAGCAAATAAAAAAGGATTAGGTAAGAAACATTTATTGACAATATGCTTCTTTTCAAATTCGCACATGCGTAAAAACTTAATTAAGTTCATGTGTAGTTATCGTTTGTTAATTATAATTATATATATAAACAGAAAATAATTAGGTAATTATTATTTAAATTATTTTTTTAAAAGAATGGAATAATATATTATATATTATAGAATTACGACAATGATCCTGCAAATAAAAAGGTATATAGAATAAGATTTTTAAACCAAAATTAATTAAATATTTTCTGTTTTACTACCAAAAATTGCAGATAGTCTAGATACAGCCTGTATCTGCAATTTTTGGTAGTAAAACAGAAAATATTTAATTAATTTTGGTTTAAAAAATCTTATTCTATTCTATAATATATAATATATTATTAAGATTCTTAAAAAAAAAATTTAAATAATAATTACCTAAATATTTTCTGTTACGATAACTACACATGAACTAAAATAAGTTTTTACGCATGTGCGAATTTGCAAAGAACCAAATTGTCGATACAAAATTTTAAAATAATAAAATACAGGTTGCCTCTTTATCCACCATGGTAATTCTATAAAGTTTATATTTTGTCGTATTGCATTTAATTTAATTTTTTAAAAATTGTTAAATTTTAATTATTTTTAACAAATAATTTTTGCATAACTTTCAAACCAAATAACAATAGAACTAAAATATAACAAATAACCAGTGTTGTAACGTATCTAGTTACAAGTAACTAGATACAGTATCTAGATACTTTTTATGTATCTGTTTGTGTAACTAGTTACTTATCAAAATCTAGTAATTATAACTGTAACTAGTTACAAATTCTAAGTAACTAGGTGTGTTAAGATACAAAGATACATTTTAAATTAAACTGCGACTATTATTTATTTATAAAAAATATTATAAAAAATAAGTTATTTTAAATTAAATATTATAAAAAAATTAAAATAATAAACATGTATATTTTTGTTGTCACTTTAAAATTCCCTTTTATTGCTATTTTAAATTTTTTAAAGCAAAAAATAATTTGTATGTTTCTTAAAGTATCTAGATACTTTTTGAAAACTGTATCTGTAACTAGTTACTGCAATAAAATATGTATCTGTATCTGTATCTAGTTACAAATTTTGGTAAGTAACTGTAACTGTAGCTAGATACTGAAAATATTGTAACTGTTACAACACTGCAAATAACATTATTAATTCAGCAAATATTAACATTTGGAAAAGCGTTTAATACATGGCGCTACAACCGCATTTTATTTCTCGCGCATGTTCAAAATCAACGAATTAAATAAATATTTTTAACAAAAAATACTTATGCGTTTAGTTGTTTAAGATTGTTTATTTTTTTTTAAGATTGAATATTTAAAAAATTAAATATTTCTTTAATTTATTGGTTTAAACTTTTAAAGAGTGATGTGAGCCTTGGGCCCCCTGACCCTCTGGGCCCCCCCGCGGTGCGGGGTCTGCGGGGGTGCTTATTACGCCACTGTTACCTACGGCTAATGTGTAAACATGGATAGTTTATTAAGTAGCTGGGTAGTTTATAAACTAGCCAAACTGTCAGCTATTTTAATTGAAAACGTATTTTTAACTAAATTAGCGGCTAGTTTGTAAACCAACCAAGGGTCTTGGCTAATTTACTTGAAATTATTTAGGAACAGCTGGATAATTTGTAAACTATCCAATTTAATTTGGCTAATATGAAAACCAAAATTTCTAGTAACACAACAAACTAACCAACCAATATTCTGGCTAATTTATTAATAACCGATTTTTTTATTGTCTTGGCGGGGATGGGTTGATTGTTTATTTAAAATAATATATATTTCACCAACACGATGTGCTTAATTATATAATAATCATACAAAATGTGAAGGTGTCAATAATATGTTTTTTATTGCACATTGCCATGTTTTTAACCGCTCCTTATTTGTTAGCACTTTAAACATGGACCGCTTAATTTTAATGCCGGAACGATAGCTTTGCTGGTTACATTTTGGCACAACACAGGACTTCATGTCTATTAAAAAGCACAAATACAAATGTATAACAAGAACAAATATAACAAGAAAAAATAGAACAATATAATATAACAATAACAAATATCACAATAACAATAAGTAAAAACTCCCTGTAACAAAATACATAAGCTTGTTTATAAAAATGTAGGTTATGTTTCTTCATAGAACATAAGTAGGTAGTTCATTTGACCTTTATCCCATAGACTTTAAGGACTTAGAGCCGGTTTTACAATCGTTAGATTAAGTTAGCTTATTTGGCGGATAACTTTCATAGAAACCTTCTATCTAAGAAAATTATCCACCATAGAGCTTATCTAACGATTGTAAAACCCAAAGATAAAGAAGGTAAAAACGACCTTTAAACATCTATGGTTCACCCTCAACTCGATGCGCCATCTGGTGGGTGTCTCATTAGAGAGGTCACTTTTCCTATTGAAATTGGGCGAAGTTGCAAGACCTGTATATAAGACCGTGGTCACATCTATTATGACTTTTTTAACAACATTTTCAACCAAACAATGCATTAATGCAGACGAACTCTGGCAAGCCATTGAAGCCATTTGGAACGAGATAAAGCAAGACGGCGACTTCCAGGCTTTGCCGTTTGCGGGCAGTAATTGACAAAAACAGAGGGATGACGAAATATTTTTTTTTCAAACTTCAACCTAACTTTGTATTTAATTTTAGACCTTTCAAATGTGACGTATCATGTTAAAAGCCATAATTACCCCAACGAAATGATAGAAAATCAGGAACACTAGATTTTTGAGCTGTATGAGTTTTTTTTGTTAGCGATAGTACCTATAGCGATGCATCGTTCTCTTTTAAATAAAGTGTTGCCAACAGTCTAAAATAATAAAATGTATTTTTTTTCAGCTCTAGCTTTAAATTGTTATCAATGTTCTGGAAGCGATCCAGAAAAACCATTCCAATGCAACGAATGGCTCAACAGCGACAAATCCATTCAACCGGAACCATGTGACAACGTATACGGGGCCAAATATTGCGTGAAACACATCGGAAGATACGAAGGTAACTAATATCTACGCAAATGCAATGTAATTTTGACAACTCTTGGTTTTTTTAGGTGGAATCGGGGCCAAACGGTTCTGCTCATCTCTGGACTTGGGTAATTATTGCAATTACGTCAAAAATCCAGGCGACACTTTGAGTTACCGCACATGCGTGTACACGTGCACAGGGGACGGTTGCAATCCAGCCAATAGCATAGCGCCTAGCACCATGACGTACTTGATTTTGTTGATCAGCGTATTAGGGTTAAGATTTTATATGAGATGATGATGTTTTTATTTATGTTTTATACGATTTTATATGTAAATAGTGGATAAGATTAAATAACAGTTTTAAACATGTTTGTTGAAATTTTTTTTCTTGTACATTGTAAAATGTGTTTTTAGCATTCTAATTTTTTTTTTAGACAACAAAAATTAAGCTTTAAATAGGTAACATTTTTAAACACTTTAGCATTGTCTTTATACATTCTAAAATGTGTTTTAACATTCTAAAATTAACATTTTAAATGTTGTTTTAGACATTCAAAAATAGTGTTCTAAACTTTCTAAAATTGTGTTTTTCTACATTCGAAATTATGTTGTTAACATTATAAATTGTGTTTTTATAAATAAGCCTTGACTTAAACTTGTTCTTATACATTCTAAAATGTATTTTAAATTACGTTTGTTAGTCCTTTTTTATGGAAGAAGAAAATCCTTTTTTTCTTTTTTAACATTAACAGCCGCTTATTGTTAATAAGTAAATTAAGGACGGCATGGCGAATGACTGTGATACCAACTATCTAAAGTAAAATTCGACCAAATTTAAATAAATTTAAGGTATAAAATTAATTTTTTTATATAATATAGTCGAAAACTATAGTATGGTATAAGAGTGCGCATATAACCTGCGTACTCTTGGGACACCCTACTATATATAGATATATAATATATGTATATATAGTCGGGTGTCCCAAGAGTACGCAGGATATATGCGCACTCTTATACCATACCATAGTTTTCGACACTAAATTACACTTTTCCAATGTAAAAAACTACTTGGGCAACAATAAAATCTTTTTATCCACTTTGCGTTCATAATTACTTTATTATAACACCGCTTTCGGTGCTGTAATGAGAAATTTTATCCCACCCAAAATTTTGATTTTATAGGTTGCCTATACTTTAAACAGCATAATATTTTGCATATTGGTTATAATATTTTTATGATTTTTCTAGTACTTACGTGACTTTTCTGGCAATAAATTTTGTTTAACACCAAATAAAATCCTTTTTTTCTTTAACATTAACAGCCGCTTATTGTAAATAAGTAAATTAAGGACGGCATGGCGAATCGATTTTGACATTAACTGTCAAACCAATGACCTTGATACCAACTGTAAAATTAAAATTCGATCAAATTAAATTTAAGGTATAAAATTAATATTTTTATAGAATTTTTGCAAAATTGACAATACCTAATAATATATCTTGAGAGATGTCTTGCTAGACACTCATTTTATTAAACACTCACAATATGTATTAAAAAAATTGGATACTAAAAAAGTTCTTTATTAATTAATTTTGTATAAAATAAAGTATAAAATGGACGGTGTTTGTAAATTTGGACGGAATTAAAATATAAAAAAATACCTAACTTAACCTATATATATATAACAAATACTAAATAACAATCAGTACCTATTAAATGTTAACATAGAATATAAAGTTACACTTGCTTTTATAAATTTGGTTGTAAAAAATTTAAAAAAATATATATTACAATATTCCCATATAAAAAATATTGTCAAGTGTGCAATAAGTTAAAAAAAACTTACTAGACTTAGTTGTCATATAAAAATGAGATTCTAAAGTTTGCATTATATTAAAATATTAAAATTAAAATATTTACACTTAAATTGTTACAAAGGCACTAAATTGCAAGAACCACATAATTAATATCAAAAAATATTGTACTTAAACTTTATGGCGCTAAAAATAAGACAACAGCTAAAATAAGTCCAAAAGATGACATTAAAGTGGTGGCTGAACTACTGAAAAACCCGAAATTAAAAACCTGGATGGTGTTTTCGGTTTCCAACCAGGGGTTGGAACCGTCGTCAAAGTGCATGGGGCATTGATCACCTAAAGAAAAAAATTAACATTTTTTTTTAAATACACTCACAGGCAAAATAATCGATCCACACAAATTTTCGATGAATTTCAATCGCAAATAACTTTTTTATTTGATGTCGGATTTAAACGAATATTAAAGAATATAGTAGATAAATTAATGGACAATCGCTCACATTTTAAAAAATTACCACAAAATTGACGTACGTTTATAATATACAGGTTTAAACAAAAATATGTTTTTTACCATAAGTTTAAGACACTCTGTAGAGTGGCAAAACCGTATATTGTTCTAAATTAAGTTTTATTTATCAAGTCACATCTATTCTTAACAGTTTTGTTTTTGGTTCACCTCAATATATTTATTTTTGTGGAAAATATGGATTTTTTTAAAAAACATTGCAATTTCCAATATTTTTCTGTATGAAGAACTAAGGTTGCTATGGTCCATCCATAGGCTATGGAGAATGACAGTGACAGTTTTGTTGAATCATCCCATACTTGGACATGTCATATACAGCTTTCAAAAGCTATCAAATTGTTTTTTGTAAATTAATGTTTAAATTTTGAGGTGTCTTCTTACTTTATAAAATGGACTGATGTTGCCAGAGCAATTAATTTAATCCAGGATGGACAGTCACAGTATTACGTGGCAAGTGTTTTAAACGTCACAAGAAGTAAAGTACAAAGGGCAACATCAGTCGGAGACATTTTTAAAAGTAAGAAGACACCTCAAAATTAACACATTAATTTACAAAAAACAATTTGATAGCTTTTGAAAGCTGTGTATGACATGTCCAAGTATGGGATGATTCAACAAAACTGTCACTGTCATTCTCCATAGCCTATGGATGGCCCTTAGCAACCTTAGTTCTTCATACAGAAAAAATATTGGAAATTGCAATGTTTTTTAAAAAAATCCATATTTTCCACAAAAATAAATATATTGAGGTGAACCAAAAGCAAAACTGTTAAGAATAGATGTGACTTGATAAATAAAACTTAATTTAGAACAATATACGGTTTTGCCACTCTACAGAGTGTCTTAAACTTATGGTAAAAAATATGTTTTTGTTTAAACCTGTATATTATAAACGTACGTCTATTTTTTAGTAATTTTTTAAAATGTGAACGATTCTCCATTAATTTATCTACAATATTCTTTAATATTCGTTTAAATCCGACATCAAATAAAAAAGTTATTTGCGATTGAAATTCATCGAAAATTTGTGTGGATTGATTATTTTGTACATGTTGCATTTTTGACTTACGCTCCCTTTCGTATTCCTGCATTTCTATGGCGACTGAGGCGCCCTCTGTGTAATTCCACGACCGGACGTCCTGTTTTAGGTCGCAGAAAGGACCGATTGCTGAAATTTTTTAAACGTGACCTACCGCAAATTAAATGACATATTTTTGCGTACCTTGCGACATCAATACTTTGTTCAAATCCGCCCTCTGGTAGACCCAGCACCTGTATTTCGAAAGGGGGTCCAGCTCGTCGTAAGTGACCAAGTAAGATTTCAAGTTCTCTTTCCAAAACCCGACGCACTTCATTTTGTAATCAGGGTCGCCTAAAATTCAATCAATGTTGATAATAAAATGTCACCAAAAATATTTTGCAAAGTTACTGTAAATATCCACAGGCTTTCCCAAATGATCCACCGACAGACAATAGTTTTCATCGATGGCGATTTCCTTTTGCTCGGTATCGCAAACCGACAGGTCCGAAATGTTTTGCTTACAATAGGTATTAGGGCGCGGGCTCAAAGTAACACCACCCAAAATACTGCAGGAAAAAGTCTTAAATAATGTATACTATTCTATAAAAAAAACACTGTACTTACCGTGTTATGAACGGTACGTCTCCTTTCTGCGTGAAATTGAACTTTCCAGCGACCGGGCATTTGATGGGTACGGGGTTCTTTTTCAGGTACAAATCGTACCTCCACTTTACCTTGTTCTGGAACTGCACCCATGAACACACCGTGCTAAAATCGTCTTTGATGACTGCTATGCCGCGACGGTAGCGAATTATGTTGTGGTGCTGGGGTACAAAGTCAAAGCAGATGTAATCTTTTTGACTGAAAAAAATTACTTAGTGATAAAATGTGTCATTCCATATTGTGGATAGGTAATTATAAAATTTTATATTCTAAATTAAGACCCTCTTGAATTAAGTTTTGACATTCTAAAATTGTGTTTATTACGTTACAAAATAAGCTTAAACCTTCTAGAATAAGTATTTTAAACATATTTAGCATGTGTTTTAGGCATTGTGTTTTTATACATTCTTAATTGTGTTTTTGATATTCTAAAATGTATGTGTTGAAATTTCCAAATAAAACAATTTTTAAACGAGTATGCATTCTAAAAGGTGTTTTTGGCATTTTAAAACAGCATTCTAAATTAGGTTTTTTACATTATAAACTGTTTTTTACATTTTAAAATGTGTTTTTGACGTTTTAAATTGCGTTCTTATACATTCTAAAATGTGTTATGTGATATTTTAATTTTTTTTTACAATCTAAAATAAGCTTTAACTTCTTAAGCAAGTCGTAAGTTTTAAACATGTTAAAAACATTTTTAATAGTGTTTTTGGGAATCTAAAATAAATGTTTTACATTTTAAATTGTGTTTTTGACATTCTAAGGTTGTTTTAAACATTATAAAATTGTATTTTTTAACATTATAAATTGCGCTTTTGACATTCGAAAATGGGTGGTAAAATTTCTAAAATGTGTTTTTAACATCCCAAATTTTGTTTTTGACATTCTAAAATTGTGTTTTTTTAATTCTAAATTATGTTTTTACATTTGAAAATATGTTTTTGACGTTTTGCATTGTGTTTTTATACATTCTTAATTATGTTTTTGACATTCTAAATATGTGGTGAAATTTCTAAAATGTATTTTTAAGATTTTAATTTAATATTGTGTTTTAGGCATTCCAAAATTTTCTTTTTTTATAATCTAAATTATGTTTTTGACTTTGTAAATTGTTTTTAACATTCTAAAATTGTGTTTTTTACAGTTTGTTTTTGATATCATTAAATTTTGTTTTTACATTCTAAAGCAAGCTTTGATCTTTTTGAAAATGTTTGATGAAAATTTTAAATTGTGTTTTTGACATTGTAAATTGGGTTTTTGACATTCTAAAATTGTGTTTTTTCATTTTAAATAAGGTTCTTCGCAATATTAATTGTGTTTTTTTCTTATTTAAATAAGTCCAACCTTCTTAAATAGGTCATTTTTAAACATAAATATTTGGTGAAATTTTTTATTCTAAAATGTGTTTTTGGCATTCCAATTTTTTTTTACATTCAAAAAATAAGCTTTAATTAAGCTTAAGCTTTAAATACTTTAGCATGAGTTTTGACATTCTGCTTTGTTTTTATACATTTTAATTTCGTTTTTGACATTCTTAAATTGGGTGAAATTTATTATTATATACATTCTTAATTGTGTTTTTGACATTTTAAAATTAGGTGAAATTTCTAAAATGTGTTTTTAACATTATTTTTTAAACATTATAAATTGTTGTTTACATTTTAAATTGTATTTTTTACATTCTAAAGTTGTGTTATAGACATTCTAAAATTGTGTTTTTTACATTTTAATTTATTTTTTTAACATTTTAAATTGTGTTTTTACAGAATTTAGAATAAATTGTGCTTTTGACATTCTAAATTGTGTTTTTGACATTATTAATTGTGTTTTTTCATTCTAAAGTAAGCTTTAACCTTCTTAAATAGGCCTTGACATTTTCAAAAATATTTGGTAAATTTGGAATCTAAAATGTATTTTTGACATTCTAAATTGTGTTTTTATTACATTTTAAAATAAGCTGTAACCTTTAATTAAGTCTTAATCATGTTTAGCATGTTTTTGACATTCTGCATTGTGTTTTTGTGCGTATTTGACATTTTAAAATATTTAATAAAATTTTTAAAATGAGTTCTTGACATTATAAATTGCTAAAGGTTATTAAAATTTTTAATTTTGTTTTCAATTTATCAAAATTTATAACATTCTTCACTTCATTTTATAACGTTTGTCATGGGCTGAAGTTAGCAACAGTGGCTTTTGGGTTTTTTAGTCACAGGTTAGCTTTATTTAAAATTGATAAAAAGCAAGGTCAAATAAAATAGAATTTAAATTCTTAAACAATAAATTAAAACTGGTGATTAAAATGATAATTATATACTATTTTAACATTTAAAATGGGTTCTTGATTTTTAAAATGTGTTTTTCATATTTCAAATTGTGTTTTCAACATTCTTCACTTTTCTCTGTTTAATAATAGAAGAGTTAAACATATATTTTTTTTAAACTTTGATGATTATTGTTATTTTATCATGTAATGGGTTGTATTAAAAAATATACTTCCATATAATAGGAATTTATTGATAATTAAATAATAGTTGCCTTTTAAAATAATAATATCTAATCTTAAGTACTTGATAATAAAAAAATTATGGTTTCAACAAAAAAAAGATAAAAACACATGATTGTAAAAAAATTTAATAAAAATATTTGTACTCACCATCCATCAACTGTCAATCTTGACATCATAATTCTGGTATCTCTTTGTTCTTTACACACATAAATTGTTCTTCTGTATCTACCTTCATCTGGGTACCAAGTTTCAATGATATGAGTTTCATTTATGAATATATCAGCATCTATATTAGCAGTGTTAATCCATTCCCCTGAGAAATTTTGAGGCAGTCTGCATCCTGCTATAACTTCCTCAGATTTTACTAAAAAAAAAAAAGAATAATAACAATTTTACTGTCAAAATCAACATTCTATAGTGTGCTATGGAGAAATCTGTTCTCCCATTGGTTTATTTATAGGGATTCGTTATCAGCGCCATCTTTAATTGTAAATTTGTACTATATTAAATAATTGTTTACCTGGTGTTACATGCAATCTTTCCGGACTTTTTTCCACCGTTTTCAGAGTGTTACACTCGGCGGTAATGGAAACTCCATAATACAAATCATCATCGCGATTTTTCAAAAAACAACGATACTTTTCATCTTTCCTGGATTCTTTAGTATTGGCCACGGCAAAAAAGTGATTTTTACCCACAAACCAGTCCCCCAAACAACTGTATTCAACAACTAAAAATTAATTTATTTATCATTGCTATTATTAACAATAAAAAATCATCATACGTCCATCAAATGTCCCGGTCATCCCTTCGCACTTTTTATAGGTAATATTAAACTTCTGATTGGTAATTAAGAACTGCGACCCCGCAGTTTGGCAGGATCTAATTTGTGCATCCGGGTTACGGCACTCCCCAGTGAATTTAAACCTATTTTGATACGCAAAATTCCACACACCCTCAAGGGAAGATCTACAGTTAACAGGGACATAATTTTCAGAAAACAAAGTAATCAACTGCTGATGTTGATCTAGAGCTCTGCAGACTCTTTCCACTGTTGCCTGATGCTCAGGCACATTTTGACAAGATGCTAAAAAAATGTTGCCATATTTATCAATATAACATTTAGTAGGTACAATTTAAAAACTTACATTCCATTTTCTCGAGGACGTTCACAGTCCTCACCAAAATTTTCACGCAAGTATAGCAGGACTCCTTCTTGAAAACCATGGTATAGTTCACATGGTAACTGTCCCTAATATCGACACAATGACCCCTACGAGTCATAGTCGTAGCATCTAATTCAGTCAGAGTATTTCGACCATTTTCCCACGAAAACCACGCACCCCTCACAATCAAAGGGATAGTGCACTGAGAACTGCACTCCAAAACTTAAAGAAAACATTCCAAAAAACATAACCTTAATTTTGTGTTTATTTACTCACCGAACACATTTAATACTACGAATAACGTTGATATCACTAAGGAATTTTTATATCGCGATAACATTTTAGATATTTTTGGATTCTATAGGTCTAAAATAAATGCAGAAGGCACGCCCTGAGATATATATTGTTGACTAATGAATGACAGCTAACGTCATTTTAGCTTTTAAATTGTGTACCATTGGTTGCCTACTTCTCTACATGGGCGTGTTTATTTTTATTATTTATAATTTTTTATTTATTATTAATTAAATACATTTTAATTCACTGTATTTTTAGTGAAATCTTTTACTCTTAATTCTTTTATGTTGCTTAAAGCAACAAAAACTATTGTAACATTGTGTAATCTTGGTTGCCCACTTCTCTGTTTGGGCGTGTTAATTTTTTTTTATTGAAGTACTTAATTTCCAGTGAAATATTCGTGCATAATAAAGTGATAACACATTGCAGACATCTTAAATTAACTATAAACATTAAATTTATACACTAATTTGTTTTATTTGGCCGAATAAATACCTAGATAAATATGTGGATAGCAGGCCACGTTGTCGTTTTCGATAATTAAACTATTTCCAACAGGTCCTGTGGCGCAACGGATAACGCGTCTGACTACGGATCAGAAGATTCCAGGTTCGAATCCTGGCAGGATCGTGAAATTTTTTATAACGAAAAAATATTTTTTATTCACAAATTAATATATTTTTACAGTAATATACACAATAATAATAAACGCGCTGAAATCTGGCCCAACTTCTTTGGAAGTTTTACTTTTACTGTCCAAATGAAGCCCTAAAAGTTAGCCAGTGTTAGGAAAAATTAATAAAACTTGGGTATATTATATTGCTTACAACTTGAGTCTAAAGATTTTTGAGCTCTTTCCGCTAAACCCCAATGGACTTCATTAATAAAATTATTATTAAAATCATGGGGAAACTTGTTGATTTTAGTGTTTTTTACAATGACACTTTTTTCTGTACTTTTATGGTATACATCATATAGGGTGGCAGAGCATCTGATTTTTAGTTTGTTGATTGTAAAATTTGCTTTTGTTAAAGTAAAATTCAACATTGAAAATGTCCTGTAATATTTAAAAAATAATTATTTTTATAGGTAGTTTGTTTCATAAACAAACATTTTTTCCGTATAATTTGTGTTGGTATTATTCACAATTTCCCCATTTATAAACCATGTTAAATTAAGAGGACTATTGCCAAGTGATTGGCAGTTTATTTCGATGTTTTCGCCTACTAAATATCGAGTTTTTAAACCATTTACTTGCGGTAAAGAAATCGGTAAATTAACAACCTTAAATTAAGCAAAATTATTTCTTCAAATAAATTTAACGCTTCTTTGGAATACTTGTAAGTAAAAACCTTTTACTCCTGTAGAAAAACCAGGCTGATCTGCTGAAACTTCACAGGAATACCACCCTGAGGAATCAAGTGATACATTTTGTAGGAGTATCTAAAAACAATATTTTAAATTTTGTTTGACGTTTAACATTATGTGGATGAAATTATTTTATATATAAATGCATCACTGTTCCTATAGAATTTCAATGCATTTTCAGTGTTGTACTCACAGTACCTATTTTACCTGCTTGTCATTGGATGACGTCTCCAAAACATCTACTCCTTTAATTTTGAACGTCCTTATTCTTGGTGTTTCCTTGGGTACATAACGAAAAAATTCGTTATTTTTTTTGTACCACTTTACCGAATACAACCCTGCTCCCTCTAAATCAAAAAGGCAGTGCAAAATGACGTCTTTCCCAGCCACCACTGCTTTTGGTATTTTAACGTGCACATTTTTTAATGAGTTTGAGCCTAAAATTGGAAATATACCTCAAGAATATATTTTTGGTAAATATGTGGCCAAATTAGCAGTAAATTAAATCTTAATTAAAAGTTATAACGTTCTAAAGACATTGGTAAAGTTTTCACCAAATTGTTTGGTACCTAAGTTGTCGTTTTTGAGGGTAAAGGCAAAAATCATTTTGCTCTAAATAAATTAAAAGTGTATGTCATTACAATAAATTGTATGTACCTTGGTAGGTAACGATGGTTTTGCGTGATTATTTCAAATAAGGATAATGTATCTAAAAGTGAGATAACATGTCCTGTAAAATTTATAACGCTTAGGTATTTAAACAATCTTTAATGTTTTTTTGATAATAAACTCATTATTATTCTTTATTAGGCAATTTAGCGAATAGAGTTACAATTTTCGTTAACTATAGGTTAGATTTAAATTTTTAATAATATAATAATAATAATTAATAATGTTATATTCGAACATTAGAGTATATACGTATACAGAATAAGTCATTTAACTTAACAATTGTATAAATTTTTTTGTTTAGGTGGCGTGTGGATGTTTGTAACATTTTTCAAATAAAAATTCATATTTAACTTAACAAAAAATAATTAAAACCTATAAAGCATCAGTAAATAGGTGTACATATGTATATGTACATACAAAGATACCTATGTAGTTTAAAAAGTGTTGATATTTGCTTTGAAATTGCGGTTTTATAGTGCGCTTTTTACTATTATCTGCTTTTAAAATGCACTGAAAGCTTTTCCTGCAAAATTAAATTCGACAGAAATACTTTTAAATAGAAAAGAAAATGGACCAAAAGAATCTTTTCATTTTAGTTTTTAGCACTGTATTTTTAATTTTGTTTTATGATGCAAAAAGTTTAAGGTGAAAAAAATGTTAATTGTTTAATTGATAATGTTTTGTAGATAATAATCTTATAATAAAAACCTGGACTTGTCCGGTTTTGAAACTCCTACCCACCTTCATAACAAACACAAAAAAACAGAACAATCCAGGTAGTTTTCAAAATGTATACCATATTTCACTTAAGACGCTAAAAACTTTTCCAATAGATATCACATCACATATGTTATTTGGTTTGAAGGAAAGGTAAGACTGGCCGCTTACAAAGAATTTTCCGTGGGAAATTCACGTTCCCAGCGTGCGCATGCTTTTCGGAAAATCAACAAGTGTCAAACTATGAAATATTTAGTTCGCCATACATTGCACATATTATATGAATATTATATTAGGTTTAGGTTGTGAGATGTCGGTTAAGTTTTGGAAGTTATAAATACTGTATATTATTTAACATTTAATAATTATTGCATAGTTAAAATATCAAAATGTGAATGTCAAAATATTTTATTAATTTTGTCAAGCATATTTAACCACTAGACCATAAGGGATATACTTTTATAAGTGGGTGAATATATTAATATTGAGATGTCCCCCAAGTGAAAATAATTATTTTTTATTATTGGTTGTTTATATGTTAGTCTAGAATAGGGTTTTTGGGAAGCCACCAGGTCTAGTAATAACATAACATAAGTGGTTCTGCACTAATGCTAGAATTTTAAGAAATCATACATTTTGAATATTAGAACTTCACGGAGGTTAGGATTTCGTATGTTTTTTTAAACATCCCTTTGTATTTTTGAAATAAGTTATTGTATCTTTTGATACCTTAATATTTTTAAAAAATGCAATTGTACATACATAAAATATTTATAAAAAAATCTAGTTACTGAGATATTACACTTCACGGTGGATAGGTTTTTAAATAGCAAATTAATGAACTTAAACTTTTGAATTATAAAACAGCAACACTCTCATCTTCATATAAATTCTAACTGACCTTCAGGAATCACATGCATCTATAATGTCGTAAACAGAGGTTTTTGCTTATTTACAATGATTAAAGCCCCATCCGTTGCATAAAATTTAAAGCAAAAACAGATTCACGGAGGATAGAATCAATTTTTGTAACACCTACATAATTTGTATAAAAATTATTTCTTTTAATTTTTAATAATATTTTATATTTGATTCGATTGCTTTGGATGTGTTTAATTTACTTAGTGAACTGATATTTTTGGTATGCTTTTACTACCTCAGATATTTGAAAACATATAGGTTAACCTAGAAAGAGTAACAGTCACGGAGGATAGGTTTTAGACTTAAAACATTGTAAAAAATAATTAATTGCGGTTAAAAATCTGGAACCTGAGCTGTAATATCTACTTAATTATGAAATATCAAAACACAATAAAAGTGTAGGTCAAACTGATTTAGTTTTATTAAATATCACGGGGTAACGATCGGGGGACATTTCGTGAGATTCACCCAAATATACTAAAATGTGCGACATAAACTTATTTTGCCAGAACTCGAGTCGTAAATATGAACTTTTCGCTTGTTTCACGTTGTTTGTAAATTTTATGGTTGAATATTTTCACTTCGACGTAAAATTTTCGCCCCAAGTCCGCAGGGGAAACTTTTTTACACCCTTGTTTGTTTTAAAGTTGACAAATTTTTCCACATTTCTTACGTCTATGGAAAACGCTTTCGGGGAAGCAAAAACCCGGGATCAATTCGCAGCGCTAGCAAATTAGCTGTCTCCACATTTCCAAACATTTTTGTTTTTCTTTTTAAACAGTTTCACGTTTTATTCACCTTTTTCTTTGACATTTCCTTTTCCGGTCTAAACTTTTATCGCAACGATCTGCTAAACTTTTCAAACACATAACAACTTTAACGTAGGTATCCAATAGAACGAAATTTGTTATTCAAAGTTTTATTTAAAATGTAAATCAAAAATTTTATAATTACGTTTAAATTGTAGGTATATCGATTTTACCTACCTACCTAATAACGATAATTTTAAATTCTCGACAGATGGAGTGTTTATGTTGTTCTGTTGTTATGTTTTACGTGTAAGATGATAAAATATCATAATTATGTTTTAAATTAAGTAAATAATGCCTCCATTGTAATCGATTTTTTTCTATAAACTTTATACCTAAATTATGCAACATAATGTATTCTGTTACTTAAAACGAAAAACTTAAAATTCTATAAAATTTGCATTTGAACTAAATATTTCTCTTAAAATAATTAGCAAAATTATGCCAAAATTTACTAAATATGTTAAACAGAAGCTAAAGCAAAATTGGCAAAGAAATTTCTTCTTAGTTTTCATTTACATTTTAATAACTACATATTTTAAATTGCTTTTAAAGATCTAAGCTGGAATTTTAAAACTGTATACGATAGAGTGTTTCAGTTTTGAATAGCAAATATACAGGGTGTCCCAAAGTAACACTAATGCTCTTAATGCGATCTCCAAACTATACAAAAAACTTTCAATAAAACCTAATAAAATAAAACTTTCAATAAAACCAAAGGTTCCTCAAGACAGCCTTAGGACCATTATAAAGCAGCTTCTACCCAAAAAGGGCACATCCTCTTCAACACTGAATTTTAAAACTATATTAAAACCATTTTAAAACTATATTAAAACCATTTAAAATAATAGGTCCAGATACTGGCGCACTTTCAAAACTTTAGGTTTCTCTGCAATATTACCTGGTGTTTTCTAGAAATCATCCATCCATTAAATCATCCATCCAATAAATCATCCATCCATTAAATCATATATCCAATAAATCATCCATCCATTAAATCATCCATCCAATAAATCATCCATCCGTTAAATTGCGACCCAAAAACCATTATCAAAAGGCCAATAGAAATGGTGAATCTGCAGGATTTAAAGCTTGCACTTGTTGTAAATGGTAAGGGTAAAGTAGAAAATTTAGATTATGAGGTTGCGGCGTCTAGGGTATCTCTGTTCATATTAAAAACATTTTTTAGTTCAATGCAAACTTAATAATACAAACCTTTACAAATGTAAGCAGTTCCGGTGTGTTTTAAATAATTTATGGGCATTCTGGAATAATCCCGTTCTTTTAAACTCTGTTATGGCCAACGAAGTTCAAGGGTAGAAAGTCACGTGATCAAAGGGTTAATGACCCGACAATTAAAACAATCGATCCAAAACCTACAATGAACGATTTTGAATAATTTATTCAAAATCAGGGACGATTCTATAAAAGGTGGGAACACCATTTTTAATTGTTAATTTTGTGCGTTTGTGACTCCCGTTTGCATTTTTACAGTGATTGTAAGTTATACTCGTAGTTTATTATTTTTAAGGGAATCTCTTCTATGTTATACATTTTCATCCAAAGCTAGTTCATCATCCTCTCCTCTTTGATTTTCTGTATTGTTTCATCTAACATTTCAAAAAGAAGTTCTTCAAGAAACTGAGTATGATTTTCTGATGAGATGAGGATTTTTATTGCTCCAATAACGACAATTCTGTTTGTTAACATTTAGATTCAGATAAAAAGTACTCATCACTGAAGCAAATGTTTTTCAGTATTTGGATCTAATTTGTTATTTTATTAGTCATGATTTCACAAAATTCTAAAAGCCTGTCTGCATCATCATCGCAAAGTTCTTGTGTAATATGCATTTTGAATGGGTGGAATGTTTCAACACCTTCACACTCTTGATATTGTGGGATCTATACCAAATTGTTAAGAACCTCAATATGGGTGACTCATTGAGTATCCCAGGTTGGTTTCATTTTCGATTGCAAACAGATCAGGTTTGTTCAAATTTTGCAACCAGCTATTGAACATATTTCGCGTTTAAAAAAACTTAGTTGCCAACCCACACATCCTAGAAACGGTTTTGAGAAATTTTTGATATCTTTTGTAGCATCAGACTTTGTTCGTTTTTAAATAGACACCCTGTATATTTAAATAATTTGGAACATAAAATAGGTACTTAAAAACTTTACTTCAATCCATGTTACATAGTAATGAACAAATTTCCATTTAGACTATTATTAACTGACCCTTTTGGACCTTATGCTAATAAATGCTAATGAGGAAAAAATATTTCATTAAGTAGTCGGAATTTTAATCCCATACACAAAATGTATTATTTAAATAAGTGCATTAAGTGTTTACTTTAAGTATAAATCGGTAACAACAGATAACCCTGAGGTATACCTACCTTGTTACAGTTAAAATGCAAGTCTACGATGGAGATATTGTTATATCTGGAGTTGGAGGTTACTTTCCAAAGGCTGAAAACATTGGAGAGTTTAGGGACAGACTTTTGAACAACGAGAACTTACTGGAGACCAGATGGCGTTACGGCGAAAGAGGGTGCACCAACTTGATAGGAAAAATAAAGACCGAATACTTCGACAACGCGTTCTTCGGCATCCATAGACAGCAGTGCACGTTTATGGACCCCATGCAGCGTTTGATTCTCGAAAGAACCTTCGAGGCCATCATAGATGCCGGCGTCAACCCAGCTGAAGTGAGAGGACGCAAAGTGGGCTGCTTCATGGGCTCAGCTATCGGAGAGAACGACAATCTCTTTCTGGAGTCGGTGGTGAGCGGTTTTGGGGTCACAGGGCACTCCAGGGCCATGATGCCCAACAGAGTCTCCTATTGGCTGAACTTGAAGGGACCCAGCATCGCTTACGATAGCAACTGGGTGGGCGGGTTCGAGGTCATCCGGTTAGCCGTGGATGCCATCAAAACCGGGCAGTGCGAGTCGGTTGTCGTCGGTACAGCCAACCTGGCCTTGAACTCAGAGTACCAATGGCTGTACAACGATATGGGGGTACTGTCGCCCGATGGCAGCACTAGAGCCTTCGATGCCAACGGTGAGTTATACTGTCGCCGTACATAAACCACGGTGAGATGTATGTTGTATTTTAGGGAGTGGTTATGCTAGAAGTGATGGTATCGTTGTCTTCTTCATCCAGAAGGCCACAGACGCTAAGAGATCCTACTGCAGCATTTTGAACGTCGACACCATTTTTAATGGAAATCGCGAGGGTAATTTGACCGATATCGACGTTGACTCCATGGCCGACTTTATGAAGGAGTTCTACAAAGATTTGGAGGTCAAACCCAGTGAAGTTGAATATGTGGAAGCCTATGGTACCGGACTAAAGGTACCGTAGAATAAACAATTTGTATTACGATGCAACTAAATGTTTTTTATCTAGGATTTCGACAAAAAAGAAATAGACGCACTTGAAAAAGTCTACTGTGAAGACCGTGAAGGCCCCCTTTTGGTAGGTTCGGTAAAATCCAACACAGGTCACAGCGAATCGACCGCTGGCCTTTTTGGTATCGTCAAAGTCATCATAGCTATGGAAACCGGTATAATCCCGGCCAACATCCAGTACGAAACGCCAAATCCAGACATATCTGGATTGATCAACGGCACTGTGAAGGTCGTAACCGAAAACCAAAAGTGGAAAGGCCTTTATGCGGCCGTCAACGGTATTGGTTTGGATTCTTACTATGGCCACATCCTATTAAAATCCAACAGAAAAATTAAGGCTATATTACCTGATTCACTGCCTAGACTTATTGTAGCCTCTACGAGAACTGAAGATGGAATTAAGGCCATTTTGGAAACAGTAAGATTGTGTTTTTTACTGGTCTTATTTATTTTCATGCTTAATCTATAGGTCAAAAACAAACCAAGTGACCCTGAGTACTACAGCTTGATTCAAAACTTATACTCCAACCCCATTTCTGGACATTTATACCGTGGTTACGCTCTTCTAGGTGGTGAAGACGTCAAACAAGAATCAGAAGTAAGATAAACATATTAAGAGAACAATCTTATAACAACTTTATTTCAGTACCACATGGGTAACAAACGTCAAGTATGGTTCGTGTACTCAGGTATGGGTAGCCAGTGGTGTGGTATGGCTAGCGATCTAATGCAACTGCCAGTTTTCGCCAATGCCATTCACAAATGCCATAAAATATTGGAGCCTAAGGGTGTGGATCTACTAAACATTATAACAACTAAAGATACCACCATCTTCGACAGCATTCTGCATTCTTTCGTCGGTATAGCTGCCATCCAGGTAAACAAGACATCATTATGATTCAACAAACAATATCCCTCAACAATTGTTTTACCTAGATTGGTCTCACTGATGTCTTACACTCGATCGGCATCCAACCCGACGGCATCATAGGTCACTCCGTCGGCGAACTTGGATGCGCCTACGCCGATGGTTGCATGACGGCCGAGCAAATGATCCTCTCGGCTTACTCCAGAGGTAGAGCCTCGCTCGAAGCCGAACTGATCAAGGGTATGATGGCGGCCATAGGTATGGGTTATCAGCAAATAAAGGACAAAGTGCCGCCCACCGTTGAGGTGGCTTGCCACAACGGCCCTGACAGTTCCACCATCTCCGGGCCCACCGAAGACATGGAGAAGTTCGTCAAAGAGTTGCAGGACCAAGGCGTGTTCGCTAGGTTGGTCAATGTGGCCAACATCGCCTACCACAGCAGGTACATCAAGCCGGCTGCGCCAGGTTTGTTGAAGTACTTGAACGAAGTGCTGCCAGAACCGATGGAGAGATCGTCCAAGTGGATCAGTACCTCCAATTTGGAGGAGAACTGGAACACCGACTTGGCCAAACACTCATCCGCCGAGTATCACACCAACAACCTGCTAAGCTCTGTTTTGTTCGAGGAGGGTTTGAAACACATCCCCAAGGATTCCGTTTTGATCGAAATAGCACCGCATGGTTTACTGCAAGCCATCCTGAAGAGATCTCTGAAAACTGGTTGCACCAACGTGCCGCTGACGCAAAGAGGCTGCAAGAGTGCGCTGGATTTCCTCCTATGCAGCATGGGAAAGTAAATAACCACATCACATAATACCAACACCACTTACATATTTTGTTTTGCAGGTTGTATCTGGCCGGTTTGGACTTCCAAATCTCCGAGCTTTACCCCAAAATAGAGTTCCCAGTCAGCAAAGGTACCGCCAATTTGGCAGAGTTGGTGCACTGGAATCACAGCGAAGCTTGGAGAACCGGTCTCGAAGACAAACTTCAGAATCTGTTTGGTGTCAGAGATATCCAGGTGACGTTGAACAGCGAAGAGTTCAGAGATTGCGTCGGGCATCAGCTTGACGACAAGATTATACTACCATGTGGTTTCTACCTTGTAAGTAGCCAAATTTTGCCGTTATGAGTACGTTATACAAGGTGTATTTTTCAGAACATCATCTATAACATCATTGCAAGTATCAGTACCGGGCAGAAGGAAATGGTGTTTGAGAATCTACACTTCAAGAAAGTACTTGCGATTCCCAAGATTGGTTCCGTTCCACTACACGCCATGATCCAGAAGGGTAGTGGCGACTTCGAGATTCTATCGCAAAACGATATTCTCGTCACAGGTAGAATGACGTTCCCCCAAGCCACAGATAAGTTTCTAGCGGAAGCAACGGACATAGAAATCTTGGAGGATAACATACAACTAAGTGGAAGTGACGTGTACAACGAGTTCCACCATAGAGGTCAAAAATATTCCGCTCTATTCAAAACAATTAAGAGCCTTACGCTGAGCGAAGAAGGGTCTGTGAGCGTTATACAATGGAACTCCAAATGGGCTCTATTCCTGGAAGCCATGATTCAACAACAACTGCTACAGGCAGGCGAGAGGAACCAAGATATTCACGTGCCAAAATCCATACAGAAGATCGCCATATCGCAAACCTTATTGCCAGCTGATAAGAGCGACGTCAAGGTCACTTACAACTACTCTACAGGACTTATATCAGCTGAAGGTATACAAATTATTGGCATGAGGACCATACCTTACCCCAAGGAGAGTAAAGCTGTGTTCTATGACTCCTATGAGTACATTAACTTGTCCAATGGAAACTATTCTGTGAGTATATTTTGGGTGGTTATGTTACTTGTTATGTAATAATGGCGGTTTTATGTAGGCAATTGAGAATGGTATTAATACAGCCTTACAACTGACTTTGGACAACTTTGAGGATCAATATATCACCAATGTAATGATTACGGAGGTTGAGTCCAGCAATCCTTCTTTGGTGGAGAATGTTAAAAACATCTTGAATCAATACACCAAGCTAAACGTAAGTACTTAACATCTGACTTGATAATGTTCTAACAAACAAATTTCAGCCCAATGTGACGTCAGTAAAGGAAGTCAAACAAATCGCAGTGCAAAACAACTACCCCTTACTCGTGGTAACGAACGATTACCTGAAAGAAGACTTGGCCAAGTTGGTTGGCACAGCCCACGCCTTCGCTTTAGTTAAAACCGATAAATCGATCTTATCCTACAGCTACGTCATCGAAGTAGCTCAGTTCTCAGTTGACGGCGAATCGTACTCCATCATCAAGAAGGCCGTGCATTCGGAACCTACTGTGATCACAGTTAAAGGCGATACTTTGAGCCTCAAAGATTTGACGCGCGGTTCTGTATCGTGGGTATCAGAACTCAACGCAGCTGTCGCAACCGCCAAAGCTAAACACCACAGCGTCTACTTGGTGTCTTCGGTAGTTCCAACAGAAGGTTTCACCAACTTCAAACAAGAGTTGAGATCGCTGCCCAACATGACACCATTAAGGATTCTGTTCGTCCTGGATAAAAAGCCCTTGGAGTTGAATGTGGAAGACCCGTTCATCAAACACATCTTCAAACAGGATCTTTGTCTGAGCATCATCAAAGACGGCGTATTGAGTAGTTACATCTCGATCCCAATCAAGTACAAAGAGAACGTTGTTCAACAAAACATAACCAGCAACATCATCAAGAACAAAACCATCAGCCACATCGGAATCAATCTTAAAGACGAAACCCTGAATCCTGAACTCTATATCCCCAACGAACTAGGTAATGTTGACTACAGCGGAGTCACGAGTACAGGCCAGAGAGTCATGGGATTGGCACAGTTGGATAAAGATACGTGTAAACTGATTACAGACGATTTGCTCACATGGGAAGTCCCTGAGAGTTGGAGCCTTGAGGATGCTTGCACGATGCCTCACGCATACGCCAGCGTAAGTCCATATTATGTAAGTGCAAAAACCATTTTAAAACATCACTTTCAGGCATACTACGCTCTGTTCATCAAAGCCAAACTCAAACCGGGCGAAACGGTTTTAGTCCACGCCGGTTGTTCGCCTATCGGACTGGCCGCCATCTCCATAGCTTCAAGCTACGGTTGCACCATCTACACCACAGTTTCGACAGATTGGCAACGATCATACGTCAAGAAGCTCTATGCTTTCGTGAGTTTCACGAAAATAGTCATGTTACAACTATTAATGACTTTTTGCAGCTTAAAGATAGAAATGTGTTGAACTGCGAAAACTCCAGCTTCGAACCCTTATTGCTGATGGCAACGGGGGGTTTGGGAGCCCACGTCATCCTCAATTGTTTGTCGGGAAGCCTTCTTCACTCATCCGTATCCTGCATCGCTGAATATGGTAGATTCATCCAGATAGGAAAATACGATTTGCACGAAAACAACACCATTGGCATGAATATTTTCTTGAAGAACACTTCGTTCTATTCTGTGAACTTGGAGAACATCTTTAATGTTCCCCACGAGGTGAAGATGGAGCTGAAAGGGTTAATTGAGAACGGTATTGATCAGAGAGCTGTAAGGCCGTTGGTGAGGAAGATTGTTATCCATCAAAATATTGAAAGTATCTTGAGGTAACAAGATTGTACTTATAAATAGTATTGTATTGACAAAATGTATTTTAGCAACCTGAAAAAGAGCAGCAATGTCGGTAAGGTTCTCATCAAGATCAACAACAAATTGGCTATGAACAAGTTGAATGTGGAAAAACCGTCGCAATTCATTTGCGACGCTAAGAGCTCTTACTTGGTCTATGGCGGTAACGCTGAAATCTGGACCGACTTAACCGAGTGGCTCATCCTACGTGGTGCACGTAAAATCGTCGTTTCATCAGAATCTAAACCTCAACAGACCCACATCAACCGCAGACTTTCCTTATTGCAATCTTACTACGGCGCAGAAATAGTGTTTGCTCCTAGTAAGGCGCACACAAGAGCTGGCGCTATCGAGCTGATCAGCGAGGTTTACTTCTTAGGTATTACATCCTTCAACCATTATAAACCCGTCTATAACACTCTACATTTAAGGCCCGATACACTGCGTGTTCCTCCTGCCGAACAAAAGCATCGTGTCGAGATCCAGCGACTCCAAACCCGTACTCTACATCGACAACGCCCTAAGAACGACCGCACCCAAAGCCTTGTTCGTGAACTTCATCTCGTCGGCAGCTGGCGTCTGCCAGTTGAGATCGGAAGCCAGCTTCGGCACCTACAACATCCAATGGCAGAAAGAGCTCGAGTTCAACGACGCCCTATACAGTTTGGACGACATCCTCAGCTTCACCGTCAAGAATATTTTGATTAAGAACGATAAGGTCAGCGATACTAAGCAGGAGTCGACGCAGACTTTGTTCAAGAGTAAGTGAGGTGAAGTAAACACGTTTTGGTTGTACTTACGCGTTGAAATGTTGCAGAGTTGAGTTTGATGCTGCCGTCTTCCATCGATGAGATGTACGAGCAACACAAGTTGGCGGCAGTTGAGCCGAAGTTGGTTCAACAAACCACGTTGGGGCCAAGGGAGATGAGGGAGTTATCACCTTTGTTTATAATACCGGGTTTGACCGGGCAAAAAGAGTTGGATGATCTTTGCAGGGATCTCATGTATCCCACGTTCTGTGCTGTACTGCCGAATAGTCCAATGTCTATCAAGGAGTTGGCTTTGAATCTTGTAGAGGTAATATACCTACGAGTAAAATACAATTCACTTTGTAATGTTTTGTTTTTTTATTATAGAAAATCCGTAAGGTTTGGCCAACTGGCCCATACAACTTGGTGGGTATATCATGGGGCGGCGCGTTGGCTTTGGAGATCGCGAGACTCCTAGATCAAAACAACGTTAAAATCTACATGTTCTTCGTGGACTCGGCCCCGAACGCGCTTCAGTCGGCCTTGAAGCATCTCGGCGAAGATCCCAAGGAAATGGAGGTCAACCTGCTTACCAGAGTACTAAACATCAACGATTTGGAGGTAATTGCCAAGATCAGAAACTCAGGGGATTGGGAGACGCGAGTTCAACTAGCGTTCGACAATTTCGAGGGTAACATTCCCGACAGACAAACGCTTGAGAGTGGTCTTTTCGACTTGAAGAAGCGCCTTCAAGATTTGTCAGCGTTCCAGCCGATCGAAGACGTCGTTTCCGGGGACATTCATCTCATCAGACCTGCTGATTCCAGCAAATACGACAACTGCGGATTAACATCGGTAACATAACATTTTCGATAAATCTTGTTGTATTAATGTGTTTTTTGTTTCAGTATTGCAAGCAAACGCCGGAGATTTTCCTGGTCGGTGGTGATCATATGAGCATCATCAAAAGCAAAGAAACTTCCGAGTACATCAACAGAACGCATATGGTTTAAAGGTTGGGTTTACAGTTTTCAATAAATATATTTTTATTACTTTACTTGGAGTTTCATTTTACCAAGTTTTTTCATTAACTAACATTTTACTAACTACTTGCTAATTGGTGATTTTATATCACATGGCTTAAGATGTGGTGGATGGCAGTTTGTTTTGTTTTGCAATTTGGGTTGATTGCTTTGATATTTTCATTGTATTTTTATTATAATGGTTTAGTAGTAGCGTCGCATTATTTTTACTTTTACTCTGAAAAACTGCTTACACGTAAAAGTTTGACATTTGAGATTTCCAAATTGGTTACTCTATTGTTTTATAGATGTCGCTGTATACAAGTATTTAATTTAAATAATTTTTTCTACTCCCACCTTTAAAACGCCCTTTATCGTACATGTTTCCATGACACTAAGTGACCTTTTAAATACACATTGACAAGTTGTGGCTTTATGGCGCTTTAGTCACGGGCTGAAGTTGGTTTTAAGTTAGTTGACAGTTGTCAAATGTCATACAATCGTTAAAATAAAGTGCCTTTCTTGTAAAATAATACTAAATGTGAAAATTATTTTATTATCTCAATACAAAAATACAAAAGCATTAAATAGTTTCCCAACGACAATATTTGAAAAGTTTATATGAACATAACTTAAATTCGGGCACGGACTCTACTGTAAAGTCCTCATAAAACATTTCCTTTACTTTCACTGTGAAAAACTGTCAATTTTCAAGAAATACATTTCGATTTATAACCTTTATAATTGTGTTTATAAAATAAAAAATGTGACATTTGACGGTGACACACAGTTTCCCCCATTGTTTCATAGATGGCGCTCAATACAAATTTTTGATTTAAATCATTTTAAGATAATAATAAGTATTTGTCGTAGAAAAAGTATAGTAGGCAACTCGTTTATAATTTTTTATAGAAACTCATTAAATTAAGTTCAAGTCTAAAATGACGTTTTACTATTTCAATTATTTTACTTAAAATGCTGCGTTTGATATATCAAACGCATCTATAGATATGTTTTTAAATAAAACCAAAAGTCACTTTATTTACTTTATAAAGTTTTTGCAAAAACATACATGTAGGTTATAAATAATTTACAATTTAAATGTTGTATGGATAACATAATTACAAAAACACTCATGTTTCTTTTAATTGGACAAGTATATTTACCAACTCTTTATTTTTATATGGCGCATTTTTAGATCAAAAGATTGTAGATTGTTTGGAATACGTGAGCTTTACAGGGTGTTTGCAGTAAAAATAATTAATATTTTTCAAAATTCTCAGGAACGATTTTTTGTTTTGACAGATTTTCAGTTTTATCAAACTTCTTTATTTATGCACCGATTTTGATGATTTTTTGTATTTAAACTAAAAAACGTACGCTGATTTCAAAAATGTTATTAAAAAATTTATTCTGATTTAATTTAAGCATATACAGGGTGCAAAAGTAAGAAGAAGTATTTCCTGCAATTTGTAACACCCTGTAATAACAGCGAATGTCAATTGTTATCAACTGTAGTCCCATCTTTTCTGAACATTTTGTTTTTTTTATTCACGTAATTATCTCTGAGATTAACGAAGATACACTGTTTTAAAGCCAACTTGCCAAAAATGGCATCGTTACTAAAGAGTTAACCTATAATTAAAAAAAAAATCATCAGAATAGGATGGGCGGTGCACCCTGTATAGATAAAGGTGATTTAGAAAGATAACAATAAATTTAATGGCATACACAATGGTTTACTTTAAATTTGTACATACCGGTTATCCTAGACATTAAATATATGTACATAATAAATAAAAACCATTGTTTTATTTTCAAAAATTAGTTAAAGCTGGCAATCGGCCATGATAAAATAAAAATAAACGGTGAAGAATATTTCTGTATATTTATTTTATGAATCACTTATCGTTGGCGTAGGTACCTATCATAAAAATAAAAAATATTAATTTTATAAAATTTTAATTTATTAAATAAATTACGGAATATTTTACTTCACTTTTACCATTCGAGTGGAAGGTCATGTTGAATTTAATTATTTATTTTAATGTTAAAATAAGTTCAAAATAAATAATAACTCGAAAACTATTCACTTTAGGACATGGTATAGTAATTTTACTCAAAATTTTATACAGATTTTACGATGTAAAAATATGTGAAACCCTGTAGGTATAGTTTTTATAAAATTATTAATTTTTTTTTTTAACGCGTCTTATATAAAAATGTTATTAAAACTTGAGGACTAGTTTTTCTATAATGATATGGTTTTTAAATTATGCCAAAGGTCATCATTCTAAAATATATTAATTAAAATTTAATGTTAATTAATATTATTTATTTATATGTTAACCCCAACAAATTTGACTTGTTAGATTTAACGTCAAAGTGAATTTCAGACGTAAAACTGTGTTTACGCTAATAAACCTAGTCTTAAGAATTTGTATTCAATGAATGTTTGCCAGTAATTAATATGCCATTATGTAGGTAAGTACGGAAGGAAAAATATAATTTGTACCAGCCTTAACCGCCAATATGAACTTGATGGACGTGATTATGTTTAATAATGTCAAAAAAACAAATATTCGCACAACTGAAATTGAAAGTTTCTATTGGTTTGTACAGACGTCAAAAGATAATTTTTAAAATTTTTAAAGTAAATGGTGAATACATATTCTTGTGGAGAATTGAACGCTCTACAAAAAAGCTCTGATGCATAAAATTCGTAAATGAAGGCGTTTATATGTTAATTAATGTTCAAAGTTAAAATTTATATAAAACTAGACGTTGTCCTCAATGTTGGCTCAAAACCGATTGCAGCGCCACCTACTGGGTCCAATTGTGAATCTACACTATCCAGGGACCCACTAAACAATTTTGGAAATATTTAAAAAACTTTTAAGCTCAAACTTATGTTAAATTTAAAAAAAAACATGTTTTAATTTGTGTTTTTATTTAAGAGGTTAATGTAATTTCCGTGTATCAATTCAAATGCATTTATTTTTTAACCCTTCACAAAAACTCCACTTAATTTATCTCTCATTTTTAATTGACAGTTTTACAAAGTAATGTAATAGAGAAATACTTAAATTAAAAGCACTGTGGTCAATTATCAATATTTAACAAATTAATTAAATGTACTTTTTTATCTAATTAATTAATTAAGATATAAAAAAACCTTTAAAGGTTTTTTTTTAACACTGAGTTCCTACAAAATGCAGGGCATTACTACACCCCGTATAACGCCCGGGCCACTCTGTATAATCCGCACAATCCCACACAGAAAAGTTTATTAAAAGAATACACGTAAGTGTATTCCCCAAAAATCAATACCTACTCCAGCATGGCCGTAAATTCGTAGAACCAAACATAGATATAAATAGAATGGGAAAAATTAGTCCCCCTGTGCCGGGGCAGGTTAAAAGAGAGGTAAACAAACAGTTGCGGCGCGCCAGAGATCATTCGGCCTGTGCCTCAGGTGTGTAAAGTTGTAATTACGCTTTGAACAGCGCAAATATTTCTACGGACTTATAACAGTGCCGTTATGTCCGATAGATGCAGTTAAACACTCGCGATTGTTTGTTCTGAGAACAGTTAATAATATACTTTCAGTTTTAAGTGAAGAAATAACAGGACTGTAAGTAAGTATCCTAGTTAATAATAAAACTGCATTAAGCATGGTTATTGACGGTGGAAAGAAACAGGTTTTGTCAAAAATCCTGACCTGCATCACACTGTTATTTAATTGATTGTAATAAAATTCTGTTATCCCTTTTCTCTGTAATATATTTTTATATGTTAGCATTATTGATTTAAATTAACACTTGTCTGTGTATTTTTAGAACATTTCAACAGTTTATTGCCACTAAACGGATTTAAATTGTAATTTTTTTTATATAAACGTTTCAATTATTTAAAAACCTTAAAATTTGCACTTATATTGTATTGTGTTTATTGCACAAAACGACTTTTTTATGCTGGTTTCTAATAACAATACATTGCAAAATTATTAGAAAATAGCTTGTTTATTGTTTTTTAGTTGGATGTTAATTTATACAGTGGGCATAGATTTCTTTCTCTATGACAGTTGGTATGTTTCATAATCAATTTTTTGGACATTAAAATATCTCAATTTTGACATTTAAGAAATTCCGGGCTTGCTTGATTTTGAAAGAAACATTATTCGTTTTATCTCGTTTCTTATTGGCCAGGAAATACAAGTCTCAAGACAATAATGAATATATGAATTTGTTTTGAGACAAAACTTTCTGTACTTAGTTTATAAAATTATAGAGGGCGCGAAATGCTTGATTAAAATCTTTACATCTTTTATTGTAAGTTAAAACTTTTAACATTTTTATTGCCTGACCAATAGGAAACGATCCCATACAGCACACCAAATCACAATTACGATGTGTTCGCATTGTGACGATGTATCTAGATGCAGACACAGTGTTACACAATTCTACGATGTAAATGTGCTACGTTTACACATGGTATGCACACACGTATGCACAAAGGTTAAACGTCCGCCTCACAATGTAGCCACAATACCACATTAACATATACACAAATTATGTGATCCACGGTGTGTTATCGGATACACAGTAGCTGTGTATTGTGCTTAAACTCTGCTTACACATGGCATTTGTCTCACTCGAATTGAACGTAAATATACTATGCTTTGTATATGTAGCTCTGTCGCACCGTGTATACACCCTGTCCAAAAAAACACTTTTGATGAGTTAGGTACTTCAGGAAAATAAGTTTTGCCGCTTGACTTTTCGTTCTCAAACAGGTATTTTTTAAAATTCATAATATTATGTTTTTTGAGAATGATAGGTCGGACGGCGAAACTTTTATTTTCCTGAAGTATCTCATTAAAGTTGCTTTAAAATTGTTTTTTTTTTCGTTCCACATCTTATAATACCTATATACTTACTATTATGGAATGCTTTTACTTGGTGCCACAAAAAACAGAAGTAAAAAACACAGGAAAATGACAGAACTTTTACAAGAAGATTAAAATATATTAAAAACTGAAATATACATTACACAGTAAAAACGCAAACATATATTATATATTATAGAAATACATTGTCAGTCTTTGCTGAGGCTCTCTTCTCAGCCATTCTCCGTTTTTTATTTTTATTTTCCTCCAGGCGGTTGGTTGCTTGTCGCAACAATTCGGATTGTGATTTGTCTATGTCCAGTTTTGCCATTTGTGCTTTGGGTTTAATTGCAATGGTTTGCATGCTTCTGTGCCGATATAGAATAGAAACTTAATATCAGAAATATATATATATATATATATAAATATATACCTATATTGAGCCATCGATAACTTACCAAATGTTACAGTAAGGAGTTCCTTAAATTGTTTGAAATCTTCTTTATGTGGTCCATTTGGATTTTTTTTTGTTATTACGTCCAAACAAGTTATATTGTAGGGCTAATTCGTTCGTTATTATACGAGAATATATATGACCCACCGCTTTGTGTAATTCCTGCTTGATTGTTTTGGAATCAAAATTTGGCAAATTGGGTATTGGACAAGCGTCTTTCATAAAGAGTCGCTGCAATAATATAAAAAAAGTTGTCGAGTACCTAAGCAGAGCACAAAATATCAGTTGTTATTATTATAATTGTATATACTATATAGGGTATTCACTTTTTAATTTAATAAAAATAATAATAATGTGCAAAACATAAAAAACACAAAACTTACAAAGAATGTGAAGTAACGGCTGTTTGTTCTTAATGTCTCATTTAAAAATTGCAGCCCTTCTTACCGGTGTCGACTATAATAGTCGACACCGGTAACGGCACCAAAGCTTCCATGTTGAACCGCTCCTATATAAAAATGTTAGGTAAGAATCTAACTTATTTATTGGATTTAAACCATTAATGGTTGTAGGCTTCATGTAGGTAAAGCCAACCCAATCTTTGCGTTTTATAAAATGTTAAGAATCATAGGTGCATAAAGTAACAATTTTATTGAACATTGTAGCACCAATATTAATAATTCCTATAGAAATAATAATAAGTAAATATTAAAAAATTCCTATTCCTACCTTAAAATCCTTTTTAAAGTGCACAGACACCAAAGATATATCTCTGACACACACACTTTCCAAATGATGAAATAAAAATTGACACATGAGATACACTTGGTCGGTATTCTCACGCTGACGCTTTGCGCGCGTACTGTTTTAAATGCTCGAATCGTCGAAATTCGACGTCCCTACAAGGTGCCTACAAGGTTTAAGTCATATGTATGTGTGACGCCTAATGTAATATTTGTGCCTACTGCATACACTACGAAAAAGTGCTATATATACACATGGTACTAAGAATTACATATACACTATTTAGTTGTGCCTTGTTGTGTCTACATTCGACGGTCGAATGTAGACACAACAAGGCACAACTAAATAGTATGTATGTATACATACATACTATTTAGTTGTGCCTTGTTGTGTCTACATTCGACCGTCGAATGTAGACACAACAAGGCACAACTAAATAGTGTATATGTAATTCTTAGTACCATGTGTATATATAGCACTTTTTCGTAGTGTATGCAGTAGGCACAAATATTACATTAAGCATCACACATACATATGACTTAAACCTTGTAGGCACCTTGTACGGACGTCAAATTTTATAATTATAATGATCCATTTTTACGTTATATAAAAATGTTTAGAATCTTAAGTGCATACGGTATACAATTAATAAACATTGTATCACATAATTCTGTTAATATAAACAATGGTGTATCTCATATGTGTACGTCAGTACTGGATCGACAATTAGATCCACCTTAACATCATCTGTTTCTTACGTGTATATATTGTAGAGACGTAATCCAAATTGGACGTGCTGTATGGGGATATAAACGATTCAAAACTCATTTAAAGGGGGGAAAGCACCAGAGATATGTATATTAGACTGGGCCAAAAAAATCAACTATTTTTTTTTTGAAAAGTATATCGAAAATATGGTATGGGGTGACAAAAAAAAATATTGTGAAAGTTTGAGTCCATAATATTATTATTAAGAAGTCTATCATCGCAATTTTAATTTTTTTTTCTCAATAAGTTTTAGGCTCAGAACTCCCAAACCATTGAGTTTAACAAAATTGACTCGAAAATATTTTTTTAAGAAAATTAAATTCCCTACAAAAAAGGTTAAAGTGAACCATTTCCTTAAAATCATGCCTTAAAAATTGGTATAGTTTTACATTTTAATCTTTTAAATTGTAATTTTGTAATTCATGTAAAAATCAGTATCCATAAAAAACCGATAAATATTCATATGGGAAATCAAATGCTTTACAAAAAAAAGCCTCTTAACATTTCAAATCAAATGTTATTCAAGGTTGAATAACTTTTGATGGGGTGAATTTAGCCAAAAATGATAAAAGACTTTTTTTGTAGAACATTTGATTTCCCATAAGAATATTTATCGGGTTTTTTTCCGGATACTGATTTTTAAATGAATTACAAAATTCCAAAGTTAAAAGATCAAATGTAAAACTATCCCAATTTTTAAGGCATGATTGTAAGAAAAGGGTTCATCTGACGGGAAATTCCAATTAAACCTTTTTTGTAGAGCATTCAATTTTCTTCAAAAAATATTCTTAAGTCAATTTGGTTAAACCTAAATCTAAAATTGCGATATCTTAATATTATGGACTCAAACTTTCATCATAATTTTTTTTGTCACCTCAAACAATATTTTCGATATACTTGGCCCAGTCTAATAAATATATATATATCCAAAATCCAGCTAGTTGGAATTTTTTAAGATAATAATAATTATTTTTATTCAAATGTCAAGGTGAGACTGATTTTTCGACAGATAGACGATACCAAATCAAAAATAGACCTTTAAATAAATAATAAATATAAAAAATAAAAAACTTTTTTACATTTGATTATAACAAATTTTATATTAATGAACACCATGAAATTTCATGTGTGAAATATAGTATATTATGTATGAAGTTTGATAAACGCCAGTTTATTCAGGAATTTAATTTAGACGAGTGAGCATGCGAGCGAGTGTTTTATTAAATAAGTGTCTAGAAAAGTTAAAAAAAATATAACCTATTAATTTGTATTCCTTCAAAATCAAATCAAAACCTATCCGTTGAAAATAGACTAACAATCGATATAAAAAAAATTAAAAACAATATATATTTTTTTCAGAATGTCTCCTGGAACCAGCGTCAAACTACACAAAAAAATCATCGACGAAACCACGAATTTTATCTTCCAGTTCGGTTTAAATTTGTGCTTTGGCTGCATCATTTTCATCATGATTGTAAAACATGTTGTGGACAACATGAATCTGGAATACAGACGAAAACATTACCGATGTGCCATATTTTGACGAATCTGACTGGGGATATAAATAGTTACGTTTTATACCAAATATTCGGGCTAAATTTTTGTATTAGCACCATTAATGTGTGAATGTGAAGTGTGTGTTATTTATTGTATTATTTATTGTGATGTGAATAAAATCATGAGTTATACATGTTCATTTATTTATTTATTAAGTACTAAAGTAAAGGATGGGTACATTAAAAATGTGCTTAAAATTACATCACAAATTAAATGACACTTTACAAGTGATAATAATAAATCCATTTTAACAAACCAATTTTGACTAGTTTCAAGTCCCATTAAAATAGATTAATAATAATGATCACAATACTATATTTATATACTATTATTATTTGGCTAATACTATTACTTTAAGAAAATAGTATTTTCCTTATAATTACATTAAACAATCAAATATATAAAAAGATTCACGAGACAAATTTTCTATTGTCGAATAATAAAATTCCGCCCTTTTTAAAGGCGATATATCTCCTTATTTACTGGGTTGATTTTAAATATTTTTTGGCACAAAAGCCGTATACTTCGTTTACGTTTTTTCGTTCAAAATTTATATACAAGGTGTACAAAATAATATACAGAGAAAATGGTAAATCAATGCGAAAAAATCATTTTCTCTGTATATTATTTTGTACACCTTGTATATAAATTGTGAACAAAAAAATGTAAACTAGAAGTATAAGGCCAAAAAATATTAAAAATCGGCCGGGTATGTAACAAGTTATAGCACTTTAAAAAATGGTGAAAATTACATGGTACACAGAAGCATAATTAAAATAAATAACGGTTGTTTTACACCTAAACTGACCACCTGATACCTGAATATATACAGAAAAAACACCCAAAAAAGATTTGGCAACATCCTAAAATTAATCATGAGGCACCCTTGGGAAGGTGGACGTATATATAGTTTTTTTGTGTAATTTTGTGCATCTTTTTTTCTTATGTTTTCAGCCCTCTACGTATGTGTTTTGTTAGACCATTGCGAACCGATTTCCTTGACGGTTTCGACCTCGATTCGAATACCACGTCGGAATCTGTATCGCTGTCGGACAGACTTCCATGTTTTCGGGATGAAACTAAAAAACGCTTAATTTTTTAGCAAGGTTTGGACTTTTGTTTAAAAATACTTACAGGGGGGTAAATCGTCGGTGTTTTCGATGAGATTGTAGTTGGCGGATTTTCTGTCGCCCCCCCTTTTGTTGCACCAAGTGTAGCACAAATAAATGAGGCCCCACGTGGAGCCAACAAATAGCACCACTGTACATAGAGCGCCCAATACCACATACAACAAACTCCAACTGCAATCTGAGTCGTCTGTACTGTTTAGGTAAACTTTAAACAAGTTCTGAAATAAAGTTTGTAGTATTTTTTCTTGATTGTCGTCCAAAGTACAAGAAAACAAGGTGTGTTCTTGCGCATCTTTTTCTACCACTTAAAAATTGCTCATATACAGTGTAGTTCAAGAAAATATTGTGTTTACTACCTGTGCAGGTAAAATCCAAAGTCTTAATAGAAATATTAAACTAGTGCCTCAAAAAGCAATCTCTCAACAAGTGAATCTAGGGATAAAGTACATACGGACACCGAAGTAATTGAGTGACAAGGGACAGCATACCTGGCGGACTAACCATAGGTCAAGGAATCACCTATGTAAAGAACAGTGGAAGGGGCCATCACCTGCAAAATCTGATAAGTATTAAGTAACCGCATGACATGAAATTTGCAACAAAAACCTTGCAAAGATTAATCATTATTACCGAAAACAGCGTAACAGTGCAAATAAACCAATAATCAAGTAAGAACGTCTCGAAATATAGAAGGGCAACTAACGAAAAATAAGTTTACGCACAGTGGGGTAAATAATTCGTGTGTGTAATGTGTAATAATAAATTCAAAGACGGGAATGAACTAAGATGGCAGTAACCTTGTTTTCTTGTACCATGTTGTCATGCACTTACTCTCATCCAGAAGGTTTCGCACTCGCACATGCGCGTAACTTCGTTGCATATCCCATGACCGGAGCAGTTGTTTTGACATACGACCGTCTGCAACTTGGCAACGCCGTAACCCAAGATGCCGGCATCCAAGGCCAACTTTTGCCGCAGGTGAGCTACAACGCCATTGGCCGAGACTGGATTGCCGTCAACGCCCTCTACGTAGAAGGTTATCGTGGATTTAACGGATCCCGGGTGCGGTTTGACGCTTCTAACCTGCAACTTGGTGCCGTCTACTATCAACAACGCCAACTTCCCCTTTAGGGTGTTGAATTGCTCTTCCGTTAGCGAGTTGACTTCGACGTCCACCGTTAAATCGACGAGGTAGTAGGTTTTGGGGTCGTCGTTGACTGTCACCGTCACAGAATCGGAATCGCTGAGGCCTTGCTCGTCGTAGACGGTCAGGTTGAAGACGTACTTGCCGACCACGACGTCGGTCAAGATCAGTATCGAAGAAGCGTCGGACTTTTCCGCGACGTTGCCGACGGCCAGGGATTTCGCGTCGCGAGTCCACTGCCACCTGGTGATCGCCCAGTCGTCCTTCGAGTTAGAGCCGTTGATCATAATTACGTTTCTGGGTAAATCGATAGAGAAGTCCGGGCCGGCGTTCGACGTCGGTTTTTGGTTGATATCTGAGTGGGGATGCAAATAACGCATTACGTTAGCGACATTTAAATTTTAACCCGGAAGCAGAAAACTAACGATTTTACGGAAAGGAGAAAGGATGTTGAAAATATTCAAAAAGGTCCTTATATTAAATACATTTAATAAAGGTTTGATTTAATGATGTTGGAAATTAAAGTCCCTGCTCGGGCGCCAAGGCAAGCGCCAAGAAAACAGCGTTAGAAATAGGCGGCAGAGATTTTTGCAAGAAAAACTCGGAAGGTAATCAAGCGCCAAAAAAACCCGGTAATAATTTTTGAAAATTCAGGAAATTTTATAAGTTACAAAAATATAAAAAATCTTTAAAAAATGTGTACCTTTGAATATTAAGAAAAGTCCCTGCTCGGGCGCCAAAGCAAGCGCCAAAAAAACGTTATAAAGTTTTATATACATATTTTAAAATTTTTTGAAAGTTTTGAATATTTTTATTTTTTATATCGAAGAAATTTGAAAAATTAAAGAAATTTTGAGATTTTTAGAAATTCCAAGGCTCGGGCGCCAAAGCGATGTTACAAATTGCCGCCCGAGATTTGGGTGAAAACTCGTAATGGAAGCAAGCGTTGTAAGTTTTGAAATTTGTAAAAATATTAAAAATCTTGAAAATTTTGGAAAATTAAAGAAATTTTAAAAGTTTTGGAAATATCAAGTCCCTGCTCGGGCGCCAAGGCAAGCGCCAAGAAAACAACGTTACCAATTGGCGCCCAAGATTTTTGTGGGAAAACTCGTAAGAGCCAAAAATAAACGTTATAAAGTTTTGAAAATTTTGGACATTTTAAAAATTGTATTATTATATATTAAGAATATTTTTTTAAAATATAAAAAATTTTTTAAGTTTTGTAAATTTCAAGTCTCTGCTTGGGTGCCAAAGCAAGCGCCAAGAAAACAAAGTTACAAATTGGCGCCCGAGATTTTTGTAAGAAAAACTCGTAAGGTAAGCAAGCACAAAAAAAACAACGTAATAAGTTTTAAAAAATATGGAAGTTTTATGAATTATTAAAATATCAAAAAAATTAAAAAAATATACATATACATATGTATGTATCAATATTTTAAAAATTTTAAATTTTCGAAATTTCTAGTCCCTGCTCGGGCGCCAAAGCAAGCGCCAAGAAAACAAAGTTACAAATTGGCGCCCGAAATTGTAGTAATTAGTATACCTTATATTTTATTGTTTTTTATATTATTATTTTATATTACATTGTTTTTTATAGGTTTGAGTGGTAGAACAGCATGTTGCTGAACTCACACCATTTGTAAAATGTATTTTTTTCTTGCCATTTTACAATAAAGTTTATTATTTTTATAAAACTCGTAGAGGAAGCAAGCGCCAAAAAAACGACGTAATAAGTTTTGAAAATTAAGGAAATTTTATAGATTATTAAAATATTAAAAATCTTAAAAAAGTTTTGAATATTTTAAAAACTTGTAATTTTAAAAATTTAGAAATTTTAAGTTTTGTAAATTTCAAGTCCCTGCTCGGGCGCCAAAGCAAGCGACAAGAAAACAGCGATACAAATTGGCGCCCGATATTTTTGTGAGAAAACTCGTAATAAAAGCAAGCGCAAAAAAACAACGTTAAAAGTTTTGAAAATGGTAACAATATTAATAATCTGGAACATTTTGGAATTTTTGAAAAATATAAAAATATTAAAAATCCTGTCAATTTTTGAATATTTTAAAAAACTATTTAAGGAATTTTGTCAATTTAAGAAATTTCAAGTTTTGTAAGTTTCAAGTCCCTGCTCGGGCGCCAAGAAGACAACGTACAAATTGGCGCCCAAAAATGATTTTTTGGTCTGTACTTACTTTGGTTCACTATAACGTACAGCGCGTCGCTGGCGACGTTGTTGTTGTCGTCGGTGACGCTGACCTTGAAGTTGTACACCCCCTTCGTCAACCCGGTAACGTTGGTCTTGCTGGCGTTGGCGTTTTCGAAGACGACCGTCGACGGACCTTCGATCTGCTCCCACCTGAAGGCGGTGATCTTGTTGTCGTCGCTGCTGTTCTTCGCGTCGACGACCACCCAAGTTTGCGGCAAGCTGATCGTGCGGTTGCCGCCCGCGTTCGCGACGGGCGGCTTGTTGGTGGGCGGCTTCACGAACACATGAACCTTCAAAAGACATGAGACACAGTTTTTCATTATTTCTTTAGTCTCTTATAAAAAATACCATATTTTATTATTAATCAATTGTTTAATTTAATCTTTATACATATTTTGTAGGAAATTTAACGCTCTACAAAAAAGGACTAAAGTGTTTAAGCGATTACTCTAGCCATTTAAAAGATATTCAAGATCAAAGTTAAAAAAACTAAAAAAAAAATTTAATCATTTTTTTTAAATAATTTTGTAACTCATTGAAAAATAATTATTGTCAAATGAGTATGACATGTTTTAGTAGGAAATTTAATGCTCTACATAAAAGGTCTGATGTGTATAATCGATTACTCTAACCGTTGAGAAGATAATATTATTCGTATCCGTAAACTTTGTAGTTTTATGTTTTTAAAATTTCAAGTCCCTGCTCGGGCGCCAAGAAAACAACTTTACAAATTGGCGCCCGAGATTTTTGTAAGAAACACTCGTAAGGCCAAAAATACGCTATTAAGTTTTGATAAATTTTTGTAAATTTAAAAACTTAAGAAATTTAAAAATCCCAAAAAACATATATTTGTATATTTTATAAACTAGAATTTTAAAAATTTACGAAATTTTAAGTCCCTGCTCGGGAGCCAAAGCAAGCGTTACAAAATGGCGCCCGAGATTTTTGTGACGAAAAGTCATAGGAAAGCAAGCGCAGAAAATAACTAACTTTAAAAGTTTAAAAATTATGGTTATTTTAAAAATTATAAGAAATTAAAAATCTTGTCAATTTTGAAAGAATTGAATATTTTATTAACTAATATTTTAAAAATTTAAGATATTTTCAAATGAGTATGGTTTTTGTAGGAAATCTAACGGTTTTTGTAGGAAATCTAACGCTTTACAAAAAATATTGAAAAAAAATGTATTAAAAATATTATATTATTGAAAAAAAAAATTAAATATGAGGTAAAAACGTTCATTCTATTCTTAGGCATATTTTTAAAATTCATGAATTAAATGGATAAAAGTTTTGAATATTTTAAAAACTTTGGAATTTTAAAAATGTAAGAAATATTAAGTCCCTGCTCGGGCACCAAAGCAAGAGTTACAAATTGGCGCCCGAGATTTTTGTAACGAAAAGCGACAAACAGTTTTAAAAATTATAAAAATATAAAAAATCTTGGAAGATTTAAAATTTAAAAAAATTCAAATCCCTGCTCGGGCGCCAAGAAAACAACGTTACAAATTGGCGATCAAAGTTTAAAGAATTTATTACAATTTTTTTTTTCAAAATTTAAAACTTTGTTTTGGCGCATTTCTTGCAAAAATCTCGGGCGCCAATTTGTAACGTTGTTTTCTTGGCGCTTGCATTGGCGCCCAAACAGGGACTTGAAATTTTTTAAATATATTAAATATTTAAGATTTCTTAAATTTTTAAAATATTAGTTAATAAAATATTCAAATCTTCCAAAATTTTCAAGATTTTTTTTTTTTTTTTTAATTTTTAAATTAACATAATTTTTAATGAGGTAAAAACTTTCATTCTATTAATATGGGCTGAAATTCTTATGAATATTTCTAAAAGTCATGAATTAAATGGATAAAAAGTTTTGAATATTTTAAAAACTTCGGAATTTTAAAAATGTAAGAAATTTTAAGTTTTCGAAATGGCGAAAACTCGTAAGGGAAGCAAGCGCCAAACAATTATGGTAATTTTAAATATTATAAAAATATTAAAAATCTTGAAAGATTTAAAATTTAAATGCTCGGGCGCCAAGAAAACGTTACAAATTGGCGATCAAACTTTTATTTCGTTTCTCGCAAAAATCTCGGGCGCCAATTTGTAACGTTGTTTTCTTGGCGTTTGCCTTGGCGCCCGAGCAGGGACTTGAAATTTCTTAAATGTTTTAAATTGTTAAGATAGGTATCTTAAATTTTTAAAATATTAGTTAATAAAATATTCAAATCTTTCAAAATTGACAAGATTTTTAATTTTTTATAATTTTTAAAATAACCATAATTTTAAAACTTGAAAAGTTAGTTATTTCCTATGAGTTTTCGTCACAAAAATCTCGGGCGCCAATTTGTAACGCTTGCTTTGGCGCCCGAGCTAAAATTCTAGTTTATAAAATATACAAATATATGTAATTTTAAGATTTTTAATACTCTTAAGTATTTAAATTTTCAAAAATTTATCAAAACTTAATGGCGTATTTTAGGCGCTTACTTCCCTTACGAGTGTTTCTTACAAAAATCTCGGGCGCCAATTTGTAAAGTTGTTTTCTTGGCGCCCGAGCAGGGCGGATACGAATATCTTCTCAACGGTTAGAGTAATCGATTAAACACGTCGGACCTTTTGTGTAGAGCATTAATTTCCTACAAAAACATGTCATACTCATTTGAGTATAATTATTTTTCAATGAGTTACAAAATTATTAAAAAAAAAATTAATTTTTTTTTTAATTTTTTAAACTTTGATCTTGAATATCTTTTAAATGGCTAGAGTAATCGCTTAAACACTTTAGTCCTTTTTTGTAGAGCGTTAAATTTCCTACAAAAATATGTTTAAAGATTAAATTAAACAATTGATTAATAATGAAATATGGTCTTTTTCAGTGTCGGAAGCAAAATTTTTTTTTAATCACCCTAATACCCCCGTACCTGCGCAGTGCTGCTCTTGTTATTGCTGTCGGTAACTTTGAGCGTAAAAGTGTACATCCCCTCCTCCAAATTGCTCAGCTTCAAGTAGGGAGTGTGCGTGTCCTGCATATCGACAGCTTTTTGCTCGTCGCCTGCAGATTTCGTCCACTCCCATATGGTTATGTTGTGATCGTCGGTGCTCATGTTGCCGTTTAGAATTATGGAGTTGCGAGGTAGGTAAATTATTTTGTCTTCGCCTGCGTTAGCCTCGGGCGGATAATCGGTGAATTTCAGCACCGTTACATTGGCAACGCTGGAACTACTAGCCTTATCGGTATCGGTAACCGTCAATTTAAAGCTGTAGTTCCCCGGTTTATTCAAATCGTTTAGTTGTAGCGTCGACGTTTCCTTTAACTGGGGTTGATAACCTAAATGTAATATTCACAATAATAATAGTGTCAAACATGTTTTATTAATTTTTCTCACCAACTGGACCCTGCTGAAGCTCCCAATGCCAGGAAACGATTCCGTCGTCGTCGGTCGAAGAAGAAGCGTCCATTACAGCGGCCGAGTTCGGTTGCTTTATGGTTTGGTTGGCGGGCGTGATCACGATAACGGGCGGTTTATTAATCCTAGAAGCCGGCAACACTGTAACGTTCACGAACGTCTCGCCGTACGCCGAAACGGTCACCGCGCTAACCTACAACGTTTTAATAAGAGTTTTACTTTCTCTTAAAAAGTCTGAATAAGTCTTAGTAAGACTAATAGCAAGATTTGGGAGACTTCTGGAAGAGTTAATAAGACTTTTTAAGATTTAATAAGACTTTTAGCAGAGAAATGGTAGGTACCTATAGCGATTAAAATAAATATCCGGAATTATCAGAGATGTTGTATTTGGTTATTGCAAAAGAAAGCACAATGAAAAGGATTTATTAACACTGTTTTTGTGTTGCTATAAGGCTTATAAAAACACGGAAGCAACGTTTACAATATAGGTAAACAAACTTTATTTTAATTGAACAGAATAAAACAGTTGGGACACGTTTGGTTTGTGTACATGCAGATCCCTTGTTGATTAAGTACATATATGTATATATATATATAAGGTATAATAACTATAACAATTCTTCGCAACGCATAGGCATGATATGGTCGACAGTCGAACTCATACACAGATTATAAAACTCATAAAACAAATATGGTTGATCTTCGAGCTGCTTTCATTGGTTCGTGTGTTTTATACAGTGTTGCCGGATGAATGTCATAAAAGTTCCCGACCAAAAATTACAAAATAGGTACTAAAAAAAACTAGTTATATTTTAAATTTACTAGCGTATTCGCCCTGTTTTAAAAAAATAATTAAATTAATTTAAAATTTTTATACAAGTAAATAAAAATGTAACAGGATAACCTATATAGAATAAAATAATTATGCATTTTTGGTAAACATACAATATTATTTACTGAAAATATCTTCAGTTAGTATTTTGATCGAAATTTGCAAAATATCCGATTTTACCCGCTTCAAAATTCTACCCGCAAACATGACAAAAATACACGATTTCCGAGTAAAATACCCGCAAACGGCAACACTTGGTAAGTAGTGACAGGAGAGCTATCTTGAAAACGCGGGAAGATGCCATCACATGACAGATCAGCTGTGCTCTAATTGGTCAGCTGAGAAAATCGATATTGCGTCTGAAAAGTGTTTGGAACAATGGTTAGATGAATATTTGCTTATAAAAAGAAACTATTAAAATAAAACAGTACAGTGGCAACAATAAAAGCAAGTCCAGCGCATCGTATGTAAAAAATTATAATTGTTATCATTATTACACCTCACATGTTATTATATATGTAATTATGCAATAAACTCGGCTTATTACCACCCCGGCAAAATGTTAATAAATACTTTTCTTTGTGTTTTATTTTACAATAATCAAATACAACCTCTCTGAATAATTTCGGATATTTATTTTAATCGCTATAGTTAGGTTCCTACCATTTCTCTGCTAAAAAAGTCTTATTAACTCTTCTAGAAGACTCCCAAATCTTGCTATTAGTATGACTTACTAAGACTTATTAAAACTTTTTCAGAAAAAATATTCCAAAAGGACAAATTTCAAACAAAACTATTTACTTTAAACTCGTAAACGCCCTCGACGAGCTTCTCCAAGTGGAGCTCGCCGCCGTTCTGGTTTTTCACGGCGGTGCTGCCATCTGGCTGGTGCAGCGAAGTCCACGTGAACTGGTACTTGTCTTCCTCGGGATTGCTCGAGGGTTCCTCCACTTTCGCCATCAACGTCACCTCGTTGCGTGGCAATCGAACCTCCTTCGATTCCGCCATCACCGCTAGATGGCGCCTCGTGACCGGTTTGGAAGTGTTTAGAGCTAAAATATTCGCTTCTAATAATAGACTCTAGCGGCGGCCATTTTTATGTTGTTTGCAATTCTTGTGCTTTGGGTTTATGCTGTTTTTACAAATTTTTAAACGTTAAGGCCTTAAAGTGCTAAAAACAACCTATTTTATAAAAAATAAACCTTATTCGATCAGGGCTGTCATCAAACTGTCAAATGTCAATTTTTAATTTTTTATAATTTTTAAAATTACCATAATTTTTAAACTTGAAAAGTTAGTTATTTTCTGCGCTTACTTTCCTATGAGTTTTCGTCACAAAAATCTCGGGCGCTAATTTGTAACGCTTGCTTTGGCGCCCGAGCAGGGACTTAAAATTTCGGAAATTTTTAAAATTCCAGTTTATAAAATATATACAATTTTAAGATTTTTAATATTCTTAAGTTTTTAAAATTTTCAAAACTAAACAGTGTATTTTTGGCGCTAACTTCTCTTACGAGTGATTCTTACTAAAATCTCGGGCGCCAATTTGTAACGTTGTTTTCTTGGCGCTTGCTTTGGCGCCCGAGCAGGGACTTAAAATTTCGAAAACTTAAAATTTCTTACATTTTAAAATTTTAAGCAGTGTTGCCAGATCAGAGTAGATTTTCATGAAAAAAAAAACAGTAGAAAACAGTAGATCATCTAACATTACTGGAATTACTCCTTAAAGAACTGCACCAAAATTTTTATTATACTACAAATATGAAAAATATTTTGTTCTATGCTTATATAAACACAAAGTTTAAAACGATTATTACTCTGTATTAACAGCACAAACCCTAAGCACAAGAATTGTAAACAACATAAAAATGGCCTAACTTCGTGATTTTTAGTAAGCGCGAATCGAGATCTTGTTGTGTAGATTGTGTACCCAATATTCATACCGGAAATTGTGGTTTCGCCGATGTCATTCATTATTTTATCGGCAAGAAGAGATTTGACCGCAGCTACGTCGTTGATAGCTATTAGACAGTCCCCGTCTGGGTTCCTGATGTAGCCCTCGATGCAACGACAAGTTCCGGCCCTGGAATTGGCCCGGTTAGGCACGCAAAGTTCGTGCGGTCCGGAACACAAAGAATCGCCCAGTTCGCAAGCTAGACTGCCGTAACGGAACGTCTCGTCCATTGCTAGATCTTTGTAGACCTCGAAAGGATTAAAGTCGTACTGTTCTTTGGAGATATCTGTGAAAAATGTACAGATCATGCGGTTATGATTGGCGAAGAGGTGGGAGCGCCCAGTCGCCGCCATATTGAATATTTAAAAGTTCGAAAGTTCTTTTTTTTATCTGGACTGCGGCAACGTTGCAAATTTAGGGTTTTGGTTGGTAAATACAGTTGTCAAGTTGGTCGCCTTGATTAAAACAAACTAAGCTAGTTATAAATCTAATTGTGGTTATGTATAAATTATTGCAGGTGACATTGTGCAGTTGTCAAGTTGAGTTGTCGAAATTCGTAGTTAAAAATGCAATTAATTTGGCTTTGGTGGTGCTTGGATGAGTAAAATCATATAAAAAAAAGTAGTTAAATATAGGTTGCTTTACGGCCCAGAAGAGAAAGTATTCCTAGCGGATAATAATCTTCGCTTTGAAAAAAATTTACATAAAAGAAATTAAAATTTTTTGTGAACGTAAATGTTGTCCAATGGTGAATAATGTGGAAATAATGTGTGATGTAATATTTATAAAACCAAATTCGTCACTTTTTTACTCCAAAAATGTCCATAAGGCGATGTACTTTTTCTTCCATTGTGGCATTGGCATAATTTCATCAAAATGAAGTTTTGCCCTCAAAAGGGCTTTTCCATTCGAATTCGTTGCTATTATTTTTGGAATAATTATTTTTTTATTTATAATTGACAAGTAAATTATCAATAATAAATATTATTGTCAATTTGACACTGTCAACGTATTTAATTAAATTCTTTAGCAGAAGTACCATTTTTAAATACTAAAAATACTAAGTCAAACTGGCATAAGCCACCAACCTAACAAGAAAACACGAATCCAGATAAAAAAATTAACTTTATCAAAAAAAACAAGCACCTTGTAAGAAATTAAAATAAAATTGAAAAAAAAACAATATAAAACATACGTTCTTTTTACAGTTTTTAGGGTTAAGTTAAGTTAGGTTAAGTGTCAAATTTTGACATTTTAAATATTAAAACATTGGCAAAATTTGTTCAATTTGACAGTTTTTAGGTTAAATTTGTTTTAGGTCACGTGTGTAAAAGTTTAACTAAATGCCTATATAAAATTATATTGTCAAAGCATGACAGATCGACAATTTCAAGTGTTTTTGGTTATTTTCTTTTGTTCTTGCAGTCATTGCTGTCAAACTTTGACAGATTGTTTATTTTTTATGTCAAATGACAAAATTGAGTATTTTTTAATTTTGACCTATTTTTTGGACTACGATGTCAAACTTTGACAGATTGTTTATTTTAGATGCTCCAAATGTCAAAATTTTGCCTGGGTGTTTGTTTTTTAACGTTGACCACACAATCCACACAACAAGGTCTGTTCTATCTCGTACTAAAAATACAAAAAATCACTGCAACACTGCACAGTTTAACGGCGGCCATTTTTGTTGTTTACAATTTTTATGTTTTGGGTTTGTGCTCTGTTTATACAGATTAATAATCGTTTTAAACGTTGTGTTTCTCAAAGTAAGCCTTAAAAGAGTCCTTAAAGTGCTAAGAACAACCATTTTACTCCTCTATTGTAAAAAATAAACTTTATTCTATCAGGGCTGTCATAAAACTGTCAAATGTCCATTTTAATGGTTAAATTATAACCCACAAATTAACCTTCAAATTGTCATTTGACAGCCCTGATAGAATAAGGTATATTTATTATAACAGAGGAGTAAAATGGTTGTCCTTAGCCTTATTTGAGGCTTACAAGTGCCTTTGTAAGGAACACAACGTTTAAAACAATTATTAAATAGCACAAACCCAAAGCAAAGCACAAGAATTGTAAACAACAAAAATGGCCGCCGTTAAACTCTGGGCAGTGTTGCAGTGATTTTTAGTATTTTTAGCATGATATAGAACAGACCTTGTTGTGGTTGACCACAAAATATCACTGTGACAGTTTTAGGGTTAAATCTTTCTTTTAATGTAAAATATTAAAATTTGTTAAATTCGTCGTTTGACATTTGACTCATCAATGGCTTTAAAACAAAATATTTTATTTAAAAACCCATTATTTAAAACATTTAACCTAAAAATTAAAATTAAATTGTTCTTAGCACTTTTTTAATACATTTTATTTGGTATTTAGTAAATATTATTTACTTTAAAACAATATAATTTTATTTGATTGAAAAATCATATAAAATAGTTTTTTTTCATTCATAATATTTTCTTGAAATGTCAATATTGTGACTTAGATCGTTTTTAACTAAAAATTATTCGACAATTTAATCTAAAAATCTAAAATATTTAAATTTAAAATAACGTTTAAATTTAACGGCGGGAATGAACTAAGATGGCGGTAACTGGGTAACCAATATTCGTCCTACTAAAGAACATACCTACTATGATTTAAAATTTAAAAAATGCAGTACAAACTTCATCAAAATCGGAGAATTACATAAATGCGCTGTTGTCGTTTTTTCACTTACCTTTTGGATTCAAAACATCGCCCCACGTATCGTCGTCGGTCGGTTTCACGAGCACCATGGTAAACCGATCGACCGAATTCGGTTTCTGACTCGGTATGGGCGCGCACATTTCGTTGGTGTAGCAGGATATGTGGTAGCATTTATCCTCGCTCATGAAGGCAACGTTGCATTTATCCTTCAGGCAGCATTTTAGGACGCATTCTTTTAAATTTGTGATTTCTGTTTGGTCAAAAATACCTGGCAATGGGAAAATAGTGCGTTATAACTTTTTAATTTTAACTACAAAATTTTAAAGTACATATTTTTATTTATTTAATAAATAAAGCTTACTAAGCACAATTTTTTTAGTTATGACAATAACTAGTATTTTAAGAATGTTATTTATGATTATATTAGGGCAAGGCCATATAGTAATCTTTTGTTTTACTATGATTAAATGATTATAGCTACTAAAAAATTTGCAACATCTTGTCATTAGTAATTCCAATATAAATATTTTGTATTTAAATCATATTTCTTATCAAATAATTACCTAGGTACTTAGGTGCAAAATATTATAGTATTAAAATAATAACCACTTACCTGCTGATAAATTTCCCTGTGGCACATAACCTTTAAACGACTTCTTATACAACCTGGGGCAAAACCCCATTAACCCATCGCCCTGGGGGTACGAATAACCCCCAGAAATCAACGAAAACACCACAAAAAAACATATTACCCGCTTCCTGGCCATTTCAATTGCACTGCATCCGCTGATAAACGCTCGCAGAGATAATTTCGACAGGATATACACAAAAAACGATAGTCGTTAAAATTCACATTTGCTTCGTCGAAAACGCTGTGTTTGTATTAAAATTTATTGATGTTCATGACAAGAGCTTTGCCTGACAGGTGCGAATTTTGACAGATGTCAAAGTAACGCGCTATGAGGGTTGCCTATCGATGTGCTAAGGCGGCGGATTTGTATGCATTCAGATGTTTTTGTCTACGCCTACATTTATTACGTGTATCAATATTTTGGCTAAATTTAATTTGTATTACATATAAATTGTATCTTTCATTGATCTTGTAAAAATTGTTTAATTAATTAATAATAATTTTGGCAATTTTTCAAGCTGAGTCATTTGGGAGTGTTTGTGGAACACTTTCTTTTATTAATTGTAGAATTCTGCCCTTGAAAACTTCTCTAGACAAAATAGATAACATATAACAAATAACAAGGTACCTTTATTTACAACAATAACAACAATAAATTTAAAAAACAATCTATATACCTATTGATGATAAAATTATAATGCATTTAGATTAGTTTAAATAAAATCATTTGGGTATATGAATCATTCCTATAGCGCTACGCGCTTTTTATTTTGGTACTGGTTATTTTCTATTGATTTTCTGTAATAGAAAATGTCAAGCACAAATGGAAATACTCAGAAAAATATAGTGAAATTGCTAAGCCTAGGTGAGATAATTATTTTTAATATCTTTACCTATTTATGTTAGACGTTTTGTTATGTAAGTTACCTATTTTGATTTTTTTATCATACCATATGTTGTTATTTGAACTTGAACTGAATTATTTTTGTAGTAGGGTAGATGCCCCGGTTGTGGCCATCGCACCGTTTGTGGCCATCCACAAAATAAATCTTAAATATTAACGGCCACTTTCAAACTAGCCAATAAGACAATCTAAAATCCCACTCCTTATTGTATTATGGATCGTGCCAGTGCTTTACATTGCGTTTGTCAGTTACAGTGTTTGTAAAACAATCGGTTTTTTTAACACGTGGCGGGAATGTTGTGATTTTTTAGGGATTTTGTTAAGAAACACGAGGTAAGTTAATGCATGATTCTGTGTAAGAATTTAAATGTTTGTGTTCAAAGTGGATGATATTTGACTTATAAAGGAATTTTACATGTTATTTTAACACTTTGAAGAAGATATTTAACTCATAAATAATTAAATTAATAGTGGCCACAATAGGAGCATCAAAAGTGGGTTCTGCGCCAGTTGTGGTCTTTAAATGGCTACAAATGGGTCATGAAAACCAGTTGTGGCCATGCAGTAGAAAGAGATGGCAAAATGTAAAACTAAACAAGGTAGAAAAGGGGCACCTAACAGTCTTAAATTAATTTGTTTCAGAAAAATTATGGCACCCCGTAAATTATTTCAATATTCCGAAAGTGCCCTTAATGCCATACAGCATGATTATATGCCCGTATCAACAGCATGCAAGAATTTAATGAATTTAATGTCCCTAGATGATCTGTACGAAATAGACTGGATGGTAAAAGAAGCGATGCCGAAAAGTGGGCCCAACGTGTTCTCTTGGCCCAAAAATAGAATAAAAATTGGTTTCCTGGATTCTGGACTCTTCCTCAAATGGTTTTCCTTTAAATAAAGAAGGCCTTTTATACTCTGTACAAAAAATCCAAGAGTGTAATATTCATAAAAAAATATCCCTTCCTTCAGTGGTTAATTCAGATAAGTGGATAGAAATTTTTGAAGCCAAAGAAAAATCTAAGGAAAATTTAGCTGCAGAAAAGGCTGCAAAAAGAGCAAGTAAGAGTGACAAAATAAACAAAGGAAAAAATTTAACAAAAAAGTTTAACAAAGAGGAAAACAATGATGTGTTTTTAGATAAGCCTACACCTAATGAAGAACAACTTTATGATGAAAATACCGAAGAGTCCAGGGAGAGTAACAGCAACCGACCAAAGAAGATATTAATACAAACACTGCTGTGATAGAAGAGGCTAATACTGATAAAGTAAAAAATATGATTACCATTTTAGATATAGGAAGCTATGTAATAGTCAAACATGAAGGTGAATTGTATTGTAAAACTGGAATAAACCATTGGAAATGGCCTGATTCGCCGGATCTATTGTGGTACAAAGTCCAAGACATACTGTTAAAAATAAACAGTCCTAAAGCCATAAATACCAGAGGAGTGCAGTTCCCCAAATGAAAGCCTTATAATTAAGAAACTTAGTTTTGCTTTTTTATTTCTGTATATTGTTAATTTTTGTTTCTACTTAGTACTTAATTCTTTGACTAAAAAATGTATTTTTTAATATTTTATACGAAAAAAATAAACTACCTGTTCATTTTGCTTCTTATTTCATATGCATTTCAATAGGATGGCCACAACTGGTGAGGCCTCTGGCCACAAGTAGAAAACAAGTGGCCACAACTAGCGAAACTCCTTTTTTCGGCTATTTTATTGAATTTGTCTTTGTCTGACCTATATAATTCAAATTAGATAAAAGTTCTTAAGACAAAGATATATAGTTATACTATATCTGTCATTCGAGGAGGGAAAACTGTCAAAATAAATAAATTGGAGTTGAATGAAGTTAAAAGTTTTCTTAAGATGGCCACAACCGGTGCATCTACCCTATATAGGTTATGTGGGTGTTTATTATAGAAAGTTGGTGTTTTAAGGATCTATTTTTATTCATTGTGGAGTTAAATTTAAATTAAGTTATAATTTATTAGAATATGTTTATTCTAAACAAATTATTCAACACTGTATAGTGTGCTGTTTATGTAAACAAAAACACATCAAGTCAAGGTCACATCTGTCAAAAACATGTTTTCCACTCCAACCTTTAAAACGCTCATTATCGTATGGCGCTTTAGTCACGGGGTAAAGTTGGTTTTAAGTTAGTTGACAGCTGTCAAATGTCATACAATCGTTAAAATAAAGTCACTTTCTGGTAAAATAATATATTAAAGGTATTTAATTAAAGTTAAATCAGTTTTTTTAGAAAAATGTTTTTGTAAAGTGCCTGATATTTCCTAAATGAGTGATTTTACGACAAAAATGAATATAACCTTTATTGTAGGGAATTTAAAAATCTATAGTTTTTATTAAAACAAATTTTGACCTCCGACCAATACCTACGCTAAAGAAACATATACCTATAACTATAGGTATATGTAAAGAAGTATCGCTAGTAGCGCCACCACTCGGCTGTTATCATCGTAACAAAAGTAGAACCATTGACTTCTTCACTCAACGCCGTTGTGTTGCCAACTCGTGGGAAATTTTCCGATTCGTGGAAAATTTGAAGTGCCAAAGGGAAAAGGGAAATTTTAACATAAAATCCTGTATTCGTGGGAAATTGTAAAGTCCAATCAATTTTCAACTAAAACAACTAGAAAAGAAAAGTCCAATCAACATTTATGAAAAAAAAATTACCGAAATTTTTTTTACTATAGTAGTATTATACCTATAATAGGTACTACTTTTTCTTTTAAAAATAACAGCTTTAACATATCAAGTTTGTGGACAGCCAAAGTCAACAAACCAGCGGCCTACCCATACAGCACAAGATGTCCATTGGACGTCAAATGGACTTATATTGAACGTTTGGATGTACAATGGTGGTCCATTTGACGTCCAATGGACATCTTGTGCTGTATGGGTAGTGACGTCACTGATGATGAGGATACATCCTGGCCATACGCTCTATGTGAATCGTCACAAACTTGCGTACATAGCTTTCCTGCTCTATGCGCGCTTTAAGTTTTTCTTACAATCAGCGTTGCCGGAAGGCCAATGCTAAATTCCTGGCTTAACTAAAATTTATTACTGGAAATTACTGGCAAAAAATTTACGTTGTATTCCTGGCAGAATACTTTTAGTTTGCATACAATGCAGTTAATTTTTAATTTAATTTTTTTTAGCAGGGTATTTATAAATACAGTGTATATACTCCGCATCACACTTGAATGATCTAAGTTGAATTACAGTTTTACAGAAATTCACGCCATAAAAATTTTCGTTCCAACTTCAAGTTTTTACTGACCAGTAAATTCCTGGTTCACATTCAACTACTGGCAAAACGGCAACCCTGCTTACAATTTGAAATATACTCGGGGATTTACCGAATTATCCGTGCGATTTGTAGCAATAAGCATATACCTATAACTAGTTATAGGTATATAATATATGCCATATTATGGCAATAAGTGGGCCTGTACTGTGTTTCTGTGTAGTATTTTTGTAAAAGCTGGTGAAGTATTATTTTATGAGCTGTATAAAACAAAAAGTGTTAGATTAAACTTTTATTTACAAACGCAATTCGTAATGTCTAGTTCATCAAATGAATGATTTAAAAAAAATTATAATTTTTTTAATTTAATTTTCTCCGTTTCTCAAAATATTGTATTTTTCTTCTTAAAAACAAAAAATATTCATGCCAAAATAAACTTTATCATTTTTAAAATTCGTGGGAAAATTTACGTAAATTTACACTCTTTGTGGGAAATTTAATTCTCAAAGGTTGGCAACACTGACTTAAGCGTATATATACGCTATAGCTAAAAACTAAAACTGACGTTTTTAAAAACGAAAAAAATGCATTTTTTCTAGATTCAAAGATCCAAAACTTGCTGAGAGAGGCTGTGCAGGCGCGAGAGTTCGCCTATGCCCCCTACAGCAAATTCCCCGTGGGTGCAGCACTTCTCTGCGACGATGGCGTCGTCTATCCTGGTTGCAACGTTGAAAACATGTCGTTCACAGTCGGAACGTGCGCAGAGCGATGCGCAATATTCAAGGCGGTGTCGGAGGGCCGCCGCAAGTACAAAGCGATCGCAGTCATCGGCTACCAGGAGCGATTCTACACGATGCCCTGCGGAGCTTGCCGACAAATGATGAGCGAGTTCGGCAACATGGACGTCTACATCGGCAAGCCTGATTTGCGCGACGTTTTCGTCACCACGCTCGAAGAACTCATGCCCAACCAGTTTCAGACTGTCGATCATGAGTTCTCTTAGGGATAAGATTAATTTATGTGTAAATAAATAGTGAATTGAAGTTATTGTTTTATTATAACATTTTAAGGCAGTTCTTCTTCTTCTTCATTTTAAGGCAGTTAAATCAAGTTACCCTGGCATTTTTAAGACAGTTAAGGCGGTACCAATGTAGAAAAAATAAAACCTTGTCTTTTAATTAACAAATTAATACTTTATTACAACTTAAAGTACCATTAAAAACTAAAAACAGTGTAAAAAGTAAATAAGTAACAATATAAATTGATAATTTCTTGCTATAACGGCAGAATTGACTCAATTCAATTGAGGTTTAATACTGTCATATTTTTGTGTTTCTTAAGTTGGCGGCACAAAATTTCAAATGACAATTTTAAAGTGCTAAAAATTGTTTTATCTATTTTGCGTTCATAATGACTTTTATTTTATTTTTGCTTGTAATCAAATCCAATTAATTGAATTAATTATTTTATTGACGTAACCTTATTTATCTAATGCTGGCTGTCATTGGCCGATAGTTCTCTAATTATTATTTACAGCTATAAATTAGTGGATTTTTCTTGGTAGCCATAAAACATTAGTTCCCTGTGTCAATTTGGTAGGAATGTTGGTAAATCAGTTGTTGACCGTGATCCAGCCCCATTCAGAGAATTCTGCTTTGTCTGGGTGTGCAAGGAGTTCTTGGGACTTGAGAACCTAAAATACCCAATATTTACCTAATATCCTTCCTCTATATATTGATTAAACTTACCTTTCTGTCTGTCCCAAGTAGAGGTGATTTCTACCATGTCTTTGTTTGTGAATAACCTCGTCGAGAAGTTTCTAAAAGGTTAATTATGGGTTAATAAATTATTCACCATCGCTATTTAGTAAAATCATATTGTACTTACTGAGATTTGTCCCTAATTGTATCTGCAAAGTTTGTTTACTTCGCCATGATAGTACGGCTGTCAAAGATCAGTGTTGCCAACAGCGAATAAAGACGGTTCGTTAATTGAAAGCTAGGGAATTCCATACCTTCCCAAAAATCCCCACGTTATGTTCAAAAATTCAAAGTTTTTATATCCTTTTTCTATGGTTTTTATAATAATTAATTTAATTTGGATTGGTTATCAATTGCGCATTGTTAGGGGACCGGAAGATAGATTCCGGCCATATTCATTCTTGTCCAATGCTTGATGCTGAGTGCGTGTCTCCAGGAATTTCTACAAGTGGTTTTATTTTAACCATCCGCTTTCGAAAGTGGGATCAATCTGTAGAATAACTTGTGTTGGATTTGTTAAGGCTATTTGTAGTGCCTATTTTGGTGATTTGGAGTCTATAAATCCTTCGGCTTGGCCGGATCAATTGAGCACGCGGGGTAAGCATCAATTTACCTTTATATTGGAAATATTCACTTTTATTTCTTCTTAGACTGTAGCATTGTACAAAATCTTCAACCGCACCCTCCACCGTCGAGGCATTTATTTCATTCCCTTTCGTGGGTCAAAATTACCTCGACTAGGCGTAAGTAACCTAATAAAAATTCGTTGTCAGACGTGTAATGTTCCTGTATTTTTTTTGTAGGGTTTTTGCCTTAGCAATAGGCTTTTGTATCGTACGTTTATCTTGCTGGCGAGGCTCTTTACTTTACTAATGGAAGGACTTAAGTCTAAAAATGCGAGGCAAAGGGCTGAATGTCTGGAAACCATGGGATCTATTATTGAGGAGTTTGGTATGTATATACCCTGTTAAAAATCACCCATAGAGACCAATAGAAACCAATAAAAAATCAGAATGGAATGAATTGGTCTTTATTGGGCCTATTGGTTTCTCAACAGAATGAGCATTGGTTTCTATTGGTAATTTCCGTACTGGAAAATGCCAATAGATTACCTAATGGTCTGAATTGGTTTTTATAAGAAGTTACAAGTACAGGAAATTCCCAATTGAAATTCAATTGGTAAATACCACTTAAATGTTCAGCGCCTGCGCAATTTAATACAAATGACCACTTGTTTCTATTGGCAATTTTCTTACTGGAAAATACCAATAGATAAACTAAGGGGCCGTTCAAGTATTACGTAAGCAGATTTACTACAATTATTAACCCCCCCCCTCCCCCTTGTCAGCAAAAGTAATCAAAGCTCTTACCCCCCCTCCAATGCTTACGTAAACATTGGTCTTTTTGTTTTCAAGCATAGACAATGTGTGGGTTTCCATATGTGTAAAAAAGTAAATAACTACTGCTGACGTAATCACCATCTAGACCCCCCACCCCCATGTCATCAAAAATAAGCAAAGCAAAGACCCCCCCACCCCCCTATAGTGCTTACGTAATACTTGAACGGCCCCTAATGGTCTGAATTGGTATTTTATCGGTGTGTAGAACCCTATTGGTATATACCACTTTAATATTTATTTTCAAAATTCGCCAATAGGTAGGCAACCCATGCATACCTCTCGCCTCTGTAGCACAATACATAGGCCTATAAAGGTGGAATGCCTTGAGCTGCTAAGTAAGGATTCCTTACTAAGGCAAAATTACTGGCCATGGAAACGCTTGGCGTTTTGGAATTTTTAAAGGGACACAGGTCGTCCTGTGGCCCACTCTGCGAAAAGTTACTTTTAGCAGAAGCTATTTATAAAATTTAAATTAAATGTTAAACAGCACTATTTTTAAGAAATTATTTAACCATCAAAACACGTAATTTTTTACCTTAAAGACGTCTAAAATGGATAGTGGGGACCAATTTAAACCAATAGCGATACCTCTGGAAAATCCAAATAGCTCTATTGGGAATTACCAATAAAATATATCTATAATATATCTATTGGGAATTACCAATAAAATACGATTAGTCTCTATCGGTCTGTATTGGGATTTTCCAGCGGTGTCGCTATTGGTTTGAATTGGTAATTCATGGTACAGATACCACTATTGAGACCAATTCAAACCAATAGAGCTGCCGCTGGAAAATCCCAATAGCTTTTCTATTGGTCTTTATGGGGGATTTTTAACAGGGTAGTTTGTGCATTATAATAATACTTGCTTGTATATGGAATTAAATAATTATTTAATTTAAAATTTTCCCAATTAAAAATTTAGGTATATATTTATACATTTTATCATGTATTGAAAGACAAAATTTACCAACAGTTCACTTTTGTATTAAACAATATTATTTCCAATCAATTTTTGCAAAAGTATAATTTATTTGAACAGAATTTTATAAATCGTTAATAAATATTTAATACAATTATTTAGATTAAATTGGTAAAGTTAAAAACATTTAAAATAAAAACACATATAAAACCTTTTCTACCAAAATAGTTTAAAAAGTTAATTTTTTTAAAGATCTAAACAATTATTGATAATCAAAAAATATTTTAAATATAAAAGTTTAAAGTATTGTTTTTTTAAAAATTTTAGTTTATTTTTTTTTTATTTGGACTTTTTGTGTTTTGTGTTTTTTTATTAAATTGACATTGATATTTATTATTGATAAATCACTTGTTAATTATTATATATTATCGATATAAAAAGATTTCATTTAAATGACTCTTTACAAATTTAAACCGATAATTTTGTAGAATAAAATAGGTATTTGTGGTAAAATTTTTAAAAGTCAATATTTAAAATATTTTTTGACTATCGAACATTCCCGAAACTTTCAGAAAGTTAAAAAAAAAATTATTTCGGAAATAAGTTTTTCGTGCCTATTTGTGGTAAAATTTTTAAAAGTCAATATTTAAAATATTTTTTGACTATCGAACATTCCCGAAACTTTCAGAAAGTTAAAAAAAAATTATTTCGGAAATAAGTTTTTCGTGCCAGGATTGCAAGGATTGCAAAAATATATAACACATTACCTTTTTGCCAAATTTTATTAAGAAAAAAAAATGTTTATATGAATGTAAATAAACTGTTCCCTACTAGTGAATCACTAGATATTACATACAAAATATAAAGGAACAAAGTATCCATATATGGGTTATTTATTTTAATGGGCGTTGTTTTTTTTTGTACCTGTAAACTAATATTGTTACTGCTATTATTTGCGTTAATAAAGAAATTAAAATTAAATTAAACCAGCAACACTCTGCAACATCTGCATATAAATTCTAACTGACCTTCAGGAATCACATGCATCTATAATGTCTGAAACAGAGGTTTTGCTTATTTAAAATGATTAAAGCGCCATCCGTTGCAAGAAATTTCAAGCAAAAACAGATTCACGGATGATAGAATCAATTTTTGTAACACCAACATGAATGGTTATAAAAATTATTTCTTTTAGTTTTTAATAATATTTTATATTTGATTCGATTGCTTTGGATGTGTTTAATTTACTTAGTGAACTGTTATTTTTAGTATGCTTTTACTACCTCAGATATTTGAAAACATATAGGTTAACCTAGAAAGAGTAACAGTCACGGAGGATAGGTTTTAAACTTTTAAAACATTGTAAAAAATAATTAATTGTGGTTAAAAATCTGGAAGCTGAGCTGTAATATCTACTTAATTATGAACGATCAAAACACAATAAAAGTGTAGGTCAAACTTATTATTGGTTTTGTTTAGGTATCACTGTGGCCAAACAAATATCCGATCGCGACAATTCCGTGCGAAACGCAGCTTTGAACTGCGCAGTGCAAGCGTATTCATCGTGGGCGAGAAAGTGTACAAAATGGTTGGAAATGTAAGATAAATCGACGTTAATTTTACGCAATTTTTATTTAAAATGAATCTTCGTAGATTTCCAACAAGGACATGTCGTTGCTGGAGGAGCGCATCAAGCGTTCGCAATTGCGTTAACGTAAAATCCCACCGCCAAAACCGAAAATGGACGTCAACTCCGCTAATACGCACCCGGTGGAACCCCCTTCAACCGTTGGCTCGTTGGACTTTTTGGAAATATAGGTACACATTTGAAAAAAAGTGGAAATCAACAACTTGACATTATTTTAATTTAAAAAAATATCCTTACTGAAAAAAAATTAAACTTAACATTGAATTAAATTAAATTAATTTAAGAAAATAATCATATACAATAGCCTTTTGGTTTTTCCAATAAATATATTTGGGTATATGTATTGAGATGTCCCCCAAGTGAAAATGATATTTTTTATTAAGTGATTTCTATACAATTTATTTTGAATAGTGTTTTACTGTTTTTTATTGGAGCATACAGTAAAAAACATTGAATATGTTTAAGACAAAAATTTGTTTTCTAGTGCATGAGTGTATGTTTTTCTTTTCAGTAAAACGCATAAAATAATCGAAATTGGACATGTCCAATTTTGATTACTTTATGCGTTTCACCGAAATAAAAATATACACGTATGCACTAGAAAACAGTTTTTTGCCTCTATCAAAATATTCAATAACTATGTTTTTCACGGTATGCAAATATATATTTTTCAGGGTTATAGACACTTTTAATGGGTTTGTTTGTAATACAAAGTTTCAGATCTTGGATATGTCGATATTTTTCTTGGTAAACAAAAAAATAATAAAAATACTGCAAAAATCAAGTTTGTGATGTAGGTACTACAAATCTGAAAACAATTCAGGGTAGTAGACGAAACTCAATGCTATTGTTTAACAATATTATCGCTGCTATAAATGCGTAACTATGTAGTTTCAGTCATTTTATTAAATCTAATATAAATTAATTATATTTTATTAAAAATATACATTATGTAGGCACCCTAGAAAAAAAAGAAAAAACATATTTCTTTAAATTTCAAACTCGGTGCCACTGCTCATGCATATTCTGTCCCGAAAAAACTTCACAATTTACTATTTCTTAATAATTTCTATTTTTGCAGCTTTTTAGACTTTGTTTTCGGCCAAGGAGAATCGTTGCATTGGATTTTTAACCGACTCTAATTTACATTATTCCAAAGGAGTGTTGCTATTGTAGTTGGAGTTGACTGTCGATTCTATTTTTTTTATTGTTAATCTAAATTTAATATAATAACTAATTACATTTTTCTTCTAGGACAATGGACAAGGCTACTCGAGAAGATCCCAGTGAACCAAACCGTGACTTATGACCTAAAATTTACGTAACACGTAGATCATATCTAGGTAATACAATTTTTACGTCATAGTGACATAATACTGACCCAAAACGTGACTTTTATATGATGTAATTAAATGACTTACATATTACGTACATCTTATGTAATATTAAAGTCATATCGTGACGTAATATTAAAGTCACTTTTCTTACGTAAGACTGACATAAGAAATCTGTCATAATATTACATAACTTTTAGGTCACTGTCTTACGTAAGACTGACGTAATAAATCTGTCATAATATTACCTAAGTGTAAGGTCACTTTCTTACGTAAGGCTGACGTAAGAAATACGTCATACTATTACATACGTTTTAGGTCACTTTCTTACGTAAGACTGACGTAAGAAATCTGTCATACCATTACATAAGTTTAAGGTCACTTTGTAAGGTAAGACTGACATAAGAAATCTGCCATACATATTATTTAGACGAACTATAGATGCAAAAGTAATTTCAAAGTATGAAATTCACTGTATTTTAATGTTTGAATTAAACTAATTTCAATGAATGGACTTTTATTTTCAATGAGTGAAATAGTCAAACATAATTTTAATTTTTTATTGATTGAAATGGTTAATTCAAACATTGAGTAAAATAACGTAAGTAAATTAATTGAAATTGACGCCGATTATTTTAAACAATAAAATCAGTGGATATATCCAGTATACTTTTCCTTACCAATGAGTTTAATTCAAACATTAAAATACACCAAATTTCATATTTTAAAATTACTTTTGCATCTAGCATGATGAAAGAAATAACGCGAAGTTCCTTGAATTTTTTGGCTACTTATAAGTAGCCAAAAAATATAGTACTTGCAATCGACCATGGTCGATTAAATGAAAATATGGTTTAAAACCAATCAAAAAATAATGTATCTTAATTTAATATGTAATAACCATCATAATATATTATAGATTTTTATGATTCCGGTTCCTACTGCTTTATGACGTAAAAAATTTTGAAAATAGCGTCGTACTTTCAAAAGTACACATTTTATTCAATGGTCATGTGAAAAATAATACAACCAAATTTAAAGAATTTAATATTATAATATAATATGGTATAATTATATATTAATATAATACCTATAATAATAGATAGGTATTTGCACAATAATGTTGGTATTAGTATATTTTTAAAATTTAAAAAATAATAAATAAAAGAAATGAAATTGACAAACGAAATTATTTAAGTACACAGAATATTTAGTATTAATAATTAAGAAACCAAGAGATTTTTAAAAATATATGTAAACTATTAAAGAATTTTTCATTGATAAAAATTTTTTATAATAATATTATAATATATAAGGGTAAAGTTGTCAAATAACATTGATATATTAATTGTTAACAGTTGCAATATGCAGTAAGGTTGCCTATGATAAGTAGGCATCTACTATAATATACTAGAAATCTATTTATCATAGGCAACCATTATTGCATAATACATCTCGCTTATGTGGCACTATTCGTTAAGTATATAAGTTGACACTGGCTGCATTGCAATTTGAGATTTAGGAATCCGAACCTCGGCAAATAAACGAGTCACGAATTGTGGCCTTACGATAATTTAGCTTTTTCAGTGGAATTCTTTGTTGGAGCCAGGATTGTTCCGTCTGGATCGTCATGAAATTTCCGTGGCCCTCTGCTTAAACAGTGCCTGCTTTGCAAGGCCAAAGCCGCGAACCCACAATGTCACTCATTTAACGTCAAGGGAACTGATTTCAGCCAAGTGAGCTGTTTCAGTATTTACTTATTTTGCCCCATGATGAAAAATAAGGAGGTCATATTTATGTCACATTTATTACGTAAATATTATGTAATAGTATGATGTCAGTGTTACATCAAGATGTTTACGTCAGAGTCTGACGTAAGAAAGTGTGAAATAATGACTCTTGTATGACTCAAGTGTGACCTATATCTTACGTAAGCGTGACTTGACATGACGTCATATTTACGTCATATTTACGTAATTGTGTTTACTGGGATACGATAATCCGGTTTTCTTCACGGCGAGACTTAAGTCTTCTTACCTCTATGTACCTCAGCCACGGCATGGGCTCTAACAACGAGGTATGTAGAGGAAGCCACAATCCACATCCATGTGTGGATTGTGGAGGAAGCTAAGCCGCTCGCCAGCTCCATTTTGACCTGGCTCAAAAGACTGGAAAAACCATATATTTTTTACCTGTTAATGTATTTCATATTGTTTAATACACATTCACGTATTATTTATCTTTGTTTTACTTTAGTCCCTATAACAGGGACTAATATTCCCTGAAAAGTATCGCCATCTATACGTAACTATCCGAACTAATTTAACCAAGTTGACTTTTATTAACTGACAAATCTTGTCATTTCGTTCATATCATTTCAAGTTGAATTTTGGCAAAATTTATTTTGATTTTGGATGAAAAATACTTAAGAGATAAAGTAAATACATTTTTTGGAGAAAAAATACTTAAGTACCTAATCAAAACTTAAAATTTTGGAATAAATTATTTTGATTTTTTCTTACAATATTTTACAAATTTTTACGGTTGACTAGAGAAAAAGTAAATACATTTATTGGATGAAAATCAAAATTTAAAATTTTGACAAAAATTATTTTGATTTTATCTTACAATATTTTACAAATTTTTACTGTTATTACACATTATTTATTCACCATGGGACAACATTTACGTTCAAAAAAAATTTAATTTCTTTTATATAAATTCTTTTCAAAGCGAAGATTATTATCCGCTAGGAATACTTTCTCTTCTGGCCGTAAAGCAACCTATATTTAACTACTTTTTTATATGATTTTACTCATCCAAGCACCACCAAAGCCAAATTAATTGCATTTTTAACTACGAATTTCGACAACTCAACTTGACAACTGCACAATGTAACCTACAATAATTTATACAAAACCACAATTAGATTTATAACTAGCTTAGTTTGTTTTGATCAATGCGACCAACTTGACAACTGTATTTACCAACCAAAACCCTAAATTTGCAACGTTGCCGCAGTCCAGATAAAAAAATGAACTTTAGTTATATCTTCAGACAGTTATATAACCCCGTTTTTTTCTCAATCTGACATATATCAAACAGTTTTAACCTCACTTTTCCCATTTAAGTGCAATGTATGAAATACATAAATTTGATAAAGAAATAAAAAATACATATTTGAATAAAGTAGAGGTTTATTTTAGCTTAATATATTATCACTTTAAAATTGTATAAAAAATAAATACCTAACAACTATTATAATAAGTGGTGAGTACAATAAAATATAAGCCTAAATATTAAAATAACAATTCGATTGAGGGAATATAATTTAAAAATAGTAAATGTAGAATGATTTAAAGTAGGATATAAGAGTAAAATGTTGAAGATTAAAATAGCATTAGGAAACATTACATCTATCTCTAGTGCTAGTGCTACTGGCTGTGGTATTCTGCTCGGAAGCTTGCAGCTGCCTAGCTAAAGCTGCATCCAGCTCCTCCTGTCTCCGTTTATCAGTGACAACAGGGCGCGAATCCTGCATCGACAGGGCCAAAGCCCTAGCAAGGGCTTCGTCCTCGCTCATAGTGCTACTAGGCTGTGAGTTCGATGCCCACTTATTTCTAACCGCGTTTTTACCCTCGCAAGAATGATCGACGGCGTGTCTGTGTTTAAGGCAAAAATTTAACTTGCATTCGCTGCATATCACAGGTATGACCTCTTTGTTTTTGCATTTTTTGAACGAACAACGGTTCGTGAACACTTTCCGGCGCGATTTTGCTGGATCGGCTTGGCAGTCGTTGTCTATATGTGCCCCTGAAATACACCAGAATTAATATAAGCATAAACTTTATTTGGACTTTGACTCATGCCAATTCAAAGTTGTCATTCTTAAGGCAGTTTTGAAGACAATTTTATCTGCTTAAGACGACATTAAGAGGACATTCTTAAGGCAGTTTTTAAGACAGTTACATCTAGCTTCTTTTGACATTTTAAGGCAGTTAATAATATCTAATTTAAGAATTCGAATGCAGTTTTTAAGACAGTTATATCTAGTTTAAGTAAACATTCTTAAGGCAGTTCGTAAGACAGTTATATCTAGCTTAAGTTGACATTCTTAATGCAGTTTTTAAGACAGTTATATCTAGATTGACATTCTTAGGGAAGTTTTTAAAGACAGTTATCTTTTTTTTTTTTTATTTATTAATTAAACCCCAAAAGAATATACATTCCATAACAGGTACATAGATAAAGTAAACATTTCAGATAAAATTTAAACATTTCAGATATATCAAATGGCATTTTTAAGTCAGTTTTTAGACATTTATATGTAGCTGCAGTTTTTAATTTTGTTTAACAAGATTCTTATGGCAGTTTTTAAGACAGATATCTAATTTGACAGCTCTACTGCAGATATTTGTAGCTTAAATTGGCATTCTTAAGACAGTTATATTTACCTTAAGTTGACATTCTTAATGCAGTTTTTAAGACAGTTATAACTAGCTTGACTTGACATTCTTAGGGAAGTTTTTTAAGATAGTTATCTTGGTTGACATTCTTAAGACTTTAAGACTGTTATATCTAGCTAAAAATGGCATTTTTAATGACAACTGTAATGGAATTTTAAGTTGGCATTCTTAAGACAGTTATATCTAGCTTAAGTTGGCATTCTTAATGCAGTTTTTAAGACAGTTATATCTAGCTTGAATTGACATTATTAGGGAAGTTTTTTAAGATAGTTATCTTAGTTGACATGTTATATCTAGCTTAAATTATCATTTTTAGACAGTTATATCTACCTAAAAATAGCATTTTTAAGTCAGTTCAAGACAGTTATATCTAGCTTGAATTGACATTCTTAGGGAAGTTTTTTAAGATAGTTATCTTGGTTGACATTCTTAAGACTTTAAGACTGTTAAATCTAGCTAAAAAAGGCATTTTTAAGTCAGTTTTTAGACATTTACATATATATAGCTGCAGTTTTTAATTTTGTTTAACAAGATTCTTATGGCAGTTTTTAAGAGTTATATTTAGCCCAAGTTAACATCTAGCTTAAGTTGACATTCTTAATGCAGTTTTTAGGATAGTTTTACCTAGCTTAAATTGAGATTCTTAAGACGTTAACCGCTAGCTAAAAATGGCATATTTAAAGCAGTTTTTAAGTTATTTATATATAGCTTAATGCTTAAGCTTAAAACAGTTACATTTTGCTTAACTTAGGATTCCTAAGCCAGTTATATCTACTTTAACATCTCTAATTCAGTTTTTATGACAGTTATATTTAGCTTAAGTTGAAATTATTAAGGCAGTTTTTAAGACAGTCATATCTATCTTAATGCAGTTTTTAACAGATACATCTAATTTGACATTTCTAAAGCAGTTTTTAAGACAGTTATAACTAATTTAACATTTCTATAGCAGTTTTTATGACAGTAATACCTAGCTTAAATTGACATTCCTTGGCAGTTTTTAAGACATTTAAATCTATCTTAATTTCAAATTATTAATAGTTTTAGTGACAGTTACTTGGAAAGTAATTTTAGACCAAGTTGGCAGTCTTAATGTAGGTTTTATGACAGTTATATCTAGCATAAGTTAATATTTTAAAGACTGTTGCCTAAGTTGACATTATTAAGGCAGTTTTAAAGCTTAATTTAATATTTCTAATGCAGTTTTTTTGAGTTATATATAGGCCAAGTTAACATTGTGGTTGCAGTTTTTTAATCTAGCTTTAGTTAACATGGCAGTTTTTAATACAGTTGTATACATTCTTAAGACAGTTATATCTAGCCCAAGTTGACATTCTTAAGACAGTTATAACTAAAAATTGCATTCTTAAGGCAAAGTTCAAATAAAAAAGGTATAAAACATTTACTCACCCACAACTACATCTGGTTGTTGCCCTCTTCCAACTGGACATGGAATATTACATAGAGGGCACACAGGCACTTGGTTGTCTTTTTTATACGTATTAGGACAGTTGTGCGTTAAATAAGAATAATGTTCGCCGCAGAAAGTCTGGCTGCAAGCGTCGCATTTAATCGAAAGAAAATCCAACTTTTTGCAGTCAGATTTCGAACACTGTTTACCTAAATGTGGCAGCTCCATTTTAACACTTTACCAGAGATGCACTTTACCAACCAAACTATAAATGAAATGAGTCAGCTACGGGAGATTTTATAGTGATACAAACGTTCTTGAATGTTCGCGACGAGAAATTTGTGTTTTGAGGATGACATTACAAAAAAGTGACGTTTACGCAGTTTTGCCAACCTAATAGAATTTGACAGTAGTTCATTTGAACTCGTATGTGAGGTTATATCGCAAAAATGAGCATTCCTTGTTTTAAACACGGCACGAGTATACGAGTTTTTCTCAAAGAAACAGGTGAAATATACGAAGGGACTTACTGCGGTGGAAGCGACAATAGGGTGGATATAAACAATATTACTGACAACAAAGGACAAAAATTGGTTGGAGTTTATTCGTACTATGATAGTGAAATTGAGAAAATACAAGTTAAAGAAGTTAAGGAGGAAGAAAAGGAACCTGTTGAGGAACCAACGTCAAGTGTGGATGTGAAAAGATTATACACATTCGACTTTCCAAATGGGGAAGTAGATCGTTTGAAAAATATTGCCCAAGAGGCTCCCATTTTTTACAATACCGGTGAAGAATTTGATAGAGCTTTAAATATATTAAAGGAGAGTGAGAATGTTGGGTTGATGGCTTTAGGGATCGATGAAAATGTTACCAAATTACAGTTTTTAGTTATGGGGACAAGGTATAATATATTCATTTTTGATGCCATTAAATACACTAAAAAGAAATTTCCTGTAGAACTAAAAAAACTACTTGAATCCGAAGAAAATGTAAAGGTAATACACCAAAAAAATATACTAGAAAGAAGCTTACAACAATATGAAGTAAAACTAAAAAACTACTATGACATACAAGAAAGTGATTCAGAAATACACCAAAAACAAACGAAATCTACAGAAAAAATTAACAGAAACACATCAGAAATCCTTCAAGACGTCTTGAACATACCAGACTCGATTCTCTATAAAGCCCTTGAAACAAACAAAAGCGTAAAAAAGTGGGAGGAAAGACCCTTGAGGGACACCAGACGTCTATCAGCTGCACTACTTTGCACTTTTTTAATATCCGGCAAATATGGGCTTGAATATGAATCATACAAAGATGTTTACAGAATAACAAGGAATGTCTATGATCATGTGGCAAATATGGACAGTTTGCAATTCTTAAAAAGTGTCTATAAGGAAAATTTTCAAAGGGATGTCCAAAGGTTTATTGTGGAATCTAAATTAAATCAAAAATAACTGTTTTTTTTGTTAAATGTAAGTAAGTGACTTTTATTTCCAGGTTTTTGTATATTATGTAATCAGTTTGATAATAATTTTAAGGTTATTAAAAAAAAATTTACTCAAAAAAATATTTTTTTATTAATATAAGGATTGTTTATCTATTCCTTGTAAATTTGTCACAGTGTTATTTGTATATTTTTAAATGTTTTTTAACACCATTTTTGACTTAAGACCAATCATTCATTTTTAAGACAGTTATATATCTAGCTTCAGTTGACATTCTTAAATAACTGTTTTAAGAATGTCAATTTTAATGTCTTAAGAATATTAAGCCAAATTTAAATTCTTAGTACAGTTTAAACTGGTTTAAGTTTACATCCATAAATAACTGTCTTAAAATATTATTTCCATAACTGTATAAACTGCATAAATAACTGTATTAAGAATGTCCAGTTAAGCTATATATGTTTTAAGAATATCTAGATAAAGTTTACAATCTTAAGACTTTTATCTTTTTATCTTTTACATCCATAAATAACTGTCTTAAAATATTGACAATATTAGGTTGACATACTTAAGACATTTATGTATCTAGCATAAGTTAACATTCTTAAATAACTGCCTTAAGAATGTCAAATTAAGCTATGTATTACTGTCAAGAATATTTATCTAAAGTTTAAATTCTTAAGAAAGTTATATCTAGCTTAAGTTGACATCCTTAGAATGTCAAGTTAAGCTAGATATAACTGTCCTAAAATATTGACATTCTTAATATTGACATTCTTAAAACAGTTATATCCCCCTTAGGTTGACATTCTTAAGACAGTTATAATATCTAGCATACGTTAACATTCCTAAATAACTGTCATAAGAATGTCAAATTAAGCTATGTATTACTGTCAAGAATATTTATCTAAAGTTTAAATTATTAAGACAGTTATATCTAGCTTAAGTTGACATCCTTAGAATGTCAAGTTAAGCTAGATATAACGGTCTTAAAACATTGACATTCTTAATATTGTCATTCTTAAAACAGTTATATCCCCCTTAGGTTGACAATCTTAAGACAGTTATATATCTAGCATAAGTTAACATTCTTAAATAACTGTCTTAAGAATGTCAAATTAAGCCATGTATTACTGTCAAGAATATTTATCTAAAATTTAAATTCTTAAGACAGTTATATCTAGCTTCAGTTGACATTCTTAGTATGTCAAGTTAAGCTAGATATTACTGTCTTAAAACATTGACATTCTTAAGACAGTTATATATCTAGCATAAGTTAAAATTCTTAAAGAACTGTCTTAAGAATGTCAGTATGTATTACTGTCAGGAATATTCAATTTTCTTAATTTATTTAAGAAACTTTTTTGACCCATCACTGGTAATATTCATAAGAAAAAATTGAACCTACACCTCGCCAAAGTTTTTTGTTTTGAATGCGTTCCACCAACTTCAAATACCGACAGACAGCTGTTTCGACCTATATTGGGTCTCATCAGTGTCGGGCAACTTGGTGTAGTGGAACACAATCAAAACAAAGGATTCCCTGAGCTTATATGCTCGGTTGTTAAGTCAACAGAGGCGAGATGTAAGAACATCGGGTGATCCACTCCGTCAAACGACGTAGGTTCAATTTTTTTTTCTACTGTCAAGAATATTTATCTAAAATTTAAATACTTAAGACAGTTATATCTAGCTTAAGTTGACATCCTAAGCTAGATATAACTGTCTTAAAACAGTTATATCCAGCTTAAATTCTTAGAATGGTCTAAGATGAGAATATTTTTTAAATTCTTATCTAGTTTTAATTTTAGATTTGTCATATTATATTTTTCTATAAGAGTATGAATTAAATTAATTAAATTACTTGTTATTGTGATGCACAAAATAATAATTCAGTTTTAAAACAAACTGAAAGAAATGTCACAGCCTTTTTAAAAATACATTTTTACTTATTGACTTGACTGGTTTGATTCTGGGGTACCATGTCTGCTCCTTAAATTATATCTCCCATTGGATATTTCGTTTAGCGGAAATTTATGTTTGGCAGGGAGAATGTTGGAATATTTTACCAAATTTTCCTTAATGTCGCTTTTGTTAAAATAATTTGTATTATTTAAAACAGGAGTGGACCCATTACTTAAGTTGTTTTCATAGGAATATCTGTATTCTTTTATAAAGGATTTATTTTTGGATTCGCTCTCTATTTCAAAGTCTACATCAGATTTGTTGAGTTTGTTTTTTATGTTACTAAGCATTTCTAGAATATTATCGTTTTTCTTTGATAATTTTCTGAGTAAATCGTTATTTTGTTCAGTTAAATCCTTATGGTGATAAAATTTATACGCGAAAACCACAACTGATAAAAAAACCATACAGTATCGCAAATACCACACAGAATTATAAATATGGATATAAAAAACATCAATGTTAGGTTCACTGTAAAAATACCTAACAAAAACGCATAAAAACCTTTCCGAAGCAAAATTCAAAAACACCAATAAAAACAAGGTTAATCTGGATTCACTTGTTCTTTTAGTAGAAGTCAAAAGCAAAATGAATAAAATCGCGGATATATAAAAAATAATTGAATCAATCCAAGAAATTTCCCCAACAATCCAAGTTTGCAACCTGGACAAACTTTCAGACATAACATTTAATAGCTCTTGATGTGCTCTAACAGAAATGTACAAGTCTTCCAGAACAGCCTCCAAAAATTTACCATGCTTAAGCATTTTCTCCTGCAACTCCAAACTTTCCTGCTGAGTCTTCAAAAGTTGCTGCTGGGTTTTTGAAGAAACCTCCAGTTGTTTGCCAACTTTGAAAGTATTCTCCGAAATGGTCTCATGCCATATCTGCCCCCTCAAAAACCAGCAAATATTCTGCGTATGTGTATAAAACTCTGTATAAACATTGAAAGCTCTATCAGACATACTGTTAATGCAGATCCCCCTCAAATTGGGCTTCTTGTCCAACTCGCAATTGTAGGTTTCATGCCCGGACATTTCCAAAAAGCAATTTGTTATATGCAAAGCTATGTCGCTTTGTGTGTCCTCCGATAAATGTCTGCACCCATCATTAACATGCTCCACAGCGCGTTTCCAGCAGTCGCCATATCGAGGTAGACTACCTCGCTCCTTTAAGAGCTAAAAATAAATTCTATTAATAACTCAGCCGCAATAATACAACTTGTTTGATTTACCTGATACTGGGCTTTTCCTTGTTCAATCATTTCCTTATTACTTTCGCGGTTAATGTGGAAATCATCGTAAGCACACACAGAAACAAACAATATACATACATACATTAACATTTGACCTGCTTTTTTAAGCATTTTCGTCCAAATTAATCGATTCTAGCCTCCAAATAACGCCAAACGTCAAATTTGAATTGTTATGTTGGTGTGACTGGTTATACATTTAAACTATCAAATAACGAAATGTTTAAGTTAGATTATTATTCAAATAAGATTGATTAATTGACTTTACTATCATAAATTTGTGATAATATTTATTAATAATAAGTTTAATATTTGCTTTTTAACAAAAACATCAGTATTATTAAGGTGCATTTACACAAATATTTGCTAAAATAAAAATATTTATTTATTGTAAAATAAAACGAAATTTATCAACTTAATTATTAAGTGTATTTAAATTGTATTACATTTAGTTTAAGTTATACATATTTCCAATATTTGTTAAATTATAGATATAATTTATATGAACTACTTTTGGGCGATTTGCTTGCAAACGCACCCTAACACCTTGACAGTTCTTTAAATATGGCGAGTGTCAGATAGCAGAACTGTCAGATTTTAGCGTTTAAGCGAAAATTAAATCATTCAATTAGCAATTCTTGGTGAAATAATGATTGTTTGTTGATCGATTATCCAGTGAAACGATTAAGTGGTGAAAATGGTTCATATAGACCAGATTAAGCTTGAATATCCGTTGCATTGGCTTGTTTGGACAAATGATTACCAAAATTTGCAAAGCGAATTGGCTAAAAAACTAGTAAGTAAACTTTTTTGCGTTATTTTGTGGCGAAATTATTGTATTTTTGAGTACAAAGCAAACATATCACCAGAAGTGAACTTATAACTTCATGTAAATATGACAAAGAAATTTTTATCATAGAATTAATTTACTTATAATTAAACCGTTGAGTGGCGATAAAACCTAGTATTTTAATTTTTATAAACATAACAGTTTTGAAGAATGTTAACTTAAATACTATAACTTTCCTAAGAATGTCAAATGAAGCTAGATATTACTGTCTTAAGAATGTCAATGTTTTAAGACAGTTATATCCATATATATATCTATCTTAACTTGACATTCTAAGGATGTCAAATTAAGCTAGATATAACTGTCTTAAGAATTTAAACTTAAGATAAATATTCTTGACAGTAATACATAGCTTAATTTGACATTCTTAAGACAGTTATTTAAAAAAGATAACTTATCGGTCTTAAGAATGTCAACCTAAGGGGTATATAACTGTTTTAAGCTAGGTACAACTGTCATAAAAACTTCATTAAGAATATCAAATTAAGCTAGATATAACTGTCTTAAAAAACTGCCATAAGAATGTCAACTTAAGCTAGATGTAACTGTTTTAAAAACTGCTTAAGAATGTCAAGATTTAACTGTCCTAAAAACTGCATTAAGAATGTGAACTCAAATAAGATATAACTGTCTTAAAAATGTTTACTTAAGCAGTCTAGACAAATCCTTAAGAATGTCACATAGATTTAACTGTTTTAAGCTTTTTAACTTAAGTTGGCTATAAGAGTGTTTTTTTTTTATAAATTTAGCATAACAAAGAAAAAAAAGATGCTAGAGGCAGAACGCCATTAATGCTGGCTGTGACAATGGGATACTTGGAATCTGCAAGAATATTATTGAATAATGAAGCCAACGTGAACTGCGAAAATTCTGAAGGATGGACAGGTAATTGGTTTAAAATTAAGGCTTATTGTACTTATTGAGTGATGTCATATGCGGTATTAAAATTTGTTTTCATTTGTTTAATATGGATTCATTCATTTCACAAATTGGTTGAAACTTTTTAGCACCATTTTAGGACAATTAATAATACACTCACGTGCAAAATAATCGATCCACACAAATTTTCGATGAATTTCAATCGCAAATAACTTTTTTATTTGATGTCGGATTTAAACGAATATTAAAGAATATTGTAGATAAATTAATGGACAATCGCTCACATTTAAAAAAAATACTAAAAAATAGACGTACGTTTATAATATACAGGCTTAAACAAAAAGATGTTTTTTACCATAAGTTTCAGACACTCTGTAGAGTGGCAAAACCGTATATTGTTCTAAATTAAGTTTTAATTATCAAGTCACATGTATTTTTAACAGTTTTGTTTTTGGTTCACCTTGATATATTTATTTTTGTGGAAAATATGGATTTTTTAAAAAAACATTGCAATTTCCAATATTTTTCTGTATGAAGAACTAAGGTTGCTATGGTCCATCCATAGGCTATGGAGAATGACAGTGACAGTTTTGTTGAATCATCCCATACTTTGACATGTCATACACGGCTTTCAAAAGCTATCAAATTGTTTTTTGCAGATTAATGTTTAAATTTTGAGGTGTCTTTTTACTTTATAAAATGGATATGTCTCCGACTGATGTTGCCAGAGCTATTAATTTAACCCAGAATGGACATCAGTCAGAGACATTTTTAAAAGTAAGAAGACACCTCAAAATTAACACATTCATTTACAAAAAACAATTTGATAGCTTTTGAAAGCTGTATATGAAATGCCCAAGTATGGGATGATTCAACAAAACTGTCACTGTCATCCTCCATAGGCTATGGATGGACCATAGCAACCTTAGTTCTTTATACAGGAAAAATATTGGAAATTGCAATGTTTTTAAAAAAAAATCCATATTTTCCACAAAAATAAATATATCAAGGTGAACCAAAAACAAAGCTGTTAAGAATAGATGTGACTTGATAAATAAAACTTAATTTAGAACAATATACGGTTTTGCCACTCTACAGAGTGTCTTAAACTTATGGTAAAAAACATCTTTTTGTTTAAACCTGTATATTATAAACGTACGTGTATTTTTTAGTAATTTTTAAAATTTGAGCGATTCTCCATTAATGTATCTACAATATTCTTTAAAATTTGTTTAAATCCGAAATCAAATAAAAAAGTTATTTGCGATTGAAATTCATCGAAAATTTTTGTGGATCGATTATTTTGCAAGCATATGTAAAAAAATGTATATAAATAAGCTTATTACTTCGACTCAAACGATTTTATCAGTGGTGCAGGAGGCTGTGGCCACTGGAGACCCAGAACTGCTCCATCTGGTGTTGGAAAGGAGAGACTTTCAGAGATACACGAGCAGAATGGCGGGGATTCCCGAATTGCTGCAGCGTCTGAAACAGGCGCCGGATTTTTATGTGGAGATGAAGTGGGAGTTCACCAGTTGGGGTAGATATTGATTTAAAAAAAATAAAATAAAAACGTTTTGTTTCGTCGCGTGTTTTTTTCAGTACCTCTAGTGTCAAGGATGTGCCCCAGTGATACCTATAAAGTTTATAAGCAGGGATCCAATGTCAGGGTGGATACGACACTGTTAGGTTTCGATCACACGAGCTGGCAACGCGGCAATAGGAGTTATGTGTTTCAAGGACAAAGTGAGTAAAAAATATTTTTTATTTTAATTAGGGTTTATCTGATACGTGTTGTATATATAGCGGGAGTGGTTTTTAAGTTTAGGAAACTTGGCAACAATTACAAATAAATTTACATAGGTGCCATTTGTACATAATTAGATGCTCTTCAAAAGTACTTTAATAAAAAGTTACAGTAAAAAAGTGAAGAAGATTTTTATAGAAAATTTAATTTCCTATAAAAAAGAATTAATGCATTTGTCCAATGAAATGCATAGTTTAAAAGATATAGAGCATTTAATAAATTTAACTTTAAAATATCAATAAAACAAATTTCTTTATCATAAAATTTGTTAAATGCTCAACATCTTCTAAACTATACATTTTATGACATTAATATCTTTTAAATTTTCTATAAAAGTTTTTTTATTTTTTACCTGTACATTGGTTTATCAATATTTGACGTTAAAATTTATTAAATGCTCTATATCTTTTAAACTATACATTTTATTGCATTATTTTAAAGGACCTTTTTTTATAAAAAATTTAATTTTCTATAAAAAAAATTCTGTAACTTAAACCGTTTTCCGTAAAATGTAAAAATACAGTTTTTTTTAAATATATTAATTTTATCGCATCTATGTAAATTGTGGTTTCGTAAAATGTCGCCAAACCATAGGAAATCAAAAAAACTCTTTAATTTCCTGTTATTTCAATGTGAAAACTTATTAAGGGGTGAAACTTTAAGGGCATTCTTGTTGTTGATAGGTATGTACACCTCAAAGTCCCACCACGTGACCACGTACGGAACGCAGTCTTTTGAAAATTTGGCATTTAAGGCTTTTCAGGTTATGTATCTGTCAAAGTATAGTCAACGAAAGAAATAATATGTTTAGGCGTTAAAAATGTTTAAATCTTTATAACATTGGATTGTTTAAGAATTTAAGAATATAAATACTGCATTTAATGCCAAATAAGTAATATTTTTGTGCATTTGGTCCAAATATCTGGTTTTCTCCATAAAATAATTTTAACTAAACAGCATTTATTAAAAAAATCTAGCTTCTCCATTATAGAATAAGAATATCTGTTTTAAAGGTAGGTTAATATATTATAACAAAAATATCATCTAATTTTGTAATTTAAAGGTTAGAAAAATTTATTTTGACCAAAATAAATAAGTATTTAGGATTATTTAAAAGACAGTATAATATAGAATTTGAAAATGTGGTAGTTTTTCTTATCCAGCTTAAAGTGTACCCAGGACCGGGCCTAAGGGGGGTGTAGGGGGGGGGGGAGATAAAACTACTGAAAATTTTTACTATTACTAATAAAGTATCGATAAAAAAATAAGTTGGTTTTTTTATCGTCTCCACCCCCCCCCCCAAAAAAGTGTGCCTCGGTACGGCCCTGAGTGTACCTACATAAAGTTTTTTCAATAAAAATAGTTAAAGCTTCCACTGAATTTGATCTACATCAAAAAATCATTATAACTTTAAAATTTTTTAATAAATCACATGGCATGCATGCAATGTGAAAATATTTAATACTTCCATGGGAGTATTAAATATTTTCACATTGCAAGTTCCTCTAAAAATTGTTTGTTTTCTTATAATCTAACTTAAAGTAAGTATGCCGAGAGGTATGCACAAGTTTTGTCATAAGAAGCATAAAAGCTTCAATTTTTTTAACCATATTCAACAATTATTTAGTATACCTATATTTATTTATGACCACATTAACACACTCTTCCAAATAATCCACTTATTTTTTTTGGTCAAAATAGATTTTTCTAACCTTAAAATACAAAATTAGATGATATTTTTTGTTCTTATACATTAACCTACCTTTGATACAGATATTCTTATTTCATAATGGAGAAGGTAGATTTTTTTTAATAAATGCTGTTTAGTTAAAACTATTTTAGGGAGAAATGTAGACCCAATGCACAAAAATATCACTTATATTGCACCATACACTTTGAAATTTCATTAAATGCAGTATTTATATTCCTAAATTCTTAAACCAACCATTGTTATTGTGATATTATAAAGATTTATTAACTTTTAACGCTTAAACATAAGCGGTAACACTATAAATGTTATTTCTTTCATTGACTAAACTTTGACATAACCTGAAAAGCCTTGAATGCCAAATTTTCAAAATACTGCGTTCCGTACGTGGTCACGTGGTGGGACTTTGAGGTGTGGAGCATAGTACATCAATAAATATTCCTTCAAAACAAATCACTCTAATTTCTTTGGATGGGGTTACAAAAAAATGATTTTACATTTCTTTTGCTTGATTTAAAACCTGCAAAATATTTACTGTATATTTACTATTTTTTTATTGTTTTTTTTTATTTAGCGGTATCGATATGCCCTCCATTAAAGGGCCAAAGGAGCTATATTTTTAAACTGAAAACATTCAAAAATATCGGTAACTACAAGCTTGTAGAAGGAGCTATTTAGAATAATTATTGTGTTGTCTCTTTGATAAAAACAAAATGTTTTTATAAAAACAATGTTGCTACGAAATGTTTATTAGATGATGGGGCAACAATGATGGAAATCGACCACGACCTTCAGCAAGTCTACTGCGAACAAATGAAGGCCCCAGATGAAGCCTTGGGGATTTTGGTACCCAATGAAGAAACAGTGTCGCAGAGACTTACCACTCCGATCGTAACTTCTTTTGTGGACACCGAGAAAATTAGCTTTGAAAGGTAAGTCTCGAGGCAGTAGGCTCCGCCCCTTCGCCGACGCCATCTATCTGCGAAACTAAAATATAGTTAATTAAACGTGATAACTCCTATTTAACGCATGTAACAAAAGTACAACTTTTAATAATCAGCTGTCAAATGCGTGTTACAAACGAGTTTTTCTAAAAAAAAAATCCGGAAAATGTTAAAAAATATCGAATGTATTGTGTATTTCGAGGGGAAATCCTGGGTTGAGTTTTTATCGGTATTCCAATAAACAGTGTTAATCCGAATGAAGAAATAAATTGCGTACAGTCTCTGTAAATATAAATTGTATCGATTAAATGCAATAAATACACATTTTAGTAATGATTAACGTGAAAAGTGTAAACATTTCAATTCAGTAATAATCGTCAAACAAATAAGTCGTCTAAATTTAAACAGCATTTAGCATTATTAAAAGCTTTGATTAAGAAGTCTCCACTCAACGGTAAAATACCATTGTATTATGTATTATATATAATATTATGTTGCCATACATTCGTAGGTATATTTCGTTGTTTAAAATGCAGTTGTCGGCGTTTTTTAGAGAACTCAAATATAAATATGGTTGGTTTTAAGGTTATGTTTGTGCAAAAATTATTTTTTACTAATTTTTTAAAAATGTCCAAACTTAAATATAAATTATATTAGGTAAGTTATCATTAGTTAATTCTGCACCAACAAATGTACTTACCGAATTGGATCCTTTGGCAAAACATGAAAATGCAACGATTTAGTTCTTGAATTTTATTTACAATTAAAAACACAACAATTCACCATGATCCCTTATATAAAATACACACACTAACGTAACTATATAAGCATTTAAGCGTTAAGTTTCTTAATCAATGATATAAAGAATAATCAATCGAAATCGAGTAGTAAACCAGTTTTTTAGTTTTTTCCTTGCAACGTAAAACACAAATAACGTGCGCGATTTAGCTGGGCAATCGAACAAAATATGTCGAGTAAGACTCTCTTTTGTGAAAAAACTACCTATTTATTTAAAAATGATGTACAGTTCGTATGCTTTAAATGTATTGTTGACAATTCTTAAATTCACGCAATGCTTTTGTCCATCAGATGGCGCGCATACGCACTTGTTGTGCGACATGTAGAAAATTATTTGCACCACAATCCACACAACAAGTTTAGTTCTATCTCGTACTAAAAATACAAAAAATCACTGCAACACTGCACAGTTTAACGGCGGCCATTTTTGTTGTTTACAATTTTTGTGCTTTGGGTTTGTGCTATGTTTATACAGATTAATAATCGTTTTAAACGTTGTAATAGTAAGCCTTAAAAGAGGCCTTAAAGTGCTAAGAACGACCATTTTACTCCTCTGTTGTAAAAAATAAACTTTATTCTATCAGGGCTATCATAAAACTGTCAAATGTCAATTTTAAGGTTTAATTATAACCCACAAATTAACCTTCAAATTGTCATTTGACAGCCCTGATAGAATAAGGTATATTTATTATAAAAGAGGAGTAAAATGGTTGACCTTAGTGCTTAAAGGCCTTATTTGAGGCTTGCAAGTGGCTCTGTAAGAAACCCAACGTTTAAAACAATTATTAAACAGCACAAACCCAGAGCACAAGAATTGTAAACAACAAAAATGGCCGCCGTTAAACTCTGTGCAGTGTTGCAGTGATTTTTTGTATTTTTAGCATGACCTTGTTCCCTAGTAGCAATTCCGGAAAAGTCTTGGCCCAGCATGGGTCAAGATACTTTGGACAGATTTTTGCTCAAGAATTGTTCCAGATTCTTGGCCAAGATTATTGGGCAAGACTTGAGCCAGACTGTGGCCAGAATTTGACAAGAATTTGACCAGAAATCTGAGGCCATCTATTGCTAAACTTGGGACTATCCTATAGAGTAGAGGTTCTCATTCTACAGTATACTATAGCATCATTCACAATAATGTATACTAGTCGAGAAGTGAGTTCTCTGTAGGAAATGAGTATAGTTTTTTTGTTTATGTGAAAATACGAATAAGAGCTTATTGGATTCGTCTTCTAGCTGAGAAAAAAATTGGTTTTTTGAAAAATAAAAATTGTTATATCTAAAAATCAAAAATTAAAAAAAAAGTGTGTGTCAGCTCTGACGCATAACTAGAGTTTACTCTTTATGAACATGAAAGATTATAAAATACATGTTTATTTTTACGGGCACCTGGTTTTTTTTTAACATAGAAAATTAAAAACTTTAACTCTTTCAAAATTTGTTTCGTTTTTAATTCTATTGTTTACCAGATTTATGGATAAAAACCGAATTTACTGGAAAGAAATCGTGGAAAATTAATGTTTTTAGTAACATTCTTAACTTTTGAAGTTCAACAAAATTTTGTATTGACCAAAAATTTTGAATTGAAAGTTCCTATTTAACGTGTAATCGTGTAAAAATTCTTGGCCAAGAATCTGGTCAAATTCTGGTCACAGACTGCCACCAGTCTGGATAAAGAATTTTGATCAAGAGTCTTGGTCAAGAATTGTCCAATTCTTTACAAAGTGCTTCTCCAAGTATCTTGACAAAGAATCTTGTCCAATTCCATTGCTACTGGGGTTGTGTGGATTGTGATTCGCACGTTCTCTTGCAGAAATAAGGCGGGAATGTGGGGCTGGCGTTCGGACAAAACGGAAACGATAAACGGCTACGACTGCAAGGTTTTCGGGGCGTCGAACGTGGAGTTCATCACGAAAACCAGGACCGAGCACCTCACCGAGACCGACAAGCAGCGCAGCAAGAGCAACAAGACGCCGCTGCAGAATTTCCTCGGCATCGCCGAGATCACGGAGAGCGAGGCCGGCGTGGCCGCCGCGACGAATTTATCCGCCAACTCGAGCAACCCTTGCAACCTGACCGCGGAGCAGTACTTCGACCCGGACTGGGATCTGCAAGGCAAGGATATCGGCCGTCCGAAGGAGTTGAACGTCAAAGTGCAGAAGTTCCGCGCGAATTTGTGGCTGTGCGAGAAGTACCCGCTCTCGCTGCCCGAGCAGATCCTGCCCATCGTCGACTTGATGGCCATTTCCAGCTCGCACTTCGCCAAGCTCAAGGACTTCATACAGATGCAACTGCCTGCCGGGTTTCCAGTCAAAATAGGTAGGAAATAGTTATTTATGTCATTAGGTTAAGGAGTAAGGCTTTTTGTACTAAGCTCAAGGTAGTTAAATTTTTTCTGACCTATACTTTTTATGGTTTTATTCAAGGCGTTTTGTAATTTTAAACATTTCTGTGAAATCGGAATTTCAATTGAGTTTACCGTTTTCGAGATATTTACCCAAAAAAATCTCCTAATTACGTCACTAGGCTATTGACAACGTTGCCAGCTTTTTCTATGGTTGCCAGTGTGTTTAGTTTAAGATTCTTACGATTGATGGCGCCGCGTTATAATATTTTAGTTTTAAAACCACTTGATCTATAATTTTAGTTGAGAAGAAGAAGAAGAATTGATTTTTTGACGTTTCTTTTTTTCGGGTTATGTTTTTTTTTAAATTTAGATTATTGAAAATCAATGTTATTGTTATGTTATTTGTAATTGATATTAGATAAGTGATTTATTAATAACGGACTCCAAAGCAGAGGAATCTTGTGAAATGGTTGGTTACATTGAACATTGGAGCTTTTAAACAAATAAAGTAAGTACCTATAATTATAATCATATTTTGTCGTAAATGCATTTCATTAGTATAATGCCTAGTTCTTTATATTCTTTTAGATATATCTTGGACTCTAAAATATCAAACAGTAATATGATACCTCGTAATAAGGAAGATATGTAGGTACTTAATGAATTTGGTGACCATCTTTCACTCAACTGACAGTGACAGTATTTGTACATAACCTCTTCGGGTATTTTCTGACATAACCGAATGAAATCATTAACAAGACAACTTGACAACAGGGTAATTTTCAACCAATAGAAATCTTAGAATGTTGGTCACATGGCGAGGTTTGTGACGTCATAAAAATTTATATTTTTTGTAAATATCCCGAAAACGGTAAACTCAATTGAAATTCTGATTTCACAGAAAAATTTAAAACGCCTTGAATAAAACCATAAAAAGTTTAGGTCAGAAAAAAATTTAACTACCCCATTGAGCGAAGCACAAAAAGGCACTTCTTGGCCGAATGGCATACGACATTTTATCTTCAAAGCACTTTATATAGGTCAAATTAATTCAACATCAAAGCGGCCTAACCTCACTTTTTTAGAATTTCATTTACTTATTAGCTATAGCTATATATATAGATTACATTAAATGCACAATAATTATTATTGCTTTTAGAAGCAGTAATAGTTTGACAATACCTAGCAACATGATTTAAGTAGAAATGGATTTTTGCTATTACATTCAATTCAATTAATTGGCAGTTTGGAATGTTTTAGCTGTGTTTAACATTTATTTTCACTGAAAACTTAAAGAAAATTAAAACTTAAAGATAATTTAAATCGTAGAAAAAGAATCGTGCGTTTTCTTGGTTGCCTAACCTCACTTTTTGTTTTATTATTCATATTTAATTTTACAATAATTTAATGAAAAATATTAAACATTAACAGTAAAACAAACAAATTAGTGCTTATTATAAATAAATTAAACCAGTTTAGTACGTTAATTTCTTAGAAAAGGATTAATTTGTCAAAACAATACCCCTAGCGAGAAAAAATCGAACTAATTACTTGCCTCGTAAAATTTTTTATCGGCCCAGGCCATAACAAGGTATTTCTTTATCGAATGTTGACAACAATAAAGTTTAAATTATAGACCGCGTGGAGATAAATATCTTAACATGATGATTTTTTTATTTTTAATGAAACCTTGAAGTATCGATTTGTCGGTTTTTGAAAAATTTATCAGCGATTAAAAAAAATCTTTGATTGTCTCCCGGGCAAACACTTTTATTTTATTTTTCTATGAAACGTGCGGTAAACCACAATCCACACAACAAGGTCTGTTCGATCTCGTACTATACTAATGGCGGCCATTTTTGTTGTTCACAATTTTTGTGCTTTGGGTTTGTACAGATTAATAATCGTTTTAAAAGTTGTGTTTCTTACAGAGGCACTTGTAAGCCTCAAATTAAGCCTTTAAGTGCTAAGGACAACCATTTTACTCCTCTTTTATAATAAATATACCTTATTCTATCAGGGCTGTCAAATGACAATTTGAAGGTTAATTTGTGGGTTATAATTTAACCTTAAAATTGACATTTGACAGTTTCATGACAGCCCTGATAGAATAAATAAATAATTTTTTACAATAGAGGAGTAAAATGGTTGTTCTTAGCACTTTAAGGCCTCTTTTAAGGCTTACTATGAGAAACACAAAGTTTAAAACGATTATTATTCTGTATAAACAGAGCACAAACCCAAAGCACAAAAATTGTAAACAACAAAAATGGCCGCCGTTAAACTGTGCAGTGTTGCAGTGATTTTTTGTATTTTTAGTACGAGATAGAACAGACCTTGTTGTGTGGATTGTGGGTTTGACAAAATTGCTAGTCTCGAGGCTGTAAGCTCCGCCCAGTGTTACCAGATTCTGTCAAAAAAGGACCGTACGTTTCGTTCGAATTTACCTTAATTACCAAATGACACAATGAAACAATGCAATTATGTCAAGTTGACGTTATTTAATATTGTCCATTGAGTCATTTTTGTAATTAAGATAAATTCGAACGAAACGTACGGTCTTTTTTTTGACAGAATCTGGTAACACTGGCTCCGCCCCTCTGCCAACGCCATCTATCATTCATAACGTAAAACAATTGTCCTATTGACGTACAACGTGCAGAAACAGCATAGACTTACAGCACAAAGAGAAATCGAAAGAAAATTTTAGCCAAATCATTCTTTCAGAAATTCCCCTCTTCCACGTCTTGAACGCGAGAATCACGTTCGGCAACATATTCGCCATCGATTGCGAAGTGCCAAAAGTTGCCCGGCTGCAAGAAGAAGATCGTTTGACTTGCGTCTTGGACGAAACTTTGTTCCAGTGTCCCGCAGGATACACCCAGATCGGTATCGGTAATGCATGGTTTAGTTTTTTTTTTATTATTTTGCTTATTCTTATTGGTAAACTGCGATTTATTTAGCATAGATGGCGCCGCTTGCAGTCCAAGATTTTTTGTTTCACAGGCCACTTGATTTTATTACCTTTTTGGCTTGTTATTTTTCGATGAAAGAGAATGCTTTTAAGGGTTTTTACTTTCGACTTGGTAAAGTAGAAACCCCTCTTAAGTGTTGTCGCTAACTGAGCAGACTTTTCCAGCCGGCACCGACAGCAGACGGCCGTTCGTAGAAGACGAAGACGACCTTCTGCAGTTCGCGATACAGCAGAGTCTTATCGACGCCGGTACGGAAAAGGAGGAGGTCGACATTTGGGAGGCGCTCAAAGCGCAAAAGCCGTCCAGACCCTCCACCCCCAACTTCGCGGGGGAGGAGGAGAGACAACTCCAAAGGTAAGAAATAAATAAGTTTTATGTTTACTAAACTCTTTTCATTTATATTTTGACTAAAAATCAGATTAAATATTAACTAATTATGTAAATAATTTTTATCATTTTTATATATATTTTTTTTGATAATTTGACAGAAAAGCGTTAACTCCACAACCAACTGCGAAGTTTAAAAAGCATCAGAAAAAGACATCAATTTGAGTTAAAAAAAAAAGAATCAAACAACAAATTAAATTGCTTAACTTACAGTATGTTCAAAGAGGGAAACAATGTATTTTACATTTGTCAGAACGCATCATTTTTATTAGACTGGGCCAAAAAATCAACTATTTTTTTTGAAAAGTATATCAAAAATATGGTTTGGGGTGACAAAAAAAATTATTGTGAAAGTTTGAGTCCATAATATTAATATTAAGAAGTCTATCATCGCAATTTTAACTTTTTTTTTCCTCAGCAAGTTTTTGTCTCAGAACTCCCAAACCATTGAGTTTAACAAAATTGACTCGAAAATATTTTTTGAAGAAAATTGAATGCTATACAAAAAAGGTTAAAGTGGAATTTCCCGTCAGATAAACCGTTTTCTTACAATCATGCCTTAAAAATTTGTATAGTTTTACAATATGATCTTTTAACTTTAGAATTTTGTAATTCAAGAAAAAATCAGTACCCTGAAAAAAAACGATAAATATTCTTATGGGAAATCAAATGCTCTACAAAAAAAGTCCTTTATCATTTTTGGCTAAATTCACTCCATCAAAAGTTATTCAAGGTTAAATTTGAAGTGAAAACGAAATTTTAACCTTGAATAACTTTTGATTGAGTGAATTTAGCCAAAAATGTTAAGAGGCTTTTTTTGTAGAGCATTTAATTTTCTTAAAAAAATATTTTTAAGTCAATTTTGTTAAACTCAATGGTTTGGGAGTTCTGAGACAAAAACTTGCTGAGGAAAAAAAATTAAAATTGCGATGATAGACCTCTTAATATTAATAATATAGACTCAAACTTTCACAATAATTTTAATGTCACCCCAAACCATATTTTCGGTATAGTTGATTTTTTTGGCCCAGTATAGTACCTATAGCCTAATAAAAGAAGAATATTTTGATGCCAAAATATTTGTTAAAAACAGTTTTGTAATTCGTGCGTTTCGCGCTCTTGAAATGGCCCTGATAGAATAAGGTTTATTTTTTACAAAAGAGGGGTAAAATTGTTGTCCTTGGCACTTTAAGGCCTCATTTGAGGCCTCTGTGAGAAACACAACGTTAAAGACAATTTTTATAAACAGCACAGTTACAAGAATTGTAAACATCAATATTTTTCATTAGGTTTTGGTAATTTTTAGCAAGGTTTATGGAATGTTTAATTTTTAAATAATGTATACTTCCTTGCTTGTTTATATTCTTTATTTGCGACTAGTTTCGGTTATACACCATCTTCAGGCAAACTACAAATAATGAGGTATTAAATACGCGTATATTTTTAATATTACTTATAACAAAAATTACCTAAGTTACGTTAAGTTATTTTGGTTAAAATAACTAGTCGCAAATAAAGAATATAAACAAGCAAGGAAGTATACATTATTTAAAAATTAAACATCAATATTTTGTTTGGGGAGTGACAAAAAAATGTTCCCTCAAAACGAAAATATTGACTTTATATTGCTAAATTATATTTCATGTGTTGGCATTAAGCAATTTTTGACTTTTAAACCGTAGAAAGACAAATTTCGGATTTCACGAGACACTTTTTATTATTTTCTTTTTAATTTTAACGTAAAATACCGTAGCGAATAAAAAATGTCCCGTGGGAACCCCCAACGCTAGCTATTAGTAGGTAATGCCAACTGCAAACGCAAAAAGCGCGCTAACGGTAGTCGTATTTTGTTGTAGAGCTATTCAAGCTAGTTTAGAGTATTATCAGCAAGGCGCCGGCGCAGTGGAGTCCTCTCTGGAAAGCGAAAGTCCAAACGTGGACTCCGACCTCCACATGGCGCTCCTTTTGTCGGAAAAGCAGCGGCGAAAAGAGGAGGAGGAGCGCGAAGAGGAGCAGAAGATGCTCGAAGAAATTCTGAGGTTGTCTCTCACAGAAAAGTAAGTCTTACAGTACTTATTAAATTTATTCGAAAAAAAAGGACTGCAGAATCAAAACCATTTTATTATCTATGTGGGTTTTCAGCTTATTAATTCCATAAGATTTTATATAGGGCGTTCAGGTTACAACTCTGGAGTTGTAAGTTTGTAGCGCCCTCTATATTTTTACATAATAAGTGTATCAATTTTTTGATGATAAGGGGAACATTTTATAATTGAAAGTGATAGTTTTTTAAAGATTATATACCTCATGCATTACTTTGCTTAGTAAATATAAATTATTTTACACTTTAATAGGCTTCAATTTAATTTATTTTTTAATTATGTATGTATGTAATTGGTTTTGTTGGGTCCAAACAATTCTTATTTTACAAAAAAATGCTTTGATTTTTGTATATATACGTTTTAATAATTAATAATGTTGTAAATGTTTTGTTTATGTAATATAGAAATTTAACATTTTGTTTAATATTTATTATTATTAAATGTGCAAAATCTATTTATTTAGTAGTTCCTATTTATTATATTATAAATACATATATAACAATAAGAACAAAAATTATTTAATTGTGGCTAATATTGTATTACCTTGGAATCTAATAAATCATTTCTTCCAAATGCATTATTTTTTATTTTATTCAAACCTTAATTAATTATTCAACTCCAGCAGCCCTTATTTGACGGAAAAGTGTTAACTCCACAAGCATCAGAAAAATACATCAATTTGAGTTAAAAAAAAAGAATTAATAACAAAATAAATTGCTTTTTCGGGACATACAGTATGTCCAAAGGGGGAAAAATGTATTTTACATTTGTCAGAAAATTTTATTCTTGATTTTAAACCCCTAGAATGTGACGCATCATTTTTATTGTCTATGGTTAATTTGCAATTAAAATTTTTGTTTTTTTATCATTTTTTTAGGTTGGTGGCTTATGCCAGTTTGACTTAGTATTTTTAGTATATAAAAATGGTACTTCTGCTAAAAAATTTAATTAAATACTTTGACACTGTCAAATTGACAATAATATTTATTATTGATAATTTACTTGTCAATTATAAATAAAAAGATAATTATGCCAAAAATAATAGCAACGAATTCGAATGTAAAAGCCCTTTTGAGGGCAAAACTTCATTTAGATGAAATTATGCCAAATGCCACAATGGAAGAAAAAGTACATTGCCTTATATACATTTTTTGAGTAAAAAAGTAACGAATTTGGTTTTATAAATATTACCTAACACATTATTTTCACATTATTCACCATTGGACAACATTTACGCTCACAAAAAATTTTAATTTCTTTTATATAAATTCTTTTCAAAGCGAAGATTATTATCCGCTAGGAATACTTTCTCTTCTGGGCCGTAAAGCAACCTAAGTATAGGTATTTAACTACTTTTTTTATATGATTTTACTCATCCAAGCACCACCAAAGCCAAATTAATTGCATTTTTAACTACGAATTTGACAACTTCACAATGTAACCTACAATAATTTATACATAACCACAATTAGATTTATAACTAGCTTAGTTTGTTTTAATCAATGCCAATGCCTGTATTTACCAAACAAAATCCTAAATTTGCAACGTTGCCGCAGTCCAGATAAAAAAAATGAACTTTAGCTACCATTTGAGCACATAACCTAAAATTTGAAAGAAATGCACTAGATTCTGTCATAAGTTGCCAAATTTTGTTTAAATTTACCTTCATTACAAAAATGACATAAACAATTAATAAAAACGCCAAATTAACAATTCGCATTGTTGATTTTGTCGTTTTTGTAATTAAGCTGAATTTAAACAAAATCTGGCAACTTTTTTTGACAGAATCTGGAAACGCTGGGTATTACCAACCATAACATAATAATTTAAATTAGGCAACCAGATTAGCCTAAAGTTCCTAGTTGATCAGTGACATTATTTTTAGGATTTAGACAAAAAAAGTTTCAACAGTGATATTTTTAATAAAATATAGAGCATTTAATAAATTTTAGAGTCAAATATTAATAAACTAATTAGTTCTGTTGTTTTACAGCAAAATGGTTGAAGTTACAGGTTAAAGATAAAAAATGCAAAATCTATTTATTTAGTAGTTTTATTTATTATATTATAAATACATATTACAATAAGAAGAAAAATTAAATGTGGCAAATATTTTTTATTTCTAATTAATTATTCAACTCCAGCAGCCCTAAAAAACAATTTTAGCAATAAAAACAAAAAAAAAATCAAAGAAAACTCACTTGCTATGAATTACTTGCAATATACACATACTATAACTGTATCTTTCCTCATTTTTGGCTGCTGTACTTATCCACTTCTTCTTAACGTTCACCCACCTCTCCAAGTTGTTACGAATCAAGGTATTTTTATCCACTGGGGGGCATTCATCCTAAAAAACAACATTTATCAGAAACCCCAAACAAAATTATCCACTTACATAATTTAAGTTAATATTGTCCTTATCTTGAGCCTGTTCAGGCAATGGAGATGGTATCCTCGAAACACAAGGTTTAGATGGAGGTGGTAGTCTGTGAATTTCCGCATTCGGGTCGTAACATGGTGGTTCAGGCTCGGGAGATGATATTCTCCTCCTAAAATCACAGAAAATAACAAAAATACACCACGATTATTATATTACTTACTTTATGATTGCTGAAGGGTTTCTGGGCTGATTCTGCATCCAAGCCCTACAAATAGGATACAAAGGGGTATCCTCTTCAAATCTAGCCAAATCCACACTTCTATCAAACAGTTTCATCACATAAGTATGATGGTAAGGGGTTGGCATTTCACTCTTACGTTTCCTATAATATAATATAATAAAACACATTGTTTGCACTAACAATAAATCAAATTTTACCCCTTGTGCCTTCTGTTATCATCGGAAGAATCCGAATCATCGGATTCACTCCTCTCTTTTAGTTGCCTCAAAACTCCTTTGAGCCTCCCTTTCGCGACCAAATAATCATTTCCGCCCGTATTTTCCTCCTTCACCTCGACTTTTTCGATTTTGAGGGAGTTTGAGGACAAAAGCTTACGTTTTTTAGTCATTTTTATTCAGTTTTAATAGTGTTTGAAAATACACACAACAATTTGACAGATGAATGCCGCAGTGCTACCAATTTATTTCTTTGGGGCTACCAACATTCCGAAAAGTAACTAGAATTACGACGAAGTGTTGCCAACGTGCAGAAATAATCAGCTGTGAGGAAAAAAATTGTAATGTTTACTTATGCAGTGGTTGACTTATTTTCACTTGGTTTTATTTTTTATGTAATTTGATAAGCCGTTCTATTGTTGTAGAAGTTATATAAATACATTTTTTGTTATCATTTAGTTTATTTTAGTAAGTGACGTCACGTCATGTCCATATAAGTATACTGTGATAAAATTGTGGAAATATTTTAAGGTAAGAGTTATTTCATTTTGTTTATCTACCACTATATTTAATACAACAGTGTATTAATTTACACATTAGTGAAAAGTAAGGTTAAGACCGTTTGACAAATGTCAGATTGGTCAGGTTAAAATCGCTTGACACTTGACAGATGTCAGATAAAATTTTAAATTAAATTAAATTCTATAAAACGTTACCTCTCAAGGTCTCTAGTTTAATTATTAATAGAATATATAATTAAACCCGCTTTATTTATAAAACATTGTTGCATTTTAAACAATATTTTTATTTTAATGGTCAGGGCCGGACTCCACAGAAAATGGCCTGCGAATTAAATGAAATCCTTCCCCGGGATTTAGAACCTACTCATTACAGGTACTTTGAACATTATACACTAAATTAATATTACTAATGTGTATTTTTTTAGAATAAAAATAATTCCGAATTTAAAAACTTTGGATATTAGTGGGGTAGTAAGAATAACATTCATAGTTAAAAATGAAACTAATAAAATTATTTTTAACTTATCTAACATAATAATAGTTGAAGAATCTGTAAAAATTACACAGAAAGAAAACTCAAAGTCAATTGAAATAAAATCACAAAACTATATGGAATGTTGTTTGTACGAAATTGCATTAAATAACCCCCTAAAAGTCGAGGAAGAATATTTTTTGGATTTGGCTTACAGTGGGGAGTTGAATAAATCTTTGCAAGGTTTTTATAAAATGACTTACTTGGATAATTTTGATGATGTAAGAACTGGAGCAAGTACACAATTTTCTCCTACTGATGCTAGAAAAGCTTTTCCGTGTTTTGATGAGCCCCACTTTAAGGCTACATTCAGAATAAGTATAGCAAGACCCAGTGATATGAAGACTTTATCAAACATGATTTTGGAGAAATCTGAGCCAATGTAAAAACAATGTAAAACGTTTGGTTTGGATATTTTAATTTTTTTTTCAGTATTGGTAGTGATAACTATGTTTGGGATCACTACCCAGAGACCCCAAAAATGCCCACATACATTGTGGGCTTCATGATAACGACGCTAAAAACCACCAGTAACCTGGATAACTTGATAAGGGTGTGGTGTAGGGGTATTCTTTTGGGCCTAACTGACTTTGCCACTGATTTAGCTCCAAAAATACTAAATTATCTCGAAGATTATTTTGATATTAAATTTCCTTTGCCAAAAATGGACTTGGTGGCTGTACCAGAGTTTGGCCCAAACAACACAGTACGTTTTAAAAATGTACATTTTAGGTTTTATTTACGTACTTACGTCTTAAGACCAAAAAAATATGTATTAAGTACGTACTATATAGTATGTACATAAAATGTTAAGTTCAGTACGTTTTAAAAATGTACATTTTAGGTTATATTTACGTACATACGTATTAAGACCAAAAAAATATGTATTAAGTACGTACTATATAGTATGTACATAAAATGTAAAGTTCAGTCGTCCTCAGTACGTACATAGTATGTACGAAGAAGGTATGTATACTTAACCAAAAGTTTGAACAAAAAACTTATGATAATTGAAGGGGTTAGAATAAAAAGGGTATAAGTAACATTTTCATTTTTTGGAGATATTTCTAGTTATGTTACCATAAAAAAGTGAGGAATTTTGTTTAGTAATGTTTTTCTACTGGATAATAGAGGTCCCTAGAAGTATGAAAATTACTTAAATCCTTTTCATTTCGATACGTCGGAACCTTATCTTTCACAAAACGAACTTATCTCCTAAATTAAAGAAATTGCACTTATACCCTTTCTATTCTAACCCCTTCAATTTCAAATTCTTATTTTGTATACATACCTACATAATTCGTATAATACATATATAAGATCCTTTAAAATACGTTTAATATATTAAACAATTAACAATACCAAAAAATAGTGCAAGGAAAACAAAATCATAATCAAATTTGAAATTTCCGCCACAAAAATGAATATTTATGCAGCACCGCCAAATCTATTATTATTTCTGAAGGAATCCTAATATTTAAATTGAAAAGCTAATGATTTTTTTAATGGTATGCTTAATTATTCTGAGTAAAGATAGGTGCAAGATGTATTTGCAATTTTTTAATTTCAGGTAAACAGAAGTATATAGGTAACACTAGTATAAATTGAGACTTTGGCAACGTTGCAAGCTGCAGCAACCTTCTTTATCTTTAGAAAAAGTGCGCGCTTGAAACGGTTTTTTCTGTGGGTTTTTTTAATAATTATTGCTGTTTAAAGTTTTCTGGTATGTACTTGGTATTATTATTATTTCTTTATTAAATCTAGTTATTGTTATTATACAGACACGAGTAACTGGTTACAAACGTTTGTATAGGTTAGGTTGTTAGGTAGTAAGCCTAGATAAAATCTAGGGTAGTAAGGGCTCTTTTAAGATAGGTAATTTGTTAACTCGGCTTAGGTATGTTAGGTAAAAATAAAATTAGTAAGCATTACAAAATAACAAAGAAAAAACTAGAAGCTTTTGAGGAATCAGTAAAAAACAATTGTAACGTTATAAACAATTATAATCCAGAAAACTCTCCAGGTTGTTCTATCCCATCTGTATCTGGTAGTAGTGCAGTTGAGGGTTTCGTATATGATGCTGATGTAGCTATAAAATCCAACTCGAAACCACCTACCTCTTTTGATAAACCCGAGGATGAACCATTTTTAGATTCAGATAATAATTTTAGTGATGATGATAATATTGAATTAACTTCTGATACTACATTAATTATTCAAAACAAACCTTCATACAAATCCAACTCATTACCTGTACAAATTTCAAACTGGGCTGTTAATCATAACATTACGCAGGTAGCTTTAACAGGTTTATTAAAAATTCTTAAACCTGCACATCCAGAGCTGCCTGCTGATGCAAGGTCTCTTTTAAAAACTTCTCGGGAGAGTAAAACTACACTGATAGAACCAGGAGAGTATTTTCATTTTGGATTGGACAATTGTGTCCAATCTCTTTTACAAATTTGTTTTCAAGACCAAGCATTAGAAACTATCGAAATTCTGGTCAATATTGATGGATTACCCCTATTTAAAAGCTCTGGTAGCACATTTTACCCTATTCTTGTTAGTATTTATGGATATAAAAATGTTGATTTAGCTGGGTTATATTATGGTGACTCTAAACCAAAAAATTCTAATTCATTCTTAAAAGAATTTGTCGAAGAAGCCAAGTTTTTAACAGAAAATGGGACTTTATTTCAAGGAAAAAGGTTGAATTTTAAAATTAAAGGGTTTATTTGTGATGCTCCCGCAAAGTCCTTTATTTCATTTACAGCTGGGCATTCAGGATACAACTCATGTACTAAATGTTGCATAAAAGGGCATTATATTAACTCAGTGTGTTTTCCAGAAACTGTAAATTTAAAATTACGCTCAGATTTTGACTTTCGTCAAAAAACTCAGCCGGAACATCATACAGGAACATCAATCATAGAAGAAATCCCAGGTTTAGATATGATTAAGTGTTTCCCATTAGACTACATGCACCTAATTTGCTTGGGTGTTGTAAAAAAATTAATTTCATTCTGGTGTGCAGGTAAACCTGAAACTAAGTTGTCTCACATACAAATTTTAGAAATTTCTAATTTATTAAACCTACAAGTAAAAAACATACCATCTGAGTTTAATCGAAAACCACGTCCACTTGTAGAATTTAAAAGGTGGAAAGCAACAGAATTTCGACAATTTTTACTCTATACTGGGCCAATAGTTTTAAAAAATATTTTGTCTTTTGATAAATACATAAATTTTCTGTGTTTACATGTTGGTGTAACAATTTTGTGCAGCAATCACAATATGTCATTAATAGGTACTGAATATACCCAGCAGTTATTTAAATATTTTGTTGACACATTTATTACTTTATATGGGAAGAAATATGCGTCCCACAATATCCACAATTTACTGCATATTACAGAAGATGCAATTAATTTTGGAACATTGGATACATTTAGTGCATTTTGTTTTGAAAATTTTATGCAGAATATTAAGAAAATGGTCAGAAAAAAAGAAAAGCCTTTGCAGCAAATAATTAACAGAAAATCAGAGATAGATTTATTTAAAAACATAAATAAAACTACTAGTAGCTTCCCAAATTTAAAAAAAGAATATTTTTATGAGGGCCCACTTTTAGAGTTTCAAAATTGTTCTGTCTCTCACTTTAAAGAAGTGGAACTTGAAAATTGTGTTTTAAAAATTTTTGAACCGGATAATTATTGTTTTTTAAAAGATAAAACAATTGTATGTATCAAAAATTTTATTAAAACACAAGATGAAATTTATTTATTTGGAGAAAAAGTTTTGGGAAAAAGCAGTTTTTTTGAAAAGCCTTTAAAATCTGAGGAATTGGGTATATATTTGGCTGAAAAAGAGAATGCACCACTCAGGACCTGGAGCTTAAGCTGTTTTGCCTATAAGCTTGTCAAACTTAACTATCAAGAAAAGTTTGTATTTTTCCCTCTTTTACACATGGTGTAGCATAGATTGAAAATATCTAGTTACCTATCAGGTTCAACAAACATACATAAAACTTCTTCAGAACCTTTTGTCTTAGTAAAATTTTAAAAAAAGTGATATAATATACCTATCTTTTGACATAAAAATTTTCTATAAAATAAATTAGTTCATTTAACCCTATTTTTTTGTAATTTTTATATTCTCTATAAGATTATAAGCATTTTCTCTGAACTTTTTCTAGTTATTGAGGGGTAAAAATTGCAAATATTAATTTTTAACATATCAAAACCCCCAAACCACTTTTTTTTTTCAAGTTTTCTGTTTCTTTATTTGGTGCAGTAATTTTTTTTAGTTTTGATCTAAACACAAATTTTTAATCTGTGAGTAATTTTTAATGAGCAAAAGGATTTTCACCAGTCATTAACTAAAAAGCAAAGCCTTTGAAATTGCTAATTTTTTATCACCCTGTACATAGTGAACCACAAGGTGAACACCTGGGTGAATATTTAAAAACTTTTCTGTTTTAGACCTACTGATTTCTTTTTTCTTTGTGTTACTTTATGTGTTGCATTTTACAATGGTTTAATCCATTTCTACATTTTTAATTTAGATATTTTTTGATTTAGTGTACTTTTTTAATATCAGGAGGTAGTAAATTGATTATTCTTTGACCTACATAACTTGTGTAGTGTTGTGTATGGGTTAACATTAATTTATTTATTCTAATGAATATATTATGTCGTACATTTAGTCTCATATTTGTATGTTGTGGTTGGGCTATTTTGAGATTGGTGCTTTTGTTAACATTAATAAAATAAAAAAATTCTTATAAGAGGGTAGTAAAACTGTTAAAGCCGTTTCATGATAAAATCTAAAGTTTTAACTGTAAAAGGTGTTTGGTGGTGGTATTATAAAATAAGTTGAAATGGCAGAAGAATCTGAAATAGGCCAAAAAACTTGGACCATTGTTAAGTTTGTAGAAGAAGATACTGTTGCCATGGTTCCCACAGTGTGGATAACTAATACTGAAAATGGATGGAATTGTTTTTGGCCTCCACTGCCAGCAAACAAAATATCGGTAGCTGTAAAGACGCACCAGATTAATACCTGTTGGCCATCATTTAAAGTTATCCTGTTCAGAAATGCCACTTATGGTAAGTATGTTTTCTCTACAAATAACTGTTAACAAAATGGGTGTTTTTTGTACATTTTTTTGACTAAGCTTTTATTAATATTGTTTTTAAATACTTACCTATATCAAAATTTTAATATTTTGAATTTGTTTGAAGTTTGACAAAAAAAATGATCACAAAGATGTGATGCTTTAAACATTTTGTCAAGGGATTTTGTATTTGGAATTTATGATTTAAATTGCCTAAATGGGAAGTCACAGAAAAATCTAAGCCTAAATTTGCTTGATTATAGTTCATTTTACTTGATTTCAACAAAAATGTACACATCATTTAAACACACCCAGAATCTGATATAATTAGGACTTAATTTGTATATTTAGCCATATATTATAATGAAAATTTGGTACATTTTGTAGATGACTATCAACTAGCAAGAAAGGCAGCCTCAAAAGCTGAAGAGACCAGCGATTTAAATACGGATATTGATGTTCCTGCCAAAAGAAAGAGAACCATTCGAGTATTAAGTTCTTCCTCGGAAGAAGACATTTTAGTGAAAATTAGAACCCCCCCGAAATTTAATAGGGGATCGTCCAAAGCAAATTATAAAAAAGGTATGTGATACAAATATACAATATGGGAATCCCAATAAATATTATAGATGTGTTCAGGCGTTTTTAGGTTGTGTCAGAATAGAGTAATTGCATCAAAAATGAAAATCCCTAAAAACCTCTTTAATGTAATCTAGAGGTAAAAACACATTGTAAAAATATTTTTTTATATTCCAAAAGTTCAACCCGGCCCCAAAATATCAAATTGAAAAAAAGGTACTTTTCAAACGTTCCGAACTCCCGCCATATTGCATGACGTCATAAGCTTCACCAGCTGTCAGAAATCAAGATGTCAACAAATAATAAACACCGATAAAGTTTATGTTTAACATGAAAAACGCGAAACCAAAAATTGGTTGTAAATATTGTTTTGTGCCTTGTTGTACAAATACAACCTGGAAAACTCCTGGGAAAGTTGTCCCTTCAATTATCAAAAGCAAAGTTTATGACCCTACACTGAGAGTAGTTACGGCTCAGCCGTATTTTCTTGAATTTATTAATATTTAACATACCTATTCAAACCATATACATAGTAAACGACATTTTATTTTACTTACATTAAAATGATCCTTAAAATGAGCAATAAAATGGTGACGATGTTTTGATATCGCGCCGAGCTATTTTAATCCACTTTATCCTTATTTTCCCTTTTGGCACGGTGATAAACCTTTTCCCAGGAGTTTTCCAGGTTGTATTTGTACAAGGCACAAAACAATATTTACAACCAATTTTTGGTTTCGCGTTTTCCATGTTAAACGGTGTTTATTATTTGTTGACATCTTGATTTCTGACAGCTGGTGAAGCTTATGACGTCATGCAATATGGCGGGAGTTCGGAACGTTTGAAAAGTACCTTTTTTTCAATTTGATATTTTGGGGCCGGGTTGAACTTTTGGAATATAAAAAAATATTTTCGCAATGTGTTTTTACCTCTAGATTACAATAAAAAGGTTTTTAGGGATTTTCATTTTTGATGCAATTACTCTATTGTCATTAGAAAAAACTTTCTATTTGTTTGTCCATTTTTTGACTTTTTGTACATCTCATTTTGTTAATAATGGCGATTAATTTATTGATACGAATTTGGTAAAAAAAATTCTTCACTATTTGTAGTTAAAGTGGCAACACAAAATTTGGAACCAACTTTTCAATCAGAAGGCCATGATCACACCCTGTTCGAACAGAATGACAACTTTGAGCAAAGTACATCAAAAGGTATGCTCAAATTAATTAAAGATCTCTTATTTACTTTCATTTAGGTAATATTGATTTTACATTATTTTAGACAAGAACCAGCTTAGTCCAACACAAAATTTGGGACCAACTCTTCAAGCACGAGGCTATGATCATGACCTGTTCGAACAGAGTGACAACTTAGACCAAAGAAGTACATCAAAAGGTTTAATTAAATTAATTGAAGACCTTTTATTTACCTTCATTTATGTAATATCATATTTACATTATTTTAGACAAGAACCAGATGCTTAGTCCAAATGAAAGATGCAATCCAGAACAAGAAGTTAGACAAGAAAATAATCCTGTTAATTGTACATGTTGTCCTGTTCATGGTAAGAGATATCTATTTGAGATGCAGCATATTTTTTTTTAGAAATTTAAGGTTCAGATATAAATTTATTTTAATAGAACATAATTGTTTATACTTTTTAAATACTAGAGTACTGTAACAAAAACTGCATATACTTGAATAATTATAATGTTCAATAATTATTTTTAGTTCATTATACAAAAGAAATTTTAAAGCAAATTATGTTTCTCAAAAGCCGAGTGAATGACATTCCAATTGAGCCAGTTTTAAACCCTGGTTTAAATCATTTCACTCAACAATCACTCTTTGAAAATCCGGTGATAAATGAAGAAGCCCTGTCAGAACTAAATGATGCTCTAAAAAATGGGGAATATTTTGAGAAAGCAGTAAGTTATAACATATCAAACTTTGTAGTTTTTCATTTAACATTAACATTAAAAAAATAGTTATTAAATTAATTAAAACAGCTTCTAGTGACATAAAGCTTAACTTCTTTATTTGACATTTTTTAAAAAGAAATATTAAATGTGGACACAGTTATTTGGTGCTGCATGAATGAACAATGCCCTTAAATATTTAAATATTATTTTAGGTTAATGAGCTATCTAGAATAGGAGGAAGAAACATTTATGACTTCGTAGTTAGATGTTTAAAAAAACTAATATCAAATGAATTAGCTAACCAATATAGTTGGCTAGGCAGAAGATCTAAAAAAAATTTTAGCCAAATGGAAGTCACAAAGTTAATTATGGGTGAGGATACTGTAATAATAATAATGTAGTCATATGGATTTTGTAATAGGACAAATTGGCATAAATAGAAAAATTGTTTGAATTTTTATAAAGGCAATTTACATTTTGGTGGTTTTTGATTAATTCCGAAATATTGATTATTTAATGAGTTGAAGATTCACTTTTTCAAATTCAATAATATTATATTTTAATTAAATAAATTGAAGAAAAAATTCTCTGAATTTTTTTTATTTTGAAATTATCTACATGCACATCAAAAAGATTTTAAAACAGTTGTTTAGTATTATTTTAAAACAGTTTTATAGTATTATTTAAAACCAAAATAAAAAACTTTATTTTTAGCTGCTGCTGAAGCTGGGGGCAAGGCGAATAACAAAAAGGAGATGGAAGATGCAATATCGGGCTGGCTTCGAAGAGCAAATGATAGGTTAAAATCAAAAAAAAACTAATATAATTTTGTGTTTAACTTCAAAATAAAAATAATTTAAACTAAAAGTGTATATTTATCATTAATCCTAGATACAAGCCCTTTTATTTGAATAAAATTTATTTAATGCATATAAATGGATTGGGTAGTACCTAAGAATTTAGTCATCATTTATTTTTAAGGATTAATTTTATTGAAAATTATAAAAAAATTTGTTGACTAGTGAGAATCAAACTCAAGATAGTAAAAAAATCTATGTGGTGGTAATATATATATATATATACATATATGAATATGTCCTCAGAAAAAGAAGCCTGTTCTGAAGTATTTAGGTAAGCTTAATTTGTTAGATCATTGGATGGGTCACACCACCCATACTTGTAGTAAAAAAAAATCATTAACAAAAATTCAAACACTAAACATTTTTTTTATTGGCTTCAAGGTTGTGTCATCTACGGTATAAAAGTACGTTTTATTTAGGTACAAACTACGTTCTAAATACTTAGTTAATGTACATACATAAAACGTATTATCGGGTGGAATTTGGACGTACTTAGAACGTACTTAGGATGTACATAAGATATCGCAGTACGTACATAAAATGTAAGGTACGTCGAAGGTCGACGTACTATGTACGTACATAAAATGTAAACTGGTTGTTTGGGGGGTTTAGTGCTATGGAGAACTATGGGATGATCACATTCAGGTAAGAACCAAAGTAAGGTGTAGCCCACTTATTGGGCGTTTTTTGATAAATCTGTTGTCAGATTTGAAATCTACGACCTCGATTTAGTATTACTTGACACCCAACACAAAAAACTTGAAAACGTGATTTAAACATTTTTACTTAACTTTCTCAATAACTCTCTGAAGTATTCACAGTCAAAGTTGATGTATGTTCTGATTTCCATACCTGAGTCAAGTGTTCAAATTTAAAATTCTTTTAATTAAAACTGTATATCATTTTATAGGTACTATGCTCCACACCTCAAAGTCCCACCACGTGACCACGTACGGAACGCAGTCTTTTGAAAATTTGGCATTCAAGGCTTTTCAGGTTATGTATCTGTCAAAGTATAGTCAATGAAATAAATAATATTTAAATATTATTTATTTATAATATAAGCGGTAACACTATAATTATAGTGTTACCGCTTATGTTTAAGCGTTAAAAGTTAATAAATCTTTATAGTATCACAATAACAATGGTTGGTTTAAGAATTTAGGAATATAAATACTGCATTTAATGAAATTCCAAAGTGTAAGGTATAAGTGATATTTTTGTGCATTGGGTCTACATTTCTCCATAAAATAAAAGTTTTAACTAAACAGGAAATATTTAAAAAAATCTAACTTTTCTAAAATAAGAATATCTGTATCAAAGGTAGGTTAATGTATTAGAACAAAAAATATCATCTAATTTTGTATTTTAAGGTTAGAAAAATCTATTTTGACCAAATTAAATAAGTGGATTATTTAGAAGAGTGTGTTAATATGATCATAAATAAATATAGGTATACTAAATAATTGTTGAATATTATTAAATTAAATTGAAGCTTTTATACTTCTAATGACAAAACTTGTGCATACCTCTTGGCATACCTACTTTAAGTTAGATTATAAGAAAACAAACAATTTTTAGAGAAACTTGCAATGTAAAAATATTTAATACTCCCATGACATGTGATTTATTAAATTTATAGTTATAATGATTTTTCGATGTAGATCAAGTTCAGTCAAAGCTTTTTAACTATTTGTATTGACAAAACTTTATGTAGGTACACTTTAAGCTGGATAAGAAAAACTACCACATTTTTAAATACCATATTATACACAGTCTTAAATAATCCAAAATACTTATTTATTTTGGTCAAAATAAATTTTTCTAACCTTAAAATTACAAAATTAGATGATATTTTTGTTATAATATATTAACCTACCTTTAAAACAGATATTCTTATTCCATAATAGAGACGCTAGATTTTTTTTAATAAATGCGGTTTAGTTAAAATAATTTTATGGAGAAAACCAGATATTTGGACCAAATTCACAAAAATATTACTTATTTGGCACCATACACTTTAGAATTTCATTAAATGCAGTATTTATATTCTTAAATTCTTAAACCATCCATTGTTATTGTAATGTTATAGAGATTTATACATTTTTAACCCCTAAACATATTATTTCTTTGACAGATACATAACCTAAAAAGCCTTAAATGCCAAATTTTCAAAAGACTGCGTTCCGTACATGGTCACGTGGTGGGACTTTGAGGTGTGGAGCATAGTACATATTTATTTATATTTTAGAGAAAATGTTCTTCTATGCAACAAAAATGCCTCTATAGACGAAAAAAAGAAATCTGCCTTGGTTATGGGTCATGAAATAGCGCACCAGTGGTTTGGTAATTTAGTAACACCCAGTACATGGAACGATTTGTGGCTTAAAGAAGGTTTTGCGACATACTTCGAGTACCTCTCGGTCGATAAAGTCGCAAACTTCGAAAATGTTAATCCCGCAAATCTTTGACTTGAAAACTTTTAGGCGGAACCATCGTGGGAGGTGATGAACGATTTTATCCAATCGGAAACGTCGAGAGCGTTCCAAGTGGACGCGTTACACTCCGCGCGACCGATCTCGGCCCACTTGATAAACTGCCGGCAGATCAGGCAGACTTTCGATGCCATTTCGTACGCGAAAGGCGCTTGCTTGGTTAGGATGATGCACGACTTTTTGGGAGACGGGGTTTTTCAGGACGGCATACGCACACTTTTGAGGAAATACGAGCACGGAAGCATCGATTGCGATCGTTTGTTTGGTATTTTCGAGCCAAAGGAGCTAAGTAAGGAGTTTGTCAAGGTGGCTATGGAGAGTTGGACTAAGCAGGCTGGGTTTCCTGTTGTGAATGCCAGTTTCGATGCGGGATCTAGTAGCCTTACATTAACTCAGGTATGGTGATATCACCCAGCAAACACATAAGTCTGATTATGTAATGACGCAGATTTTAGTTTTTTCCTACACCCGCCTTCCGCCTACATGTTTTTTTTTTAAATATTGAATAACCAGAACTTTGTGTTGCTTTATAGCAATCCATAACATCCTTAGTTAATACAGTAAACAATTTATATATAAAATAATTAATTTTAATCTACTTTTTTTAAATTTGACTCATGTCCCAGACATTTTTTCCGTTGCCTTACGCCCGTCGCGTTACCGATAGAATATTAAACTTTTAAACTTTTTTGGCACTCACGTGATCAACAAATGATGTTCGGACGTACACATTACCCAGCTGAATTTATTTATTCAATCAGGAAGAAGATATCGGTTGAAACAGGTGCGGGTAACGCGAATGTAATAATTGTTTGTCCGTTACTCAAAAAAATAATAAAAATAAGGTAAGAAAAAATACTATTTTTCATGTTTATCTTTATTTTTGGACACTAAAGCTCATTGAGAGTAATTATAATGACTATAATGTCTTAAATATGGTTTAACAAAACTTTGTCCACTGCGTTACCGAGTCCACTATGTTACCTTATGGTAACGCAATGGAATTTAGGGTAACGCAATAATTTTTCAACAACAAAGTGGATATTTACCGTCGCTTTTATTAAAAGTAGTTTATGCTTAACCAATTTAAAAGTATTTGTAATTACAACTCATGATATAGATTACATCCAAGGAAAAATTCCACGCAATATAAAAGTACTAAAAGGGCCCTTCACCAGCTTATAGTCAAAGAAAAAGGGTGTCTACAATTTAGAAATCTAAGTTGTTATTCTGCAAGTGAGCACCACTGCAAGGGATTTTGTTTATGCATTACTCTAAAATCGTACCACCCTATATAGTTTCTTTTTTACGTTATCTGATTAAGTCCTTTGTGTACCCCTGTCCTGTCCCTGTCAAAAAATGGTTGTGTTTCCTGGGATTTCAGTTCTCTGCTAATTTTAATGTTTTTATCCTACAGGAAAGATTTTACTACAGCAATGAAGAAGACAATGAGCAACTTTGGTACATCCCAGTGCAACTAATTTTTGATGACTTAGACATAGACGAGTTTTTCTGGCTTAAAGAAAGAACCAAAACCTTTGAAATTTCCATTGAAGATTGGTACCTTCTCAATCTAAATCAAACTGGGTATTACATTGTCAATTATGACCTTGAAAATTGGCAAAAACTCATAAAAAATATCGAAATATTTCCCACCTTAACCCAACTTCAACTTATAGGTGACTCCATGGACCTAGCCAGAGCCAATCAACTAAATTATTCAGTGCCCTTAAGTTTGATTAAAAAAATCTCTGAAAGTCAGGACTTTAAAGAGTGCTTTGAGAATTTGATAAACGAAAAATTGAGTTACCTTAGGAATTTTTTGAGCAGCACCCCATTGCACTCAGTATTAAAGGTATTTGCGGTATTTTTATCAACTGTTATATTATACATACTTTTTTAGGATTTTCCAGTCATAAAAAATCACAGACCCGCTTTAGCAGTGTGCGGTAAAATTTGCACGTGCGAAGAATGCAACTTTTTACGAACGTAAGTTGGTGCGCACTCTTGGGATGCGCGACCATAAGCTGAGTGCGCACTATTGGCCGACTATACCTATCGAAAGCTTTATTATGCGTGAATTTCATAAAATTAACTTTTTTGCAGAAACTTAAGTTCCCTAATTCAAGAAAACTCGACTGTCAGGGTACAAGACGCTGGTTCCTTATTCGCGGCCATAGCTAAGCAAAATTGCCGCTTGGCTTTTAATTTTCTTCGTAAAAATTGGCATAAAATGCTGAACAGGTAATTTTTTCGAAAGATAATATACCAAAAATCCCCAACCTAGTGCATAGATGTCCGGTCTCTGGTTTTAAACACTTTATTTTTGTAGATATGGCGATGGTTTTAGTATTATGGCACGAATGATAACGTGTTTGGCTGCCCATATGAACGAAGAAAATGATATACAAGAGGTATTAAACATATAGTTATTTTCTCATTTTAATTACATAATTGTTATATTTTTTAGTTTATAGAATTTAAAAACTCTGTCGAAAATAATATTGGTTCTACTTCTGAAGCATTTGAAATAGCAATTAATACAATTCAATCCAACCTAGAATGGATTGAAAATAACTATAAATCTGTCGAAAACTGGTTTAGGGAAAATGCATTTTTATAAAAAAACACTATATTTTTTTTCAATAAATGTCTATTTTTCTACATAGTGTGCTGTGGAGAATACCGTGTTCTGATTGGTTGAATGCTTTCTATAATACGTCGTTTCTAAACTATAAACCAATCAAAGCACAGCATTCTTCATCGCACACTAGATGGCAAAGTTATTTTTTGGGTTTTCGGAGAAAAAATAAAAAACAAATAAAATATAATACAGATTTATTTGCGTTTTATTTAAACAATTCACATACAACACAAATCGGGCAATGGAAATAAAAAAACGATGGAAATTAATAATTTTAAAAACGTTTTTCACTAATTATAATATGTATATTAATATTTAAATATTATTTCTTAATCATTTTAAATTAACACTTGGCTTCTTTTTGCTTTAAAGCGGCCTGTACGCATTTGGCCATGGTTGGAGAGGCCCTACTAATCGAATCCGTCATATAGAAATCTTTAAGTTCTTTTATTTTTACGTCTAGGGGGGTGCTATCAAGGTTGGCGCTCTGAAAACAATTTTTTTTAATTTATAAGAATATTAACATGGTAAGAGATTTTTAGAGAAATATTATCGAAACTAGACTGTTTTTTATGAAATGTTATCTAAATTGATGAGAATCAAGAATCAAAATTGACAAGAACCCAACTAACAGATTTTAGAGAATAGTATCAAGAATTTCAATATTATTAATGGAAATATCAGAAACTTGTCAAAAATGTTATTTTTAAGGAACATATTTTAAATTTATAAGAATCTTAACACTATCAGAAATTTTTAGAGAGTAATATCAAAATTGACAAGAACCCAACAAACAGATTTTAGAGAATATTATCAAGAATTTCAATAATGTTAATATCAGAAATGTTATTTATTAAAACTTGTCAAACAATTTTTTTAAGAAATATTTTTAAAATTTGTAAGAATATTATCAAGAATTTAAATATGTTTAGTGAAAACATCGGAAATATTGTCAAAACTTGTTTAAAATGTTCTTTTTTATGGAATATTAACTTATTTTAGAGAATATTATTAAGAATTTCAATATTAATGGTAATATCAGGAATGTGATAAATAACATTGTCAAAAATATTGTTTTTAAGCAAAAATTTTTAAATTTATAAGAATATTAACATGGTTAGAGATTTTTAGAGAAATGTGATAAAAACTGTTTAGACTGTTTTTTATTAAATATTATCTAAATTGATAAGAAAAAAAAATTGACGAAAACCCAACTAACAGATTTTTAGAGAATATTATCAAGAATTTTAATAATGTTAATATCAGTAAACCTATTTATTAAAACTTGTCAAAAATCTGGTTTTTAAGGAACATTTTTAAAATTTGTAAGAGAATATTATCAAGAATTTTAATATTTTTAGTAACATCGGAAATATTGTCAAAACTTGTTTAAAATGTTCTTTTTAATGGAATATTATCAAAATTGACATAACTCATTTTAGAGAATGTTATCAAGAATTTCAATATTATTAATGGTAATATTAGAAATGTGATAAATAACATTGTCAAAAATATTGTTTTAAGCAACATTTTTTAAATTTATAAGAATATTAACATGGAAAGAGTTTTTTAGAGAAATATGATCAAAACTGTTTAGACTGTTTTTTATGAAATATTATCGAAATTGATAAGAATCAAGAATCAAAATTGACGAGAACCCAACTAACAGATTTTAGAGAATTATTCTGAATAGTATCAAGAATTTCAATATTATTAATGGAAATTTCAGAAACTTGTCAAAAAAGTTTTTTTTAAGGAACATATTTTAAATTTATAAGAATCTTAACACTGTCAAAGATTTTTAGAGAGTATTATCGAAATTGATAAGAGTCCAACCAACAGATTTTAGAGAATATTATCAAGAATTTTAATATTATTAGTATCAAAAATGTTATTTATTAAAACTTGTCAAAAATATTGTTTTTAAGGAACATTTTTAAAATTTGTAAGAGAATATTATCAAGAATTTCAATATTATTAATGGTAATATTAGAAATGTGATAAATACCATTGTAAAAAATATTGCTTTTAAGCAACATTTTTGAAATTGATAAGAATATTAACATGGTAAGAGATTTTTAGAGAAATATGATCAAAACTGTTCAGACTGTTTTTTATGAAATATTATCTTAATTGATAAGAATAAAAATTTTAGAGAATAGTTTCAAGAATTTCAATATTATTAATGGAAATATCAGAAACTTGTCAAAAATGTTTTTTTAAAGAATATATTTTAAATTTATAAGAATCCCAACACTATCAAAGATTTTTAGAGAGTAATATCAAAATTGACAAGAACCCATCAATAGATTTTAGAGAATATTATCAAGAATTTCAATAATGTGAATATCAGAAATGTTATTTATTAAAACTTGTCAAAAATGTTGTTTTTAAGGAACATTATAAAAATTTGTTTAAAATGTTCTTTTTTATGGAATATTATCAACTCATTTTAGGGAATATCATAGGCGCTCTGAAAAACCAGCGATTGTTACACCCAAGCCGTAAAATTTGACGTTTAACTTTGACTTTGGACTCACCTTGGCCAGAGCGGCGGCCTGCTTGAAGTAGTTCGCGTTCTCGGCGCGGCCGTATCTCGTTAGGTGCGGCGCCACCTGCTCCAGCCTGTCCCTGATCTCGTCGAGGTTGTCGTAGGGCAGCTTCTCGCCCACCACTTCCGATAGGGCGCGCACGATCTTCCAGTCCTCGCGGGCGCGCCCCGGCGGCGTAACCGCCACCAGCGTTTGCTGCGCCCTGCCCTCGGTGTTGACGTACGTCGCTTGTTTTTCGGTGTAGGCCGCGCCAGGGAGCACCGCGTCGGCCAAGAGGGCGCCGCGGTCGCCGTGGTGACCTGAATATTATCGAGAATATGTCAACTCGGTAAAAACTTAACAAGCATATTTTTAAACTGTGATGTTAGCAAAAATTACAATAATGTAAGTGAAAATTTGAAAGAATATTATCAATTTATTAGATAATATTATCAAAAATTTTATTTCAGCGAAAATATCAAAAATGCTAATTAAACTTCTTAAAAAAATTATTTCTCAAGAAATATCAAAGATTACAAGAATATTATCAAGAATGGAATTATCAGAAATGTTTTTAAAACTTGTTAATGTTTTATGGAATATTATCAAAATTAACAACAGATTTTAGAAAATATTATCAATCATTTCAATATTATTAATATCATAAATGTTATTTAGTAAAACTTGTCAAAAATGTTGTTTTTAAGAAACATTTGTAAGAGAATATTATCAAGAATTTTAATATTTTTAGTAAAAACATCGGAAATATTACCAAAAGTTGTTTAAAATGTTCTTTTTTATGAAATATTATCAAAATTGACAAAAACCCAACTTACAGATTTTAGAGAATATTAATTATCAAACATTTCAATATTATTTGTGGAAATATCAAAACTTGTCAAAAATGTTCTTTTTAAGAAACATATTTAAAATGTATAAGAATCTTACGACTGTACGAGATTTTTAGAGAATATTATCAAAATTGACAAGAACCCAACTAACAATATTATCAAGAATTTCAATATTATTAATATCAGAAATTTTATTTATTAAAACTTGTCAAAAATGTGGTTTTTAAGGAACAGTTTTAAAATTTGTAAGAGAATATTATCAAGAATTTTAGTATTTTTAGTGAAAACATCGAAAATATTATCAAAACTTGTTTAAAATGTTCTTTTTTAGGGAATATTATCAAAATTGAGAAAAACCCAACTTACAGATTTTAGAGAATATTATCAAGAATTTCAATAGTATTTATGGAAATATCAGGAACTGTATTAATCAAAACTTGTCAAAAATGTTGTTTTTGAGGAAATAAAAAAAAATAAAATTTGTAACAATAATAACACTACGAGATTTTTAGGGAATATTATCAAAAAATTTAATAGTTTTAGTTAAAACATCAGAAATGTTATCAACAGTTGTTTAAAATGTTATTATTTGAGGAATATTACCAAAAGAACAAAACTAAGAGATTTTAGCGAATATTATCAAGAATTTCAATATTATTAATGGAAATGTCAGAAATGTTATTTATCAAAACTTTATTTTTATAATGTTAATACACTAAAAGATTTTTCGAGAATATTATCAAGAATTATAATATTTTTAGCGAAAACATCAGAAATGTTATAAGAACTTGTTGAAAATGTTATTAGAATTTACAAGAAATGTTGTTTTGGGAGAAATATTGCTAATAAAAATTTCAGAACTGTCACCAAAATCATGTAAGTTCGGATTTATATTTTTTAATGAAATTAGAACGAATATTATTGTTTGGGAATATTATCAACATTGCTAAAATGTTAAAGAACAAGAATTTTGAGAATATTATCAAGAATTTAATATTTTTTATATAAATCAAGAATATTTTCAAAATTTACACCATTGACAAATATTTTTTAATGAAGAATATTAGCAATAACTTTTTATGATTCAAACAAATTATTAGAAGTTTAAGGAAGAGAAGAATATTATCAAAACAATTAAATACTCCTTAAATATTATCAAGAAATACATTTTTTAGTAAAATATCTAGTAATGTTAAAATATTATCAAAATTACCAAGAATATGATCAAAACTACATACCTTGATATATAACAAAGCAATCCTTGGGCAAATCTTCCTTTGTAATGGCGCCTTCATCAGCACCCAATAGGAAAACAACCTTCAGATTACCATTCCTAATCTTTTCCACGCCAGGAGTGTAACCTATATCCAAAGCAGCCACCTACAAAACACCAAAATAACCTCAAAAACATAACCCATAAGAAAACATACCTGAGAGGCGACTTTATGCAAAACGTTCAGAACCTTCCAGCTCTTCTCTTGCGGCGAAGCCGAGCTGGCCAAAGCCTGCACGCTGGCCAAGATGGCGGCGCCGTCGGGACGCTCCAAGGTGTCGGAACCGACTATGATGAGCGGGCGTTTGGCCGACTTGAGTTTCTTGGCGAAGGCGTGGCTTCCGGACGCAATGTTCTTGAGAACGTTGGGATCAGCGCCCAAGTGTTCGTATTCGTAGCGGAGGTCGACCTCGGGGCCGATCATGGCCACCTTAAAGTTGGGAATATTGTCAAGAATATTGTCAAAAATTTGAAAAATCATGAAATATTGTCAGATAAATTAAGGACATTAAAAAACGATCTATAATAAAAAATTAAAGTAATATTATCAAAATTAAGAAAAGTATTGTGAATTTTTTTAATAATAAAATTTTTTTTTAGAATGTTGAGATTTTGGTAATTTTGATAATGAATTTGTCGATTTATATGGAGAATAATGCTATACTAAGAATATTATCAAAATTAGTAATAATATTGTGATTTTGTCATATTTAGAATAAAAATGTGGCAATTAAAACGAGAATATTATCAAAGATAGGATTATTAACATAAATTGAAAAATAAAGTATTGTTTTCAGAAATATTACTTTCTTGCCGATTTTTATCAAAAAATCCAAGGAATATTGCCAATATAAAGAAGAATATTATCAAATTGTTTAGGAATATCAAGATTGGTAAAATCGTTGAGATTTTTTAAGATTTAAAGTAGTAAATACTCAGTCAAATTGTGTCACGAATGTCGTCAAATTGTTAGGAATATTATCAAAAATGAAAGAGTCAGGGAAAATTCTCATATTAAGGGTATTATAAAATGACCTAAATTTTTATCAATAAATTAAAAAATATTATAGAAAAGCTACCTACAAGATGGAAATATTCTCAAGAACATGATCAAAAGTATCACAGTTGGAAAATATAAGCAAATGTAAAAAATTAAAAATATTATCCAATTTCTTAGGAATATGATAAAAAAATTGGTCAAAATGTTGAGATTTTGGTGATTTTGATTAGGAATTTGTCGATTTATACCGAGAATAAAAAATAAACGATAAATTAAGAATATTATAAAGATTGGTAATAATATTGAGAGTTTGTCAGATTTAGAATAAAAATTTGTCAATTTTTAACGAGAATATTATCAAAGATAGAAATATTAACAGAAATGGAAAAGTAAAGGATTCTTTTCAAAAAATAACACTTTCTTAAAGATTTATATCAAAATATTTAAGGAATATTACCAATATAAAGAAGAATATTATCAAATTGTTTAAGAATATCAAAATTGGTAAAAATTGTGAGATTTTGGAAGATTTAGAGTATTAATTAGTCAATTTATGTCACGATTAGTATTAAGAATTTTATCAAATTGTTAGGAATATTATCAAAAATGTAAGAGTTGGGGAAAATTCTCGTTAAGGGTATTATAAAACGACCTAAATTTTTATCAATAAATATAAAAATATAAAAAGGCTACATAGAAGATATTCCCAAGAATATCATCAAAAGTATCACAGTTGGGAAATATTAGCAAATGTAAAAACTATTAATGGGAATAATACTATATTAAGGCCATTATCAAAACAGACTAAATTTTAATAAAAAATTAAAGGAATATTATCAAAAATAAGAAAAATATTATCCAATTTCTTAGGAATATGATAAAAATTGGTCAACATGTTTAGGATGTTGAGATTTTGGTTGGGAATTTGTCGATTTATATCGAGAATATTATCAAACGCAATATTAAATTGCTGGGAATATTATCAAAAATGAAAGGGTCAGGAAAAATTGTCATCTTAATTGTATTATAAAACGTCGTAAATTTTTATAGACAAATTTAAAAAAACATTGTAAAACGGCTACCTACAAGATGGGAATATTGTCAAGAATATCGTCACAGTTGGGAAATATTAGGAAACATAAAAATTAAGAACTATTACTGCAAATTAATAAAAAACTAAAGGAATATTATCAAAAATAAGAAAAATATTATGCAATTTGTTAGGAATATGATAAAAATTGGTAAAAATGTTTAGAATGTTGGGATTTTTATTAGGAATTTATTAATTTAAAATTATCAAATACTGTATTAAGAATATTATCAAAATGGTTATATTGAGATTTTGGTAGAATAAATTCAGAGGAATTTTGCAATATATAACGAGAATATCGTCAAAATTTTAAGAATGTTATCAAAATTTGAGACGTTCAAGGAGAATATTGCCAAGAATATTATCAAAAAAATCCTCACCTCCAACTCCTTGTGGATGTAAGCCTTCCTGAGCCTGGAGTTCAACAACGGCGCCTCCAACCTCGGATTGGTGCCCACCAACAGCACCAAATCCGCTTCTTCGGCCCCGGCGATTTTGTTGTTCAGCAAATAACTCGACCTCAAATCGGTACCGGACCCGTCCATGGGGAAAACGTGTTCCGTGCACAGATTCTCCGAGCCCAGGCGGTTCAGGAGATCCTTGACGGAGATCAGGAGCTCCGCGTCGGCGAAGCCGCCCGCTACGGCGCCGATTTTGTCTCCGGCGTTTTTTATTTGCTTTCCCACGGTCAAAAGGGCCGCCTCCCAGTCCACGGGCTTCAGTTCTCCGCTGGAGTCCCTCAGCATCGGTGTTACGAGCCTTTGGCGCTTCAAGCCGTCGTAAGCGAAACGCGATTTGTCCGACAGCCTGTACGGTGGAATATTATCAAGAATATTATCAAGAATATTATCATTGGATTAGCAAAAAATAAGCAAGATTTTTATTAAAATAAACAGTAAAAATATTTTTTTTTAAGTTTATTTATTAAGGAATATTATCAAAATAGTGTCATTTAGGTGAATTTGTAAAAATAACAAGAAAAATATAAAGAATTACTTATTAATTTTCATAAAATAACATCAAAAGAATGCGATTTTTGGTAATTCTATTAAAATTACCAAACAAGGATTGTTAATTACAAGAATATTATCAAAAATATTTATAATTTAGGTAAATGTATTAAAATTCGCAAAAAATAAACAAAAATTTTATAAAATATACCGTAAAAATATTAAAAAAAGTTTATTAAATTAGCAAAAAATAAGCAAGAATATTGTCACGAATATTATCAACAATATTATCAAGACTATTATCATTGGATAAGCAAAAAATAAGCAAGAATTTTATTAAATTATACAGTAAAAATATTTTTAAAAAAGTTTATTTATTAAGGAATATTCTCAAAATAGTGTCATTTAGGTGAATTTGTAAAAATAACAAGGAAAATATAAAGAATTATTTATCAATTTTCATAAAATAAGATCAAAAAATGCGATTGTTAAATACAAGAATATTATCAAAAATATTTATAAACCCACTAGATTGAAAATTTACAGTAACAGTGTAAAAAGTTTTTTTACCAAGGATATTATTAAAAATATTATCAAAGTTCTAAAGAATATAATTAAAATTGGTAAATGTATTAAAATTCGCAGAAAATAAACAAAAATTTTATAAAATATACAGTAAAAATATTAAAAAAGTTTATTTACTAATGAATATTATCAAAATAATGTCATTTAAGAAAATTTGTATAAATAACGAAAAACTTTAAAGAATGGCAACAAAAAATAATTTATTAGGAATTTTATAAATTTTCATAGAATATTATTAAACTATCAAAGATCAAAATGAAGCCATTAAAATTACCAAGATTGCAAGAATATTACCAAAAATAATTATAAACCCATTGAATGAAACTTTTATTAAAATTTACAGTAATGAAAAAGGGTTTTTTATTAAGGTTATTATAAAAAAAAATTAAAGAATATTATTCAAATAGTGCCCATTTAGGTAAACATTAAAATTAGCAAAAAATAAGCAAGGATTTTATTAAAAATATGAATATTATCAACAATATTGTCAAGACTATTATCATTGGATAAGCAAAAAATAAGCAAGAATTTTATTAAATTATACAGTAAAAATATTTTTAAAAAAGTTTATTTATTAAGGAATATTCTCAAAATAGTGTCATTTAGGTGAATTTGTAAAAATAACAAGAAAAATATAAAGAATTATTTATCAAATTTCAAAAAATAAGATCAAAAGAATGCGATTGTTAAATACAAGAATATTATCAAAAATATTTATAAACCCACTAGATTGAAAGAAATGTTTATTAAAATTTACAGTAACAGTGTAAAAAGTTTTTTTACTAAGGATGTTATTAAAAATATTATCAAAGTTCTAAAGAATATAATTAAAATAGGTAAATGTATTAAAATTCGCAGAAAATAAACAAACATTTTGTAAAATATACAGTAAAAATATTAAAAACTATATTAAAAATTATATTAAAATAAAAATATTATTTACTAATGAATATTATCCAAATAATATCATTTAAGAAAATTTGTATAAATAACAAAAAAACTATAAAGAATGGCAATACAAAAATAATTTATTAGGAATTTTATCAATTTTCATAGAATATTATTAAACTATCAAAGATCAAAATGAAGCCATTAAAATTACCAAACAAGGGTTTTTAATTGCAAGAATTTTATCAAAAATATTTATAAACCCATTGAATGAAACTTTTATTAAAATTTACAGTAATAGCATAACAAGGGTTTTTTATTAAGGATATTATAAAAAATTAAAGAATATTATTCAAATAATGCCCACTTAGGTAAACATATTAAAATTAGCAATAAATAAGCAAGAATGTTATTAAAAATATGAATATTATCAACAATATTGTCAAGACTATTATCATTGGATAAGCAAAAAATAAGCAAGAATTTTATTAAATTATACAGTAAAAATATTTTAAAAAAAGTTTATTTATTAAGGAATATTCTCAAAATAGTGTCATTTAGGTGAATTTGTAAAAATAACAAGAAAAATATATAGAATTATTTATCAAATTTCAAAAAATAAGATCAAAAGAATGCGATTGTTAAATACAAGAATATTATCAAAAATATTTATAAACCCACTAGATTGAAAAATTTACAGTAACAGTGTAAAAAGTTTTTTTACTAAGGATGTTATTAAAAATATTATCAAAGTTCTAAAGAATATAATTAAAATTGGTAAATGTATTAAAATTCGCAGAAAATAAACAAAAATTTTATAAAATATACAGTAAAAATATTAAAAAAGTTTATTTACTAATGAATATTATCAAAATAATGTCATTTAAGAAAATTTGTATAAATAACGAAAAACTATAAAGAATGGCAACAAAAAATAATTTATTAGGAATTTTATAAATTTTCATAGAATATTATTAAACTATCAAAGATCAAAATGAAGCCATTAAAATTACCAAACAAGGGTTTTTAATTGCAAGAATATTACCAAAAATAATTATAAACCCATTGAATAAAACTTTTATTAAAATTTACAGTAATAGCATAAAAAGGGTTTTTTATTAAGGTTATTATAAAAAAAAATAAAGAATATTATTCAAATAGTGCCCATTTAGGTAAACATTAAAATTAGCAAAAAATAAGCAGGATTTTATTAAAAATATGAATATTATCAAGACTATTATCATTGGATAAGCAAAAAATAAGCAAGAATTTTATTAAAAATATGAATATTATCAAGAATATTAATCAAGAATATTATCAACAATATTATCAAGACTTAATTCATTGGATTAGCAAAAAATAAGCATACATTTTATTAAATAATACAATAAAAATATTTTTAAAAAAGTTTATTTATTAAGGAATATTCTCAAAATAGTGTCATTTAGGTGAATTTGTAAAAATAACAAGAAAAATATAAAGAATTATTTAACAATTTTCATAAAATAAGATCAAAAGAATGCGATTGTTAAATACAAGAATATTATCAAAAATATTTATAAACCCACTAGATTGAAAGAAATGTTTATTAAAATTTACAGTAACAGTGGAAAAAGTTTTTTTACTAAGGATATTATTAAAAATATTATTAAAGTTTTAAAGAATATAATTAAAATAGGTAAATGTATTAAAATTCGCAAAAAATAAACCAAAATTTTATAAAATATACAGTAAAAATATAGTTTATTTACTAATGAATATTATCAAAATAATGTCATTTAAGAAAATTTGTATAAATAACGAATTAGGAATTTATCAATGTTCATAGAATATTATTAAACTATCAAAGATCAAAATGAAGCCATTAAAATTACCAAACAAGGGTTTTTAATTGCAAGAATATTATCAAAAATATTTATAAGCTCATTGAAAGACTTTTATTAAAATTTACAGTAATAGCATAACAAGAGTTTTTTATTAAGGATATTATAAAAAATTTATAGAATATTATCAAACTTTTTAAAGAATATTATAAAAATAATGTATTAAAATTAGCAAAAATAAGCAAAAATTTTTTTAAAATATGCGTAAAAAATATTTTAATAAAGTTTATTTATTAAGGTATATTATCAAAATATTGTCATTTAGGTAAATTTGTAATAACAAAAACATATTATGAATTATTTAGGTAATTATATTATTCAAATAATGCCCATTTGGGTAAATGTATTTTAAAAAAAGTTTATTTATAAATGAATATTAATCAAGAATATTATCAAGAAAATATTAAGAATATCATCAAGAATTTTATCAAACATATTATCAAGAATATTATAAGACACTCACCATTCCTCGTTGATCTCTTCGTTGATCCTGGGCATGATCCTGAGAACTTCGCCGGTTCTCGTAGACACGACAATATTCGAACCCACGGCGTCCAGTACGTCGATGGAGTCGACTTTGCGGATTTCCCATGGGCGAGCGGTGAAACTGTACGGTTTGCTGGTTAGGGCGCCGACAGGGCACAAATCTATAATGTTTCCGGACAGTTCGGACAAGAATAGTTTTTCGATATAAGTTCCAACTTGCATGTCTGAGCCTCTACCGGTTGTACCTATGTTTTGTTGAAACATTATTATAAAATAATAAGTATTTTTTTAATTGCAAGAATATTATCAAGAATATTTACAAACCTACTAGATTTTAAAAAATTTGTATTAAAATTTATAAGCATAAAAAGAGTTTATTTATTAGGGATATTATCAAAAATTTTATGGAATATTTTATCAAAATATACAGTAAAAAACTTTATTTTTAATAATGCCATTTAGTTAAATTTGCTAAAATAACAAAAAAGTATCAAGAATTATTAAAATTAACATTACCCAATAGCAATAAAAAAATGTTTTATTAGAAATTGTATTAATTTTCATAGAATATTATCAAACTATTAAAGATCAAAAGAATGCGATTTTTGGTAAATCCATTAAAATTACCAAACAAGAATATTATCAAAAATATTTATTAACCCATTAGATTATACGGAATTTTTATTTAAATTTAAAGTTTTTTTTTAAGATATTATCAAAATTTTACAGAATATTACCAAACTTTTTAAAGAATATTATAAAAATATTGCCTATTCAGATAAATGTGTTAAAATTAGCAAAAATAAGCCAACATTTTATTAAATTATACAGAAAAAATATTTATTTATTAAGGTATATTATCAAAATATTGTTATTTAGGTAAATTTGTAATACATACATACATATTAAGAATTATTTAGGTAATAATTCTTTATATATACCATAACAAAAATTATCAAACAAGGGTTTATAAATATTATTATATAAATATGAATTTTATTAAAAATATTACATTTTTCAGAATATTATCAAACTTTCAAGGAGTATTGCCGTTTTAGGAAAATTAATTAAAATTAAAAAAAAATGGAGAATTCATTAAGAATATTATCAAAAATAGAATATTATCAAATTTTAAAGAAATAATATTAAAATGTCATTTTAGGTAAGTTTATTAAAATTAATAATAAAAATTAACAGTAATTGTGAAGAAGAGTTCATTTATTAGGAATATTATTAAAATATAGCCTTCAATATGATTGTAATGAATTATTGCCAAAATAGATATGTATATAATAAAACAGATATTAAAATTGTATTAAAAATATTAAATTTCTTGTAATATTATCAAACTTTCAAGGAATATTATCAAAATATTGCAATTTTAGGTAAATTCATAAAAATTTAAAAAAAAAAATATTTTTTTAAATGAACATATATTTAAAAAAAGTTCGCTTATTAAGAATATTATAAAAAATATTTCATTTTCGTAGAATATTATCAAAAATTACCAGAAAATAATGAAGAATATTATTAAAAACATTACGTTTTCATAGAATATCATCGAACTTTTAAGGAATATTATTATAAGTATTGCCGTTTTGGGCAAATTAATTAAAATTACAAAAAAAGAATTTAAAATTCATTAAGAATATTAACAGTAATTGTGAAGAATAATTCATTTATTAGGAATATTATCAAAAAATAGCCTTCAATGTGATTGTAATGAATTATTACCAAAATAGATATATAAAAAATAGGTATTAAAATTGTAGTAAAAATATTACATTTCTTGGAATATTATCAAACTTTCAAGGAATATTATCAAAATATTGCAATTTTTAGGTAAATGAATAACAATTATAAAGATTTAAAAATGAACATAAATTTAAAAAAAAAGTTCGTTTAAGTATTAAGAATACTATCAAAAATATTGCATTTTCGTAGAATATTATCAAAAATTACCAGAAAATAATGAAGAATATTATTAAAAACACTATGTTTTCATAGAATATCATCGAACTTTTAAGGAATGTTTTTAATTTATTAAAATTAGCAAAACAATTTTTTTAGATTTTTCAAGACTCACCTAAATCATCGACTCCGGCAACCTCGGAGGCGAACCGGATGCACCGCGTGCAATGGATGCAACGCGTCATTGTGGTTTTAATCAGCGGGCCAATATCTTTGTCTTCAACTGCACGTTTGCCGCTGAAATCGTTGTCGACAAACCGCGATCTGTCAGAGCCGAAGGCCATGCTTTGATCCTGAAGGTCGCATTCGCCACCTTGATCGCAAATGGGGCAATCCAGGGGGTGATTTACCAGTAAAAATTCCATTACCCCTTCCCTAGCTTTGCGCGTCATTTCTGAGTCGGTTTTTACCCTCCAGCCTTAAAAGTTTTCGGAATTATGTTAAATATAATATATAAAGCATAAAAACTGACATACCTTTCATTACAGGCATGGCACAAGCAGCAACAGGCTTGGGACTCTTCTCAACTTCGACGAGACACATTCTGCAGTTGCCTGCAACTGCAAGTCTCTCATGGTAACAAAACCTTGGAATTTCGACGCCAACCAACGCCGCGGCCTGCAAAACCGTGGTACCAGGCTCAACCATCACAGATTTGTCATCGATAAACACTTCGATCTTCTCAGGTTTTTTCGCCTGATCGCTCTGCCATCTCGTAAGCACCGTCAACGTTTTGGGGCCGTTTTTGGCCCCATTGAGGACTTTACTAACCGTAAATCTTAACATACCTACAAATAATACGGTTATTATGTAATGAAGATACTGAACATAACCTAACCTAAAAATATGATTAAACGTGCAATATTCGTATTGCAATGTAAAATAAAAGTAAAATATTAAGTATTTTGTACCTTAATACTAATTACCTGTGTGTTTTTGTACTAAAAATCCAAATTGTTATTAATTTAGAATGACGTCCATAACGAATGACAGATGTCAAAAAGTAGGACAGAAATTATTGACAGTAAAGTTTACTGAGTAAACTCATAATTTTACCACCTTTATACAAAATAACAACTATTTAGGACTTTTAAATGCATATTTAATAATTTAATTGCCATATTTTGTAATTAAACACGTTTTTGAACATTATTTTACAAGTAGGCATGATATTTCATCACAGTAGTTGCAATGAACCACACACGTCATCAAATACCATGTACACTGAGCGAAAATAAACATGTACACTGAGTTACATAATACAATCAATAAAAAAACTAATTATTTTACTTAAAAAACATATATTAACGATACAAAAACATATTATTATTTTTTCTTTTGTTGATTTCCCTGCGCTGTTCTAATAGTAATGCATTTTTTATCCAAAAAAGATAATAAATCATCAATGTGGAACTTATAACCCAGCTCCTTAAGCATTTTGTGTATAACCTCCAACTGCAACGGTTCATATAGTAAAATATTTTCGAATATATCTGGATGATTGTGTAAAAAATTATGCCAAACTATTTGTAGGGGTATTCGACATGAGGGAATTTTTGCGCGAAATTTACGTTCAAAAATTAGATCATCAATATTTTCGCTGAAAATTAAACAATATTTATTTGCTCTTTTGCGTTATCGCCACACTCACCATAGGTTTGGACACTCCCCAATGACTGCAGTGTAGCCAGTTTTAGCCTCCGACAGTCTTCTTTTTTTGCATATGGGTAATTCCTGGTCAATTTCGAATGATTTGTGTTTTACTATGGGGTGTGTGCTGTCATATATATGTTTGAGTAAGTTAATGCCTCTTTGGCGCTTCAAAGGTTTTAAACCAAACTTATCCAACTCTTTTTTGATCTTTGGTGTGTCCATTTCATCGTAGTAAGGCATTGGCGTGATGTCACGTTTTTTGATTATATAGTTTGATGGCGTTTTTACGTTACTGTCAACTTTTTCTTGTTCTAGATCTAGTACTTTGTTTAGCACTGCGGTGCTATCCAAAGTATTATTAAAAATCTCTTCCGCCCTGTTTTTTTCGTTGTCTAGTAATGTACCTTTTGGAGAAATGTTGTTTTTAGGACTTAAGGATGGTTCATAATCGCAAAAATTATCCACAAAATCTAAAAATAGACCGTTGGTTTAAATTAAAGTGGGTGGTAGCTTTTATTTCTAAAATGCTAACTTAATGGGTTTAAAAATCTATAAAAAAACTACGTAAACAATAATGGTGTCAAATATATTTCTCCTTCCAAAATCCACCTAAACTTTGACACGGTACCTATATCTCAGATCGCAGTTTAGACATAAAAATGTTATAAAAACTTACCCATTTGCTCTAAACTTCGTCTAGCAACCGGTGTAGCATAATGACAAGAGTAATTTAACTCTTCATCTGAAACGAAGCTAGTTTGAGAGCTGCACTGACTATTTTCCTCCACATCGTCACTATCACTGACTGTTTCAATTTTTTTTTCGCCATTTAACATCTGGGTTACATATTCCGTAACGTTAAGGGATTTGGTGCAATTGTAACCCAAGGAGTCATCTCTAACAATGTCATAACTCCTTTGCGTACAAATATCTTTAATTTTCTCCATATTTTGTTCATCATCATCTTCATAAGTAAAGCTGTAGCGGGATATTTTTCTGTCACTATAACTGTTATAGTGCGTTATGCCGCTTTGGGATGAGTAATTTAAGTCTTTACTGATATTTATGCTGTTTGATGAAGTGCTAGCGCTTGATTTAGAGATACTAGAACGATTTAAAGATTTCTCTAGAAGTTTTTTGGTTTTATTTAGAGATTCATCATGTTTTTGTGAGATGTGAGAATCAAGATCTTCATCGTCAGACGAGATCGTATGTATATAATTATTGTCTTTAATTTTTGTTTCAGTATCTTTAATATCAAAACAAAAACTATTTTTCTTTGGTGTTAGGTTATAGATATGGCTATCTTTTATTTCTCTATCAGTTTCTTTAATTTTTTCTTCAATATCTTTCAGAATTTCAATTTTGGAGTCGGTATCTTTAATTTCGTCTGAAGTACCTTTAATTCCAAAATTGTCATCATCATCAGAGGATAAGGTAAGATCATATGTATCTATAACTTTAATTTGTGAATCTTTAATATCTTTATTTACAATTTCTGAATCAAAAGTCATTTTAGTACTTTTATTATCAAATTTAGTATCTTTAATCTCTTCAAAAGTATCCTTAATCTCAAAACTGATACTTTCAAGTATTTCTTGAGATTTTTCCAATATTTTGGCCACATCTAAATCACTTGTGTCGCCAACACTTATTTCGACTATATCTTTAATTTTTGGTGGTTTGATGTTTTCCGTCATCTCTAATTTTGACGTGTTTGAAGTGATATAATCGAAATTTTCGTCATCAGAACCAAATAAATCTGGAGATATGCTTCTGTTGTTGAGAGATTTTGTATCTTTAATTGTTGAGGTTTCTTTTATATCATCATTTATTTCTTTGATATCAGTGCTATATTTATTACTAGTAGTATCTCTTAAATCATCAGTATCTTTAATTGATATATTTGGAGATCTGGTTGGTGAAAAGTCCCTTCCAGGAATTTTAGACCAATTTTTTAATAAATAACCACTTTTTATTTGCGATTTGGGAATATTTAGAGATTCAGGGTAGAAGAAATCTTGTTTTAGTTTATCTATGGGGATATTATTTAACTTAAACAATAAAGATTCTTCACTTAGATTGTTTTTTTATATCTGTCATAAATGTAAACTCTTTCTGTATCTTTTTTTGATTATTTGCTATATTTTGCGACAAAATTAGAGATATTTTTGATGTTATTATAGATTCTCTGTCTTCAGTAGTTCTAGATACTAAAGTTGGAGTTATATATTTGAATTTAGAGGCTTTTCTTTTTTTGTAAGTTAACTAAAATTAAAAATAGTGTTTTAAGACATACTAAAATTGGTAACCTTTTGCTTACCTCATTTGAACGTTTATTTTGGACCCCCATTATATTTTTGTTGCTTTTAAAGCCAAATTTTTCCAGGGTTGTTTTTAAAGTTCCAAATTTCACTGATATTTTTTCATCTTCTGTGTTCTCTAAGGGTGTTTCTGGGTTTTCCTCTGCATAGGAGGATTTTGATAATGCTATAGCCATTTGCAAGTGGTCTAAGTTAACATCAATATCAATTTTATTGCTTGCAAATTTGGTTGTTAATTTTGTTTGTTTGATTTTTTTCTTTTTTTCCTTCAATATTTTTGGTGGTGCGTACTTTTTAGTAATTATCGGAGTTTTGAAGTCATTTTCATCGCTAATTGAATCATTTTGTTGTGGTTTTATGTCGGAAACTAAATTTCTATAGGGAGAGTCAACATCATTTATATCCATAGTGTTATTTTGGAAATATTTGGAGATTTTCCCGGTTTTGCTGAAGCAAAATAAAATAACCGTGTAGTAACAACATTTTATTGACTAACCACAAAATATAATATTAAAAAAACATTACCAACCTATTGGTTTTAGGTTTAGATTTCTGGTTCTCCGTAGACATATTTGTGGTACCACGGTTTTGGTTGGCTTTCTTCATCCTTTTTTAATATTCTCTCCCTTGCTCTCACTATAACTGATTCCATAGAAGGCTCACTTCGAGCCAACTGATATTGCTCCTTTGCACTGTTATATTCTTCGGAATTATTAAACGCCCCCTCAAGTTGCTTCTTTCTTAAGTGTGTAGAAGCAAAGGAGAACCTAAAACGTGCATTTTAATAAAAAATACACCTTATTAGTCTTGCACTCACTCGTATATAGCCAAAAATATAGCACTAACTCCAAAGATACCCAAAGTATAATAATTCCGCTGCAAATGAAACGGCGTGCCCTTCGATCTTCTCGGTTTCCTAAATTTTTCCGATATGCGTCTATCTTCCATATCAACGAACAAATCAACAAGAAAATTGAAGAAGAATGGCTAAATTTTCATTTTAACGCACAACATAACCTCGGACATTTGAACTACTGGCGGCAACTTCGAAAAATTAGGCGATTTTATATTTATTTTTGTTAAATTTGTATATTTTGTATAGATACTATCGATAATGTTAAAAATAGTAATTTATCAGGGTTAATTTTGTGTAATATTCATATTTTTTTAGTTTGTTTATATTACAAAATACCAATACTGCTAAATTAACAATTTTTTTCGCCTAATTATTTTTGGGTGTTGATTAATATAAAGAATGCATTTCTACAAACATACACAGTGGTAAATTCACCATAAATTATAAATTTATTGTTTATCAACTCGCACAGTTATTATAACACTAAACATTTTTTTGTTAATGTTTTTATTCTTGCAATTCAGTTTTTTAATTTCAGTTAGGTATTTTGGGTGTAAAATGGATGAAATAAAGCATGTGTGTATAATCTGCGTTAAGAAACTTAAGAAAAATGAGACAATTGAGTTTATTTTTACGAAAATAAATATGCTGAGTTTCATAGTGCCAAATTTGGTAAGTGAGTTTACTTTTGTAGGCACCGATAAACATAAAAATGCATTTTAGGATCTAAAAATAAGAAAAAATTCAAAAATATGTAAAAGTTGTTTAAAAAGTCTAGAAATTTCGTATGAGTTTAAAGAAATGGCGTATAAAAATGAAAATAGGATAAACAATGAGTCAAAAAAATCTGGAATGATAAATTTGGATGTTTTTATTGATAAAAACAAGTTAAAAAGTGAACTTATTTGTAGGATATGTTTGAAAAATAGTCCTAATAATAATATTCCTTTGTATTTTGAGCAAAACTATGCCAAATCTTACAAACTAGTTAGGAATATTATTAATACATGCGATATAGAAATTGTAAGAATATATTCTTAATATATATAAATATATTCATAAAAATTATTTTTTTTACATTTATTTATTTCAGGACTTGGATGTCACAGAAAAACCAATTTTATGCAATAATTGTTGGATAATTCTTCAAAATTTTTACACTTTTAGACGTTTTTGTTTTGAAAGTAACAAAAAAATTGCGAATTTGTTTAATTTAAGTAAAAAAAAAATTCTAAAATCACTGCAAATGGTAAAATCGTCGAACATTGCAATAAAAAATAAGTTCAAATGGCAAAATGCCTTAAAAATGTTGACAAGAAATAATTTAAGAAAACTAGAGGCAACCTTAGAGGCCCAGCTATTTATGTTGTTGAAAAAACAAAACAAAAAACGCGCCACAAGAAGAACACACTTTAACGCCCAAAAAATCACAAGTTTGCACATAAAGGAAGATTTCTCCGATTCCGATGAACCTCCTAAATCCCCCTCCCCCACAAACCAAGGCTTCATATTCACTCCCATCGAAATAACCAACTCCAAACTCAAAAACATCATCAACAAAAAAACAGTTAGCGAAGCAGTGATAATGGACGAAAAAGACACGGTGGTCAAGGAAAAATTCGCGTTTAGAATGCGCAAGAGGCCTGGCAACATTGTAATAGGCAGCATAGTGGGCGGGGCCAACCTTAAAAAAGTTGACAGGTGAGTTTTTTGCTATAGATTGGGTTTTGAGGCTGATTTTGGGTTTTAGGGTCGAGGATTTGAGCATTGAGGGGGTTATTAATAGAATTGCCGAAAATGATGAGGATGTCGATGAAGATACTTCGTGTATTAAGATAGAGCGGGGAAAGTAAGTGTATTATATCCTTATAATGTATATGAGTACCTTAGGTGCAAAACTCGGTTTTTGCAAATTAAAAAATAAAATAAAATTGACTTTAAATTCTGTTTAGTGTTCGTCCTAGATAAATGGCGTTCATAAAACTTGATACATAATAATATTATAGGTATTATATATAGGTATTATTATGTATCAAGTTTTATAAACGCCATTTATCTAGGACGAACACCAAACAGAATTTAAAGCCAATTTTTTTTTTTTAAATTTGCAAAAACCGAGTTTTGCATCTAATGTACTCATATGGTTTATTAAAAAAATGTTTTTTAGTTATAATGAAGAAGAAAACAAATATGTTTGCCTAAAGTGCCCATTTAAAACTGAATACAAACACCACTTATTCAGGCACTTGGTGTTACACGGGAATACGGAAAATTTCAAGCGTTTTCAGTGCCTGTATTGCCCCTACAAGGCCATCAAAAAGCAGTACTTGAAGTCTCACTTGCTGCAGCACGACCCGAACGCTTTAAAATTCAAGTGCACACACTGCAACTACCTGACCAACAGAAAAGATAGACTTCGACTGCATACAGAGACCCATTTGAAGGATTCCCTGCCGAGGAACTTTAAGTGCCCGAAGTGCCCGTACACAGCTATCCGCAAAATGAACCTCAAGTCGCACATGATAACGCACGAGGGCGCTTTAAAGTACGAATGCAAAAAATGCGAGTACAAGACGAAAAGGAAATCGCATCTCAACACACACATGCTGAAGCATGCAGACCCAGAGAAGGTTTACATATATAATTGTTCGCACTGCTCTTATAAGGCCAAAAGAAAACACCATTTACTGGTGCACACCCAAAAGGGCTGCAAAGGTAAAAAAAATAACACAAATCAGGTTAAAAGGAGCGAAATTTAAGTTGTTATGATTTGGGTGTATTATTACATGATATATTGTTAATTTTATACTTACAGAAGTTTATTTATGTTAATTTTCAATAAAAACCTTTCTTGACTAAAATTTTCTATTACCTTCATAAAAACCTAAGAACGACTCTTTTTTGTTCCTAAATTTAATTACCTTAGAACGTCGCTTTTATCTGTCACTGTCGCAAATAAAAAAGGGGTTATTTTTTACGTTGTTGATGATTAAAACCACAATCCACACAACAAGGTCTGTTCTATCTCGTACTAAAAATACAAAAAATCACTGCACAGGTTAACGGCGGCCATTTTTGTTGTTTACAATTTTTGTGCTTTGGGTTTGTGCTCTGTTTATACAGATTAATAATCGTTTTAAACGTTGTGTTTCTCATAGTAAGCCTTAAAAGACTCCTTAAAGTGCTAAGAACAACCATTTTACTCCTCTATTGTAAAAAATAAACTTTATTCTATCAGGGCTGTCATAAAACTGTCAAATTTTAAGGTTAAATTATAACCCACAAATTAACCTTCAAATTGTCATTTGACAGCCCTGATAGAATAAGGTATATTTATAATAAAAGAGGAGTAAAATGGTTGTCCTTGGCACTTAAAGGCCTTATTTGAGGCTTACAAGTGCCTCTGTAAGAAACACAACGTTTAAAACAATTATTAAACAGCACAAACCCAAAGCACAAGAATTGTAAACAACAAAAATGGCCGCCGTTAAACTCTGTGCAGTGTTGCAGTGATTTTTAGTATTTTTAGCATGAGATAGAACAGACCTTGTGTGGATTGTGGTAATCTCAATCTCAAAGTAATAAACAGTTTCTTGACGCCAATGATGAAAAGATTATATGAACGTTTAATTTCGCCGTAAAGCCTGATTTATAGATTGCCTTCCTTCCTTCCTACTTCCCGTAGAAGATGAACAATACGAAAATCGTAATGCCATTTAATAAATGATTTATAGATTCCCGTACGGGAATCTATAAACAGCACAACGGTTTTTGTATTGTTCATCTTTTACCTGACGAAGGGAGGAGGAAAGGAAGGCAATCTATAAATCAGGCTTAATAGTGCAGTTAACTAGGTTTAACTGATAAAGCGTTAAAAATCTTTTAACGTGAAAAACTGCTTTCATATCGATTTTTCGTCTATTTTCAAGGAATAAATTTTGATTTACATGGAAAAATGGAATACAACTGTCACTTTTTGTACATTTAACATTTTTCGTGTAAGAATTTTTAATGCTTTTTGATCATATTTTGCAATTATAGTAATAAAAAAATCATTTTGAAGTTATTTAAAAATATCAATAATTGTTAAGTTTAATTAAAATAATAATGGACAATTTCAATGGTGAAAATTACGTCAAAAATGTTTATTGGGATGCTTACCTTATTTTCGTATATGCAGATGTCGCTTTATACAAATATTTAATTTAAATCATTTTTTAGATAAAATGGCATTTATCAAACTTTATTATGTAAATTTACCATTAGAGGGTCGAAAAATAAACTAATCTTTTACCTTTCAGGCCCTACTTTTTTTAGGAACTAATTGCAGTTTTGGCTGAAAACAAATTTGTTAAAATGTCAAGCTCAAATGTCAAACGAGATATTAGGGGCAACTCAAAAAATACCTTTTAATTAAAAACTTTTTATTTAAAATTATTTTTTTAAATTTGTCAAATCTTAATCCGTTTCTAATAGCAAAACAATTTTCTTTCTTATATCTTTGGCCCTATTTGGAGAAAAATCATCGAGCCGTTTTCCCATATATTCCCCAAACAACTGGTTTGACGTTTTTTCCTGTCTTCCCAGTTTTAAGTCGTTCGCCAATTCCTGAGCGGCCGCCAACAAGTCAAACTCATCACGTTTCCTTTTTTTTCCCCTTCCATTTGGGGTGCATTGTATTGGTTCCGGACTAAGTTGGGGACTTCCGTTCTGTCGTTGTGGTAGTGGTAGAGATGGGCTCTGGGGACGC